CCAAGACACACAGGTCCATAATTCTTCACAACAAGCTTACCCCGTGCGCACGGAAGCGATTGATGCAAGTCCAAGGCACACAAGTCCATAATTATCATATTTCCACAGATCGTGGGCTCTGATACCATGTCAAAGTCACATTGGGCTCCCATGTCAAAACCAATTGGCAATGAGTGGAGTGACTTTTGGAGCTTGTAAACAGGTGACACATCATTCACAACACCGATGTGGGATTTTTTGTCCCAACATGGTCTGGTTTCTCATCGTAATGGTCCATGCATATACCTTCAAAAAGTTTCTGTCTAAGAAAGACAGGAATGCAGTCACTTAAATTAGTTATACACATACATGTGAAAGAAGTACAGAGGGTATAAATTCAATAGAGCAAACTGAATAAACTACCAAACAGCAGCAGCACGGGAGTTAAGTAAGGCATGAATGCTTTTGAGTAGTAGTAGATTGTTTACCGTACTCTTTTCCCTTTATTGATTTTTTCCCCCACTCTCTTATAATGAGACTATATTTCGTTATAGAATCTCTGATTGTCTAATAACCACTACCACAAGTTGGTCCTCCTTCTGCCAACTAATAGTTGTAAATCACAAGGGGGAACCCCTAAAAGTGTTGACAAAAATGGTCTTAAGATCAGTCTCTCGTGTGCCTTCAAATGTGATTCGGGTTTTGGTTTTGAACTACGAATTGATTCACATCAGACGATGAGAGTTCAAAGTTCAAACTAATTTCAGTGAGTTTTGAAACATTATCATTTTATTACATCTAACCTCTATTATTTCCTCAAGTAATCTCTCTCCCTCTATATATATATATATCCAAAATAATTGTCTAATTTAAATTTTTATTTTTAAGCTAAAAATTAATCTAGAGCCGGACAATTATTTAGGAATAGTTAGAGTAGGATATATATATATGTTAGGTTACAAAATCTTCTCCTGTTTTTTTTTTTTTCTTTTTTGGACCCCAGGTAGACATACATTTCACTAAAGCTGCTAGTACTTTTGGGGGGGTGCTATAGCTTTTATTTATTCCTCCTCTTCTTTATAAAAATCCTCTCCTCGTGGAAATCAAAATCATTTACGTTCCCTTTGGTTTCTCTCAAGTCTGAACAGGTTCAAAGATACAGAGAGAGGAGGCACAGTGGCTGGTAGGAGAGAAGTCATCATAATTAGGCACTTTACCAAAAGGCTAAAGGCAATCTATTTTATTTATTTTTTATATTTATTATTGTTATTATTACTCCTTCCGCCATTTAAAAAATATAATTTATATTGAGCTTAAGATTTATATCATTTTTAATATGAATTTTAAAACTCATTGTGAATTATTTTTTTTTTATTAAGAAAGAAGTAATATTATTTTTTGGGTTGGGAATAAAAGTTAAATACTATTAAAATGCAGGGTATGTCAGTTTGACCGGTGAAATAGTACAACATTCCAAATGATTACAACTAGGACTAGCTATCTCCTTGGGGTTTACTTTGATACACAAATTAATAATGGAAGGCTGACTAAATAATACTATATATGTATGCAGCCTCTGCATCTTCCCCCGTGATTGTTGGACGCACAAGACTACCGCAACACATTTCTAATTACCCCTTACATTTCCTTGTTTCTTCAATGTGTGTGTGCGCGTGTGTTTTCTTAATCTTATTTTTTCCAATTTCACAAGCTCTTTCGGTTTGTATTTTCAGATGTTAATTGGGATTCTGTGGAGGATGAGTTGTGCATATACAATAACAACCAGCCACAGAGAGTAGACCCAAACTAGTAGTAAGTAGTAAGTCAGTTAAGTCACTGCCCGGCTTTTTTCTTTTTCTTTTTTTTTTTTTTTAACATTACTGGGGAGCTGATGCTCAGAACAAAAGGTCCGTGCCTCTAGTAGGAGGCGGACAATCAGCAGCTAATTTATCTATAATAGAGTTCGGTGGGCTTGCCAAAATATGTAACCCTAGCTGTAATGATAAACCTAACTTGGCTAAGAAGTCCACAACTTCATTCCCCTGCGCTTTAAAAAGGAGGTTTCTACCTCCCATTGATTATCTAACAAGGCTCTAATTCGGAGCAAAACATTGCTAGAAACAAAAAGAGAATCTATCGATCCTATATTATTCACAGCATTCAGACTATACATGGTTTAGGTCCAATGAAACTCAATTGTACCCATCTTCACTTGCTACTACATTATCGTTATTATCTTTTCACTGTCAAATTTTCATATCAAAATAAATTGGCAACGAATGAAGTGACACAAATAACTTATTAACAAGTAATATATCTCAAGCAGGCGGCATCAGATTCTTTGACTTAACAGATCTTTAGAATCACATTCACATCTAATTTCACTTCTTGTTTTTCATTCTCACACACATGTTTATGCCCAAGCTTGCGAGCAATTAACCAACAAACTTTGCCGTCAGTCAAAATATTACCTCCCCTCCTTCAAGCTTACTCGGAATAGCCAGCCCATCATTAAGAACATAATCACTACCATGGCCCAATAGTCTCTTCAGCCCACCCCTTAAACAACCAAAAGCTACTTTCTTTTGGTTCCTTTTAACAGATGCACATACACGGGTAAGGGTTATTGCATTTGGGAATTTGGAGCTTTACGGTTGTGCCTGTTTAGGTCAATTGGTTATTTAATCTCTTTGTAATCTTCTTTCAATTTCTTCCTTTCTGGTTTTTTTTTTCTTCTTTCTCTGATCTGCCTAGATTTGATGTTTATGGATATCTATGGAAGATCTATAGTCTAACCACAGGTTGTAGTAGTTATCACTATTTGTGGTTGTAAGTGTTGGGGATAACTATTAGGTTATTCCTTTTTTTTTTATATATAAATTATGATTATCGCTCGGACAAAAAATAAAAAAAATAAAAAAATCACATCTAGTCGGTTTTCAGCATTTACGAATGAAACTATTTTTTACCTTAAGGAAAAAGTATCACATGTGATTCAAGGCTATACTCCTTTCGCAAGTACAGTGCATTGATACACAGATTAGTGAACCCAAAACTGTCTGTTAACCCGAGACCAAGATGAAGGCTTGTTGCCACACTTACCCAACCATTTCATTTGAAGGTTTTAAGCCTGTAAAACCTGGCTGATTTGGCTTCTGCACATTCCTCGATTGCACAAACTGCTTTCTCAAATGGGAAAACTAATTCAGGAATGCCTGTAGGCTGCAATCCTCGACTCTCATTTGTGGGTAGTTTAACCCAATTTGTACGCCAGGATGGAAATGATGGTTCCTAAAGTCTCTGGTTTGATTTTTTCTTCGGAAGAAATTTTTTGGTTTGATAGATTTCCTTTTCGCATCTATTCTTTTACATACACATTTCACTAACAGGAGCAATGTAATCGACTGCTTTGAGATCACTATGTATCATAATTTGTCCGGTTTTTTTTTTTTTTTTGTTGGCGACGGGAAAACAGTATGCATGCATGGTTGATGTGTTTGGCCGAGCTGGTCGATCGAGTTAGGTGATGGATATGACCAACAATATTCTGATTCAACCTGATGCAAATACATCGGCTTCATTAGGTAAGCACCTTGACAAGGGAAGCAGGATATGCCCTGATGGAAGCTTTGCTGAGCATGATCTGGACGAAGAAGAGATGGGCATCACAGCGAGAAGCTGGCTGTTGAAATTGCCTGAAGGGACACCAACAAGACTGATGAAAAACCTTCATGTTTGCAGTGGCTGCTATGCTGCTATTATAAAGCTGATCTCTAAGGTCACTGGACTATTTATCATCTCGAGAGATGCTAACGGATTTCATCAATTTAAGGATGCCTTCTGCTCTTGCAATGGTTACTGATGAACAACTACTCTTTGCCAACCTTGCAACATAACAATGTTATCTCACTGTTGCATTGCCACTGAAGATTTGTACAATTGGCAGTAACACAAGATCAAAAGGTTCAGATGATCACACAGGACAAGACTGTGTTTTGATACGTGCTACCCACGTACCTAATTAAGCTGCTTCTGTATGCTGGCATGCCTGATTCCACACTTGGTAAATTGATTGTTGCGTTCATGCCAAATGGCAAAGACAAGTAGGACTGAGAGAACCATTGAGAAGCAAATTCGTATGTTGAGTTACCCTATATGTCTGTCAACAATGCTGCCATCCAGAACAGGCACAAAATTTGGCAGAACTCAGAAGCAAGGAAAATCAAAATGCTTAAGAAGAATTCAGCGCTAAAATACATCACTAATGTGTTGATGGAAGTTTTAAAGTCCAAAGCAGAGAAACAGTCTACAAGCTTTACTGCTATTTGATTGAACCAAAGGGGGGACCTTCCATATCAACTCTAGCCAAACCAAAATGGCTAGAGGCATTCCAGTAGCAATTAATGCACCAAACTAGATACAACTAAACTGCCAAAGTGGAATACACAATAACTCAAATTTTAACAAAACTGCCACCAACAAAACAAAATAAGCCTCAAGAAAAGCTTTTGAATCCATTTCATTTCCCTTATCATGAAGAATCAAACAAGCAAAACGCAAAGTCGTCACTGTCATGATCAAGTACTTGGCATCAAGAATATACAGCATAGCAGTAACTTCACCAAAAAAAAGGAGGGGGGGGGAGGGGAGGGAAATAAAGAAGAAAGAGAACAAACAATCTAAACCCGGAGAGGAATCATTATCAATCCATCATCATCTGGGCTTGGTTTCTTATGTTTAAGACCCTCAAAAAAACAGTAAAGGAACTTTACAAGAGAAAAGACCATTAATTTGAAGTAGACTCATCAACATCACCAGCAGCAAAGGAAGAAACTTTACAACAACAACAACAACAACAACAACAACAACAATTGATCTGAAATGGAAGAAAGTGTTTTTTTTTTGTCAAAACGATCATCATCTGGGCTAGGTTAATCATACTAAATATGTATGTAAAATCAAGCACTAAAGGAAGGAACTTTACAAAGGGGGAAAAAAGAGCGAGAGAGAGATAGAAACAATTAATCAGAACCGGAAGAAGAGTCATCATCTGGGCTTGCTTGGCTATAGTAAACGTATCTAAAGCCCTCTCCATCTTCATCATCAGAATTACCATCATCATCATCGTCGTCGTCATCATAATAAGATGAAGAAACATAGTAAGTTGGGTGCGGTGGCACACAGAGGAAAGTCCAAAGGTAAAGAAGAAGATGGCCAAGCTGTTGGAGAGGGAAACAGAGGACCAGATCCACCATTTGCTGACCATCAATCCTTTGATTCTCATCAATACAGGCCATTTGCTGCCAAGCTTCAGCTGATTTTTTGGCAGCTGAAATTAGCATCACGCTGTTGAATACCATCGCTCTGTGGTGAATCCTTGTTCTTCTTTCCCCACCTTTCTTTATTGTTTGATTGTTAATTTAAACCGGGTTGGAGGGGATGACGAAGATATAATGAAACTGCAGCTGTTAGTATTGTTTTCATTCATCACCATCAACGACTCTGTGTCGAGTTCTCAGATTTTGTTTGGAAGTTTTGGCCTTTGGGGGTCTTCAGGAAGTGATTATTATTAATATTAATATTAGTAGTAGAATTATTTTACGACTAGAACTGCAGGGTTTCACACTTACACCTTCAAATTTTATTAATATGGAAAAATATACCCAGAAGTTTGAATTGTTGTAACTGATTCATTAATTCAAGGGTTACGATTAGATGAATATATCCTGAAAAATTCCTCTAATTCATTACTTGTGTACTATACAAGAATATATATGCACAAGTTGCACAATGCAGAATTTTTGGAGATGGTCTACACAAGCTGGTTCAGTTTCACTATACGGTGTGCAATGGTTATCCCCACGAAAAAGTGGTATAGTGTCAGGCTGTCAGCCACTACACTACCATTGTGAAAGCCATTAGTACAATCATGAAAATTGGTACAATTAGGTCTAGTTAGGCTTAAAGACACACAATCTAGTTATTGAAACTTTTATCATTTTTTTTTTTTTGGTAAATAGAGACATAGGCTTAAGACCTATGATTCATTAGATCATATATTACAAAGTTCAGGGTTTCTACATTCCTGGTGGAACAGTAAGCTCATAAAGGATGGGGCAACATCAAAAGAATATAGTCTCCGATTTCTACCTAACGCTTTCTTAGCTAGGGTGTCGGCACATATATTATTTTTCCTAAATGTATGGGAAAACTCTACGGATATACTCCTCCGTAATAATTCCTGAATTTTCCTCAAATCAGGATCCAAAATAGTTCCCTGACCTAGGTTCTCCACTAGACCTATGGCCGTTAGGGAATCTGATTCTACAATAATTTTGTTAAAACCATAATGAACTGCAGCCTCAATGCTCCGCCGGATAGCTATCACCTCGGCTGTATCAATTGAAGAGGGGCCAATATTTTCACAGAAGGCCGTTACAAACTCTCCTTTATGGTTTCTGACAACTCCTCCTATTGCAGCATGGTGGGTGACAAGGTTCACAGCACCATCACAGTTGATCTTCAAGTAGCCCGTCGGTGGTGGCTTCCATCGTTCTGCTTCATCTATAGGCCTTCCACCTTGTTTCCATTTCAGCAAGACTTGGCTGCGGCACACCTCCTTCGCCTTTTGTACAATGACTCTAACAGCCTCATTCGTTCCTAATGTAACACCATTGAATAGTCTGTTGTTACGCCATGTCCAAATAAGCCAACACACGACACCAAATTTGGTGTTCCATCTGCTATTAACTCTTGTCAGATTAGAGGTGAGCTAGTCCCTGAGCGGCTGCTGGAAGAACATAGGGCATCTAGGATATGGAATTAAGCGCTCCCAGATGGACCTCACTTCAGGACATTCTCTGATCGCGTGGATAGTTGTTTCAGCTGCAGAATTGCAAAACCTACAATTACCAATCTCAACTACTCCCCTGCTCCTACACAGGTCATTGGTAGCTAGTCTCCCATGAAAAGCTAGCCAAAGAAATGTCCTTATCCGCTGGGGACCCCTCCACTTCCATGCTGCTTTCCAACAAGGGTTCTCCTGCAAAACAGAATTTTCAATAGCTAAGTAATAAGCGGATTTGACAGAGAACTTACCAATCTTATTGAACATCCATCGTGGTTGGTCAGTTCCCAAGACGTCTGACGATGGAGGTAGGCATGAAATTTTTGCCACAATTTCGTGAGGGAGCATCCCTGCTAAGTACTGTAAATCCCAGCTCCCATCAGTCAACAATATCTCTGAAAGAGTTTGATTCATTTCTATTTCTGGTAGTGTTGTAGTTAGATGATCAGCAAGTACATCATAGCCTTCCAGCCATCTATCCCTGAAAAATCTCACTGATTTGCCATTTCCAATTGCCCAAGTCATTCCTTGCTCCACTAGATGAAAAACATCGAATATCCCTTTCAATGTTGGGGACGCATTTTGCTTGCGTTTGAGTGTAACTCTATTTCCTTCGATACTGCAATACTTGGCTCGCAGGATCTGGACCCACAGCTCATCGTCCTTAGCAATTAATTCCCAGCCTAGTTTCATAAGGAAGGCCATATTGTTCTCTTTTGCCTTGCGTAGTCCCAAACCTCCTCTTTCTTTTTTATCGCATACCGTATCCCATTTAACCAAGTGTAGTTTTCTTTTATCTTGCGTTGAACCCCGCACAAAACTTCTAACAACTTTGTCAATGTCGTCACAAATCTGTGCAGGGAGTTTTGCCGATTGCATCTGGAATGTCGGGATAGTTTGCAGAGCTGATTGTGCTAATGTAATCCGGCCAGCTAGTGACAATTGGTTGGCTTTCCAACCTGACAGCTTTGCTTTGATTTTATCCAAGATCTCCTGATACCTGCTTTTGGTAACTCTACTATGCAGGATTGGAAAATCCAAATATTTCCCCAAATTGTTCGTCATACCAAAACCAAAAGCTTGGCTTATGGAACTGCGTTGCTGGCGAGAGGTGTTTTTTGAAAAGAAAATTTATAGTTTTCTAACAATTAATTTTCTCCCCTGAGGCCCTGCAGAAAGAATCAAGAACACAATTAATTACATCAACCTGCTCCATTGTAGCTTCTGCAAACAAAAAAAGGTCGTCCGCAAAAAATAGGTGAGATAGCATGGGAGCATTTCTAGTAACTTTTATGCCTTTCGATTCATGCTTTTCTACTGCTGATTCAATACCGTGTGCTAATAATTCCAAACATAAAACAAAAAGGTAAGGTGAGAGAGAGTCTCCCTGTCTTATTCCTCTTGAAGGTTTGAAATCCTCTGTTACTCCACCATTCCACAGGATCTTCATGCTAGGTGTTGAAACACATTGCATTATCCTGTTAGTGATCTCAGTTGGAAATCCTGCTGCCGAGAGGGTGTATTTAATGAAATCCCATCTCAATCTGTCATATGCTTTCTCAAGGTCGACCTTAATTGCCATCCAACCCGTTTTGCCTTGTTTTGTCCTCATTGAGTGAATGACCTCCTGGATTATGATCGTGTTATTCGCAATTTTCCTTCCTGGAACGAAGCTTGTTTGGGTCCGGCTGATCAACTTACCGATCACCGGCTTAACCCTATTTGATATGATCTTTGTCAGAGCCTTGTAAGCCACATTACATAGGTTTATAGGCCTAAACTGAGAGATCGTAGTTGGGCTATAGGTCTTAGGGATTAAGACTAATAATGTGTCATTCACCTCTTGTGGTAACAAACCTTGTTCAAAAAAATTAAGCACAAAATCTGTGACAACTTTACCAACAGTCTGCCATTAAGTTTGAAAGAAGATAGGGCTCCAACCATCCGGTCTCGGCGCCTTATATGCACCCATGTCAAAAAAAGCTTTTTTAACTTCTGACTCAATCACCGTCCTAGATAGCGCTGAAAGTTCGTAAAAAAAGAAGTAAAATTGGGAGCTACAATTCAAATTTTAGTACAGTGGCAACAAGGTGCCAAATAGTTTTGTTAATTGTAGTAAATGGTTTCAATTTTTGTTTTTGGATTTGTGTGCTTCCTTATTTATGAGAGTGATGTGATGGATTTGTGTTATCAATATTCAAAGCGACATGTACTATTGTGTTTTGTTTGTCCCAGTCTTCTTGAATCTTGTAGGTCTTGGTTCTTGTTGACCTCACTATTCCTCCTCTCTTTTTTATTTTATTTTTTATTTTTTAAATAATAGTTTCTTCTTTAATTAATTTTCTCTTTTTTTTTTTCGTAATGTGCGGCCATAAATTTTCATTTCACAATTTTCTTGTCAAAACTATCCAAATGAGTTTCCGGCTGAAACATTAATTAAAAGGAAGTGTGATTAATAATCATTCAAAACCATTTGATAAAAGACATAGACAAGAAAGGACATTGTATGTATATGATTGCATATTGTTGGACCTAATTTGATTGCTCTCATACGGGATTTGATGCGGTTAAAAAAAGAAAAGAAAATAAAGAAGAAGATAGAATATAAATGAATTAATGTGAAGAGCGCAAACAGAAAGAATGTACAAGTAAAAAATTAGTGGAAGAGAAAGGCCGGGGAAGCAAAAATGGAGGAAGCTACCTGAGGATCATGATGTATATACACAATGAAATGTGATTAGTTGAGAGCCATTACCAACAAAAACCAAAAAATAAAGAAACTCAAACCAGAAATGTACGTAAAGGGAACGTTTTGTTCCGATTGGTACCCAATCTGAAATAAACGAAGAAGAAGAAGAGATCATATCCTACATGAATACGATCCGCTAGTTACAATTTCTTAAATTTGACGTTAATTAATTGATTTGTGACCCTTTTGTTGTGTGAGAGCATGGTACTTGGGATGCATGCATTGAATGGAGGCAATAAGAAGGCGTCCACGGCGATGACGATGATCACGGTGGTGGTGGTGATGGCGGCGATGGGAATAGAGAGGACAAATGGGCAGACAACGGCGTTATCATCTTCGACGGGAGCATCATATATGTGTGTGGAGGCATGTATGCCGATGTGCATGAAATTGGACGGGGCAGTCACGGCGGCTTGTCATGCCGGGTGTACTTTAGGTTGTGACCAACTCAAAGGTAAAGGTCGTAATCTTGCTGTTGCTTCTTCTACGTCTCCTGATGACCCTCTCTAGCTTCTTTTCCTTCTTCTCCTATTTTTGTACTATATATAGTGTGTTGTAGTAACATTATAAATTAGTAACATGCAATCATTTAAAACAATACTGTTTTCTCGTCTTCTATGGATATATATACATTATGGATGGAGTTGTTCCTTCACTTTGTTTTCTGCAATTTCCTTTCCATGAAATGATCACCTCTCTTCCTCTTCTTCCATCCATCCATCTGCCTTGTCGTTGCTTTTATCTTAATTTTAACGTTTGACACATTTTTGCCAATCTACTTCAATTAATCTTTACAGTGGTCCACTCCTCGATCAAACTTCCCTACGTTGGACAATCATAATTAATCTAGTCGACACTAAACTTTTGATTGATTTAAGAATAAATTAAACTCGTCCGTGTAATAAACTTTGATATATACACTTTGGGAAACAACATTTGTGACGGCCCGACTAGCACCACTCTGGGTTATATATACGAATGGGCCAATTAGGACGTCCACCTGACTCGCGCCAGGATTCGATAACCAAACCCACAAACATTATACTCTCTCTGTCCTAAAATTATTGTCTAGTTTGAGATTTCACTTTTAGTACAATTTAAACTAAAAATAAAAACTCAAACTAGACAATAATTATGGGACGGAGAGAGTATTACATAAGAACGTAAAAGTCAAGAGTTAATACAAAACTCAAAACCCGAGTTACTTTCACCGAGCTACAAGCCCAAAAGGATTCTATGTTACATACGAAACATCACAAACTATTTACGGTCTATCAAACGAGCGTTGCCTTGTAAATTGATCTTTTCGTTCCGTACTAGATTTCCAACTCTCTCGATCCTGGGAGTGGGATAGGGAGTAAAATATAAAAAGGGAGTGAGCGCCAAGCTCAGTTAGGTTCTCACTATACTACTTGTGATACTTTCAACAAAATGATTTTGATAAAATAATATTAAAAAAAAAATAGAACAGTTTTGCACATAATCATCCAATATTTAAATAGTTCACATTAAGCAATTAGCAATGGGGTGGATACGGAGAAACCTTAGCAGTCGTCAAAGAGCCTGCGTAGCACAAAGACAGGTTTCGAGCCAAATTTCAATAATACGATAACGATTCCATGTCAATACAATTTCTTCTCAACACCTGTGGCTACCGATTGATACTGATGAGCACCACGTCCATCCGGACAACAATAGCCTAGGTAAGGTAACCTGGCGACCAAGCTCGATGCCGGTCCGGAAGGCTTCGCCTAACAAAGCAGGGCCCAGGTTCCAAGTGAACAGAGTCCACCGAAGCAACAATCACACATTATTTCACAACAATCAATCAATCACGACAATAATTGTCCTGGTGTGATAAAGTACATCACCAGAAGCAACACATTCAACGATCATACCCAATCTAGTAACCAGCCAACAATAACATTCAATCACATAACGATACCACTTTATTTCAGATACAGTAATACCTAAAACACATATCCTGAGGCGAGAAAGCACACCTTCGGGTCATTCAATGACATGCATTTAATATTTCAATAACATGTGAAAATGTGCTCGAGGGTGCAGTGACTTTTAAATATATATTCCCATACTCTCAGTTTTTAAAAGAGTGAGAATTACTCACCGGCGTTGACGGGTTAGTCAGTATCCTGGCCCACTCGATCTGCATATAAACATTTCCAATCATTATTCTATTTGATAAACATGTTCTATATATCGTGCTTATTTACTTAACTAGATAAGATTAGTCGTATCTAGTTCATAATTAAGATACTATACAAATACTTTAGTTACTGCTGTTATCATTATCATTCATATTATCTTAATAGTTTACTTGTTTATTATTATTATTATTAATATATGCATAGTTTAATTGTTTATTATTATTATTATTATTATTATTATTATTATTATTATTCTTGTCACCATAATTAAATATTAGATGTAAGATTCTTTCTTATATATATGTAAACTTTAATTTAGTTTTGTTTAAACTAGTTTTCTTTACTTTTATGTATATACGGTTTTTTATTTTTGGTTGATCAAGCTGGTTTCCATTTTAATTATTTAACTACTTATCTTCCTTATGAAGTTTTAAACGCGAGTCTTACTAGGTTCAGGGGAAAATATAAGACTTACATCCATGTTTCCTTTATGTATATTTATTCCAATAAAATCTTTCAACATGCCAACCCAAGCTTGAGGCATGCTAATTTGAAGATGTTTTTTTTTTTTTTTTTTTTTTTTTTCCTTCCCTCTTAGTCTCAATTAGTCCCAAGCCGATTAACAGCAAGGAAGTAGGTAGCGGCGGCTGTTTATTTGATACAAATAATGGTCGACTTCGGTGTCTTCGGTTGAGCTTGACTTTGGAATTTTTTTTTTTCAAACGTATAACTATTACTTATTTATCTTTTTATTTCATAAGGTGATTGGAGCAGCGAGGGGCTTCAATCTAGCCTACTTCGTCTATTGCGACAAAAGAAAGATCGGTTTCTAAAAGTCCCTTGTTGTCGTTCAATTTCGGTTACCGGAAATATGGTCACCTTCGGTTATTTACTTCTTGTTCTTGAAGTCAAGACTAACAAACTCTACCGACCAAACTCTATCGTCTATTTTATCTCCTTGAGTTCTAGAACCAATATCAGCTCATCTTGTTTTCGACTAAAATTAAACCCCGATTAATTATAATTTAACACTCAAATTATTTTTCTCATCAAGTGTGCTTTCTATTTTCCCCGTATCAACTTGAATCTACAAATAAAAGAAAGAACAGGCCAGCATCAACTATCCTTCTAGTTTTTTTTTTTTTTTCTTTTTTAAAACCCAAGGTCTAATCATGATTGCATTTCTGTCTTTAACATATCCCTAATATATACATCCTATTCACGTAATATTTACCAAGAGTGAAAGGACAAACTGTACTTCTAATTATTTCCATGAAACAAAATTAATTTGACACACAGCTCCTACTTGTGATTTGTCTTGGTGTTGCCTTCATCCACAATTTATTATTTTATTAATTTTGTATCTTTTTGTCTTAGTCTCATTTTCACAAGTACTTGAGTTCGATGGTTTAATCTACTTGATATAAACCAAAAAGTTTCTTATATCTTCTTAATCTTTCTGACCCGAGGGAAACAAAGGACCAAAGAAATGCTTTATAAGACTTTTTCTCCAATGTAACACTACATACACATGCCGCTTTTGATTTTGGCTGCAAAAGATGTCAAATACGTAGAGCTTTCTATGAGGGTTGTAACCGACTTAGTCTGTTTCCTTATTTACTTTTATTTTAAGTGCTCCAATTTATTTAATTACATAAAAATAGAATGGAAGGATACCTCCAAATATCGTCCAATGAAGCTAAACTAATCAAAAGACGATGTGGGAAACTTTGCTCCCAAGTTATACTGCTACTTATATTAGTGATTAGTAGAAACAGTGTGAGGAATAACTTTAAATCTTTAATCTGGTTTATTCCCTCTTAATTACGTATTTGGTGTTTCCGGATTGATCTTTAAAGGTTTAAAGTTTATTATTGTCGCATAATTTAATTTAACATCAATCTATACGCTTAAATTAATCTTATCCTACTTCTAACACACGTTAATGTATTCATATTTTCTCCATTATATTTTATTCCTATTTTTTAACTACTAGGTAAATTTTCATTGTGCTAGCCACGTCAACTTATATATGAGTATCCACATTGATTTAATTAATATTAAACAGAAATTTTTGTGATCATCACAACATTTATCATAACATTTCATGGTCTTACTGCTACCACACACACAAACATAATTTTATCTAGTAATAACGCGTTGCAGATTAAATCGGTGTATGTTGTGAGTAAGTAATAAATAAACAAATTAATACTTGTAATGAAATATTTACATTCCGAAAGGTACTTACCCAATTCAAATTTGGATTAGTTGGAGCAATGACTTCGGATACCGGATGCGTAATATTTCAAAAGAAAAATAAATAAACAAATAAATATAGGTACTTGAAAAGAAATAAAATCAAACCAAATGGGCCAGAATAGCATGTTTTCCAGAAAACGAGGGTGCAAACGTTAGATTAAACAAAAACAACACAATGACCATAACCATTAGCGATAACCCATAGCTGCAAGGAAGAAGAAGGAAGGAAGGTAACAATGGAGGCGGCTCTGCAATTCCGCTTCCAGCCATTCAGATTGAAGCCCTTATTCCATTACTTTGCTACTTCCAATCTGCTTCTTTCACCCTTCAAAAGAAGGACAATTTCCCCTATCCCTTCTCCTTCTGCCTTCCATCTCCTTTGCTGCTCTTCCTCCAATTCTTCCCCTGCCACCTCCACCGTCCCGGCCCCCGCCCCCGCCCGCCGAGCCCGGAGAGCCTCCTCTTCTGCCCCGTCAACTTCTGACGCTGAGGCCATTCGCGCCATCCGTATCAACAAGGTAAATACCTATATCACTGTTCCCAGACTTTAGTATTTCTCTTTTATCCGATATGATAAGTTCCTGTGCTTCCATTGGTCCTGCTTAATTCCTTATGTCCAACTGATGCTTTCTTTGCTTCACTTCACTTCATCTGGGTTTCAGTTTGTGGTCTTTATATATGTTGGAGTTATGCATACTATCCATTATCATTCATTCATCTCTGGCATTGTTATAACATTGAACAGCCTATTCGCTAGTAGACACAACTGAAACATCCATTATTCTCTTTATTTTGGCAATAGAACTGTATATAGAAAACGCAGCCTCTTTTTTTTTTTTTCTTTCATTCTTAGCCATGCTTACAAGCTTTAAACTAGATTGTTACTAAGATTCCATCTGAACATGGTTACTTTAAAATGAGATTGCAAATATCGCATTTATTCTTTCGTCGCGTACAGGTTCAAGAGTTGAGGGGGAAGGGCCTTGAACCATATGCTTACCAGTGGGATAGGACTCATACTGCCAATCAATTGCAAGAAATTTATAAACACCTGGGGAACGGGGAAGAGTCTGAACCTGATAGTGATCAAGTTTCTGTAGCCGGTAGAATAGTAGCTCGCAGGGCTTTTGGGAAGCTTGTTTTTCTGACACTGAGGGATGATTCGGGGACAATCCAGGTCTGTTATACTTCTTGACGATACTTGTTAGTTGCCCGACTGTTTGTGTAGTTTTTATATGGCTTAAACCTTTTTGTTTTGGTTCTAGCTTTACTGTGAGAAGGAACAGCTTGAAAATGATCAGTTTGAGCAGTTGAAAACGCTTTTGGATATAGGTGATATATTGGGTGCAAATGGCTCAATCAAGCGCACAGAAAAGGGTATTAAGTTCTGGACTGTGGACTATTTTGTCAGCTTATCTTGCTTTGAATTCTGACTCCTTTGTCTTTCTTATGTTCTTTCTCAGCCTTATATATGCCTTTTTCTTTTCCCTTTTCCACAGGAGAATTATCGGTTCGTGTGAGTTCATTTTCAATCCTTACGAAATCATTGCTTCCGTTGCCAGACAAATATCATGGCTTAACTGATATTGATAAGCGTTATCGCCAACGGTGAGATATTCATGTCGCGATTCTTGTATTTCCTGTCTCATTATCTATATATGTCTTTTATTGATGTACTGTTCACTTTGATCATGGTCTTTGTTAATATTTTTTGTTGATACCAGGTATGTAGATATGATAGCTAATCCTGAAGTTGCAGATATATTTCGGAAAAGGGCCAAGGTGAGTTGGTCTAAATCCAATTGATAGTTCAAATTATTTGTTTTTAAGGCCAAATAATGATGCTGATATTTGTTTTAAGTTCAGTAGATTGTCTCAGAGATACGCAATTCAGTAGAATCTCATGGCTTCATTGCTGTCGAGACGCCAGTTCTTCAGGTGGGCACACTTTTCCTGAACCACTGGGGCTGTAAAATTAATATACTTCAATTGCTTTTTATTCTAGTTTTTTCTCTGTATTTAATTTCCGAGCAAAATTTCTTGATATGCTTTTTTTAGTTCTAGCCCAACATTCTAAGCTCAGGTTTTAATTGGTTGGTTTACTAGGGAGCAGCTGGAGGAGCAGAAGCTAGGCCTTTTATTACGTATCATAACTCTCTTGGTAGGGATCTTTACCTTAGGATTGCAACGGAGCTTCATTTGAAGAGAATGCTTGTGAGCTTTCTTTTTCTTTCTATCTTTTTTGTCTGCTAAATTAGGTTTTTATTTTAGAATATATGTTACAGCTTTCCATTTGAAATTACCTCTGTGATTTAATGCTAAGCTTTCGATGACAGGTTGGTGGGTTTGAAAAAGTTTACGAGATTGGACGCATTTTTAGGAATGAAGGGATTTCAACCCGACATAATCCTGAATTTACTACAATAGAAGTAAGTTATCCTATTCCTTTTGCCTTTTAATTTGTGGCTTTCCTCAGAGTTCTGTTGGCCCAAGAATGAAATTAAACATTATATGCACCCCGTAACTTGAATTATAGATGTATGAAGCATATTCAGACTATCAAAGGATGATGGATCTGGCTGAAGAAATTGTAACGAGATGTGCTCTTGCAGTGCAGGGAACTCTTGATATAAAATATCAGGTACTATAAGTAGCAATTTGTTTTTGTTTTCTTCTTTTATCCAGTGTTTTTTATTAGTCGCCCCATATAACATTGAAATTCAAAGTACTAGAGCGAGAAAATGGAACTTTCTATGCCTAAGCCATTTTATAAAATCTTTGTTTATATTTACAAAAACTGCTCGTGTTTCTGTGGTACGTAAATGGATGCACTTTTGAACTTGTGCTTGTTGTTGTCAAGAACACATTTATCGAAGCCTTCATTGCAGGGTATAGATATATGCTTAGAGAGGCCATGGAGGCGGGAAACAATGCATAATCTTGTGAAAGAAGCCACTGGAATTGACTTCCTGACGTTCAATGATGATGCTATATCCGCCAAAGATGCCACTCTAAAAGCGCTTGCCATTGGTGATGATATTCAATTCAAATATGCAATTGAAGCATGCCAATCGGTCGGCCACGTGCTGAATGAGGTGGATCTTCAAACTTTTTCCAATATCCCCCTTTGTTATTTCATTGTTTAAAGTTAGAAATTCCCTTGTTGAACAACTTCAAAGACGTTGGCAAAATCTTAAAAATATAGCCTTTTTGGTTCTTATAATTTACTTGGATATTTCATTGTTCCCAGGTTTTTGAATTTGTGGTAGAGCCAAAGCTGTTGCAACCTACCTTTGTCCTGGATTACCCGATTGAAATATCACCCCTAGCCAAACCCCACAGAAGGTACGGATTTATTTGTTCTGATTTTTTTTCTTCTGTTTATGGGTCGTGGAGTCCCAAACCTGTTTAGATTGCTTGTACTCACTCCTTCTGTGGTCAACTGGTCATTTGACTGTGGCTTAATCACTATAAGTATTTAGGTTTCTATATTGTGCGCCTTAGATCTTATGCTTGAGCCTTTTTTACATGATTTGGTTTGATTACATTGTCCTGAGTTCCTTGTATAAACTTTTGTATCCCTTGGACCTTCATCTCTGTACTCATATCTATCTAAGTTACAAACGGAAGTACCGGCTCCTTGTTTCAGGCATGCGGGGTTAACCGAAAGATTTGAACTTTTCATTTGCGGTCGTGAGCTAGCTAATGCATTTTCTGAATTGACTGATCCATTGGACCAGGTATCTATACTGTTTTCTTCTGGTGTTGGAAAACAAAATTTGTTTCAAATCAGTTTTGTCTTATGCTGAAAGTTTCTACCTTTAGAAGTTTTTATTATTATTATTATTTTTTGAAGAAAACTTGTGATTTTAAAGTCATCGATTTTTTGTATTTCAAAATGTCATTATTTATTAAGGATAGTTTGCTTTATGCGGAGTTGTTAGTTATATTTTCGATACTTTATATTTTGGTAAGTGAGGCTTCTGGTTTGGTGCTTTGAAATTTGGTGATGGGTTCTTAAGATTTCTCAAACCCACTTTGGACATGGTGTCCCAGACATATGGCCTTTTTTATGATTTTTAAAAGTTTACCTTTAGTACTTTTAGAAGAAAGACTTTGCTTTCATTATGAAAGCTGTACCGGAATATTCTTTTTTTTCATGTAAGTCGGTTTTTAGCGGTATATTTTGTTTGCTTTTGAAAAGCTTGCATTTTGATTGTGATCTGGCTATTTAGATTTCCATGAAATTTATTGGTATTTTGCATATTTTATGTAGAGAAAACGTTTAGAAGAGCAAGTAAGGGAACACAATGAGAAAAAAGCAGTCGTTGCAGAAAACATGAGTGATGATGACTCGTATGAAGTGACTCTGGATGAAGACTTCCTTACCGCTTTGGAGTACGGGATGCCTCCTGCTTCTGGAATGGTATGTATTACTTAGCTTAAAGAAATGCTTGCGCATTTTCTTTCGTTTTATTCAGCGAGAACATTAGATCCAAACAGTAGACCACAAATTTCATGCCATCTGTGAACTTCTTATGCTGAAAGTAGGTATAACTGCGGGCACCACACACTAGCATTACTCACGCCAGTTGCATCTTATTTACTTTTCTAGTAACACTTGTTCATTTGATGAAAATAGAAGATAGTGATTGCACGTTTGACGATTCTTCTGTTTCCTTTGAATGAAATGCAAGTATATAAAGCACAGACGATGGTCTTTTAAACTGCAGGGTCTTGGCATTGATCGGCTAGTAATGCTTCTAACTGACTCGGCAAGTATTCGTGATGTGATTGCATTTCCGGTGCTGAAGAACCAGCAATAACCTTATGGTGTCGGGCAGATTGGCTGAGCGCTTTCTGAAACCAGTTTGGTTTGCGTGGCTAGTTTTAGTGCGATGGAGAGGATTACATGTGTTGAGTGTTGCAACCAATTTTCTCGTATGAAGGTAAAGGTGCCTTTCATGTCACATGCTGGGTTTTTTTTGTTGAGCCCTGGCTGCTACGAAAACCATAGTTGGTTGGGTTGATTTTTTTCGCTCACGGATACTCTGTATGCAGCATTTAATTTAGTTGAATGAGATGTGTACACATGATCAACGTTGATTTTGTCAACAACTATCATATAATAATAATATTAGGATTGGAGGAAGTATTGTTTGTACCAGAGAAAAATCTCAAACTGCAATCATTTTGAGGAGAAAGTATAATAATAAGAAAAGTTGCTTGCGACCCTTTTTAGCTCTAAGATACGTAAGCTAATGGAGATACCTCCCCCGAAAACAAAACATGGTTAAAAGAAAGGGTGATGGAGGGATGAAGGTGGTGGATACAGTATCCCACTGAACAAAATGATAAGCTCAGCTCAGGAATCACTAGATGAGAATATATTGTCGGGAGATTGTGGAACGCTTTCCTACTAATCAACACAACCTTTTTAAAAATATTACTCTGTTTTTTTTTTTTCAAAATAATTCACATTAAATCTTATAATTTATATAGTAGTAATACTAGATTTTCGATATACTATTTCGTACGTATCAATTCAAAAAACTTGTACCAATTTTCACACACATTAATAAAACTAACTTGCCTAACAACTTGTATCTTAATCTTCCTAAAATGCTCTTAAGCAAAACTTTAATTTGTTCTTGAAAGTTGTTAAACTGACATGGGTCATTAGTCCAAATTCAAAACATCTTATCTCAATTCTTGGATTTTATTTTTATTTTTATTTTTTTTGATATCTTTTCATTGATTCTAATACAACCAATAATCTTTAGGTGGTTAGTTGAATTAAGGGTAGATTTAGAATCATTAAATGATATATAAGAAAACCAGCCTATTTAGTGGAATACCTTAAAATGAAAAGACAGATTATTGTATTGGGACAAAGGGAGTACTATTTTTCCACTATAACAATTTGTTGTAGCTTGCCACGTGTTTCCCACCAATTAACAATACTAATGAAATAGCAATTTACGGGAGACCCACCTGATCTTATCATATACACACATACGTCCATTTAAGCGAGTATTTTATGTATTTGAATTGCTAAGCGAGTATGTTATGTTTAATTGCTGCACTAGTATTGATATTGTTATATTTGACCCCTGGATTCACAGCAGTAGACCAAAACGAGGAGCAAATAATAGATAATCGGCAGAAAAAATGTACTATAAAGTAAAGTATTAAAATGAGACGTAGAGCGGTGAAAATTGCGACAAAAGAGAGTGGTGAAGTCAACTCAAGCATGCTTAGAGCGCGGCTGGGTGCAGAGTTATCAAATCATGGGGTGCTGCTAATTCAGCATTTTATGAACACAAAGTGAAAGTTTTTCTTCATTTCATTTTCATTCACATCATTCTTCTTCTAAAACTAAACTAAAAAAAATCTACATTAACTCCCCATGTATATATATGTAGCGCTTTCGCTTCTGCCACCATCATCATATCAGCAAATTCCTCCCTTCCTCAATCTAATCTACATATGGCTCCAACATTTTGGCATTATCTGTATGGCTCAATCTCAACAAGTGATATTCAGCATCCAAACAGGTTAATTATCATGTTTAGCATATCATTCACCTTCATCATCCTGATCCTCTCAGCAGCATTAACGCTGAGGAAGAACAAGAAGAAGCAGCGTTTGCGGCTACCCCCAGGGAGCTTCGGGTGGCCGATACTGGGAGAGACCCTGGAATTCCTGAACAAGGGCAAAGCCGGAGAACCCGACGCCTTTGTGAAGGAAAGGATGCACAGATACGGGGGGACACAGGTGTTCAAGACGTCGTTGACGGGGAACAAGGTTGCGGTGCTGTGCGGCCCCGCGGGGAACAAGTTCTTGTTTGGCAACGAGAACAAGGTGGTGCAGCTGTGGTGGCCGCTGTCGGCGAAGAAGCTGCTGGGGAACGGGTTGTCCAATCGGGTAGGGGAAGAAGCCCGGCGGGTGAGGAAGATGGTGGGTTATTTCGTCAGCCCGGATGCGCTGATGAGGCTCTATATCAACACCGTGGATCAGGTCACCCGTCAACATCTCAACTCTCACTGGGCAGGTATACAAATTAATATCTGATGAGGATTTCAGCTCAGTTTCCATTTCATAATTCATTGCTTGATTCTCATTCTTCTTGGACGGATGGATGGTTATGTGGCAGGTAAACAAGTGGTGAAGACATTTCCAGTGATCAAATCCTACACATTTGAACTCGCATGTCGCCTCTTCATGAGCCTTGAAGACCCTCACCACATTGCCAAACTGGCTTCCCTTTTCAATGTCTTCCTCAAAGGTGTCATCAGCATCCCTCTCTACATCCCCGGCACCCGGTTTTACCGTGCCTCCAGGGCTACATCCACTGTCCGCAAAGAACTCTCCCTCTTACTCCAACACCGACGATCCGCCCTCCTTTCCAAAACTGCCTCCCCTTCCCAAGATCTCTTGTCCCATTTGCTCGCCTCTCCTGATGACCACGGCAACTTCATGTCCGAATCCGAGATCATCAACAACGTGCTGCTGCTTCTTTTTGCTGGTCATGACACTTCCAGTGTTACCATCACGCTGCTCCTCAAGACACTTGGCGAACTGCCTCATGTTTATGAACACGTCCGTCAAGGTTATAAGAGTAAATTGGTTTGCTTGATTTCGCGGAATGCTTTATCCTTATTTCCGGAATGCTAATGACTGACCTCACCCTAAGTGCAGAGCAACTCGAGATTGCTTCCTCAAAAGCCCAAGGCGAGTTCCTGGGGTGGGAGGACATCCAGAAGATGAAGTACTCTTGGAATGTTGTGTGTGAAGTGATGCGACTGTGGCCACCAATTATGGGAGCATTTAGAGAGGCATTGGTTGATTTAAACTATGCTGGATATGACATTCCCAAAGGATGGAAGGTCGTCTTCAAAAACCATTTTTTTTCCTTTTCCATTTCTTTTCCATCCCCAAGAATCATAAATACTCAGATAATGTGTTTTCCTATTGACAGCTATATTGGACTCCGGCTTCAACACAGAAAGAACCTGATTTGTTTCCCGACCCTACGAGGTTTGATCCATGTAGATTTGAGGGAGCAGGTCCCAAAGCTTATTCCTATGTCCCATTTGGGGGAGGACCGAGAATGTGCCTAGGTAAAGAGTATGCCCGGGTGGAAATACTCGTGTTCCTACACAACTTGGTGAAGGATTTCAGGTGGAGTTTAATTGTACCTGACGAGAAGATCATCTATGATCCAATGCCCACTCCTGTCCAAGGCCTTCCGGTTAGGCTTCAACCTCACGAGTGCTGCGATAAGACTGCATAACAGGCAACCCCTGAACATATATAGGCTGATTAATAAACAAGTTTCAGCATCAATCCATACGGTGAAAAAGAATTCAACCTCAGAATACAGATTGTAATGCAAATGCACTGCGAATGTCTGTTTATTGATTCGGGTATACAGATGACTCGATCAATAACCAAAAAAGAAGGTAGATCAGTCGGCGCAGATCCAGACATACAAAAAGAACCAAAATTGATCCATTTTTGTATTGACATGTTGCCAAAGGAACAGTTTCTAGTTACATGTAGTTATGTTCTCCACAATAGTAAATATCTTTGAAATCAGCAAGTTCGTATCTAATCTAAAGCTTTGATATATTATGAACACATATTTCAGATTGCTAGAGAAGGTTTTTCTACTGATCCAAAAGGTCATATGAGTAAACTCAGAGCTGGCATGAAGCCTCATCATTCCTACTACTCCTTCTTGAATATTCCAAAGATGGACTTAAGAGCATTGATGGCGTTCTCATTGATGAATGATTCATCATACTTTTTCAGCAGAGGCTCAAATTCCTCAGACTTCCTTAGATTCGCCAAGTCAGGGTCACTACGAATTCTCTGCAAACAAACATGCCAAAATCAAGAAAGAAAGAATATGATATACTACAGGATATTTAAGTTAATGTTTACCTTAAAATCCTCAAATCCTTCTTTCAGAGATTCTTCCAGGGCAGATAGCCCAGCTTGTACCTGTCAACATTGGTCACGAGATCAGGACAAAAAGTTTTCAACTCAGGTGATATACATTGTTCACACATTTCAAAAATCGATGAACGGCATATCCCAAAGAATAATGCAGATCATGTTTGTAGATTTGCATTATTCATTTGGAAACAATTAGATGGTAAACAGGTTGTTTTCGGTGCAAACTACTGGAACATATAAATGTATACCTGGTTTAGCTTTGAATAACAGCATGCTACATTATAACTTGCAACTGAAGCTTCTTTGTAATCTGGCCGTGATCCCAGCACGGACTCAAACTTCTCCAAAGCTTCTTCATACTTTCCACTCCTTAAGTCAGAATATCCAATATTAGATATAATAAGATTAATATCCAACTAACTACATGAAGAATCTAAATGTTGCATGTTTACTCCCCCTCCTCCCTACCCTTTGGCATTAACGTTATGTTTAATCTTCCGAGCAAACATTCTTACAAGCACGTCATTTTGCGGGAAACAGAGTTTGCATCAGATGGATTTGTCTTACTTGTAAAGCTGCAACCCTTCACGAAGTTCTCTTTCTCTGCGTTCTTTCTGTTCCTTCTTTTTTATTGCATTCGTCATCTGAGGTAATTAGGCAAGAAAAAATTTGTCCGTATTACTATGATGACTGTTGCATAACATCAACAAAATGTCTTTAACTCGTAAGCATTAATCTTCTAGAGAAATTAGTGTTAAAATCACATCAATCTCATGTTCCAAAAGAAAGACATTAAAAAAGAAATAACAATCTTCGCCATTATCATTTGCATAATAGTTTCAACAACCTAATGGCACTCACTTGGATCTCCCTGACACGGTCGCTTATAAAGCCAGCATTCCTCTCGGCCCTGATAATTTCTTTTTCAGTTAATTCACCCATGTCAGGCACCTTCCCTGAAAATCACAGAAAATTACAAATTACAGCCAAACATTCACAGTATGAACAAAAATAAAAGGTGGACCGTGCGGAGCTGCATGTACATAAGCATTTGATCGAAGTAAAAAACCAGAATGCAACTATAAGTGTGCACTGACCATATCTTTTCTCCATTTTCATTAGTAATGGACCTATTCTCTGTCGGATGGTGTACATGGTTCTTCCGTATTCTGCTGCTGGCCATATCTCATCTCCAAATACTGCACTGCAAGAAAACTTTCCCCTCAGTTAGTAGCTCCTGGTTAATGCAGAAATGAATAGAAAAAAACAGTAAGAAAGTACAAATACAACACACTAAGTAAGCAGTGAAGCGTGCAAATTCCTGGTTTGTCTTTTCATTTTTCAAAACATAGTCAATGCAACGCAAATGATACTACAAAAGCTTTATGAACGAGAAAAAAGCTAGAGAATATGAGCATGAACGGGTACCAAGATGTAACTCAATACACAGGTGCTATGAACTCACAGCTGCTTAATAAAAACACTAGAACTAGACCACTTCATGCAAAATCTTCAGCCCTTTATGCCAGTTGACCTTTAAAGTGTAACAAAGTGCTAAAACTTGTCCAAACAAAAATATGGGGAACAAAAACACCCCAGAACCTCCTCTGCATTGGGAAATAAAACCGGACAAGAAATCTAGCTACCTATCAAGGAAATTAACCGATGAGCAGTTGCAAAACTACGGCAATCACAAAGATAAAGCCTTCAGCAAAAACAAAATACATATGCGTAGCGTAAGGAGACACATAAGTCTAAGAGTGGAATACAGTACCTGGTGGCAAGAACTTTGTCACCAACAGTGAACAAGCCAGTTTTGTCAGCATTGGAGCCAGGGGCAATTGCATCAATATAAGTCCCACCATCTCTGCCCTTGGTGAACTTCAACCCATATGGCTGATCCAAAACTACCTCGTACACCTCAAAGTTGTCCTTGTCTTCTTTCTTGGAAGTCTCTGCTGCTTCGGTTTCCGATGCTTTAACAATGATCAAGCTTGAATCTTTAGGCAAATGGGAGGAGGAACAGAGAAACAGGTGTCGGTTCAAGGAGTGATGATGAGACCAAGAATTGAGCTTGTTGAGGAGCAAAGTAGTATGGAAGTAAGTGACGGAGCTTTGCTTGGTTGTTCTGCTGCTAGGCAAGTAAGCTGCGGGGGAAGAAGAAGAAGAACATAGAGAAGCCATGGACATGGTTTTCCTTATTTAAATTGAGCTACAAGAACAAAAAGAATGGAGGGCGGAGCGCGTATTTCCTTAAATTATATTAGCAGTTCTTTCTTCTTGGTTGATGATGATGCAGAAACAAAGCTAAGAAAAGATACCCACCAAAGAGGCCAAAGAGCTGTCTGAGTGAGAGTGTGTGTGAGTTAGTGGCTCTAATTTGGGGAGTTGGATTTTGGGTTCAAATGTGTGGTGCCACGTGGAAGGTAAAATGTAGAGGCCTTCCTGTATCTCTCTTCCCGGACTTTGGCTGAGAGGAGCATATGCCTTCTCCCATTCTACGTTACCTTTCTTCTTTATTAACCTTTGGTTTCCTTCTCTTTTACAAAATCCTAAAACGACTTCTTCAGTCTCTGCAATGAACCATGAATAATTTCACGTCTGTAACAAACACTATTTGCCTTCTCAACCTTTCAAGAACTACCATTTTCAGTAGATACCAAATTGACACATACGGCATTTTGGTTTTTCTCTGACTGCGCATAATCTTGTACAAGTTCATTCTCAATTTCAAGGTATCATCTCTACTAGAACAAGTGAAAAAAACCAGACAAGTGAAGAGCATCAAAACTTTATCAACCACTCACTGTTTTCAGCAGCAATTGCAATTGTTGTACATCGAATTGCCAACGTTCCATTAGAGATTGCCGCGTCCCAGAAGGTAAAGACAACACATTAATCACCTTCTGGGACCTAACTTCCTCCTATTAGTACATGACATTTCAATAACTAGATTTACAAAAATTCAGGACCTCATTGATGGAACTTGGTTCACACTAACATCATATGCGGTCAACTCAATTTGTCCTATATGCAAATCCTTCTGCCCTTGCTATGCTGCTTAGTAGCCATATCCTGGAAAAGTGTGATCCAAAGTTCAGTACTTAGATTAAATCCAGGATTAAGGGACAGGAGAACTTAAATACATCATATCAGCATGGATGATATGTACCTGAATTATCCATTGGGTTACCAGCAACAACTGGTTCTGGTTCCTTAATTTCAACGACTACACAATCGGACATCAGGAATGTCTTTGCTACAGATGAGGCATGCTCTAGGCAACATCTCACCACCTGCACCATCAGAAACACAGATTACGGAGAGATCCAGAGCAAATAAGCCTAAAGAATCCCTGAAACCATCAACACACATCTCCATATAACATTCTAAAAATGAGTCTGTCACCCACCGAATCATGTTTACTATAACGACTCAGCGCACACACTGATTTTCTCACCTTTGTTGGATCAATGATTCCAGCAGACATCAGATCTTCATAGTTTCCTGTTGCAGCATTGTATCCATATCTGGTGTCGTCACTTGAGAGAACCTGACAGGCGCAAATTGGAAGCAGATAAGGGTCACATAAGAAGTGAAAGAGATGCTATTGTTCATAAAATAAATTCATCTAGAATGTACCTTCTCACTGACAACACTTCCATTAACACCAGCATTTTTGGCAATTAACTTCAAGGGGTAACTCAAAGCTCTTTTAACAATATCAGCTCCAACCTGTAGAAGAATACATAAAGATATGATATGCAAATGAAACTTTGAACTAGTAGGAACAGGAACCACCAATGTCAACTATTTTCGACGCAGAGATCCAGAAAAGATACAGTATAAGAAATGGTACCTTCTCTTCATCATTATCCAGAGTTTCCCTAATGGCGTCAACCTTTGAAGCAAGCCTTAGGAGAGTGCATCCACCACCAACAACAATGCCTTCCTCAACAGCAGCCTACAGTAATGCAGCATCGTCTCATTCAAAATTAGAAATAGAAATGCTACAATGCATGAGATTGTAACTACTAGTTAAGTGCTAGCCACTTACTTTAGTTGCATTCAGAGCATCTTCAACGCGAAGCTTCTTCTCTTTGAGCTCAGTTTCTGTTTGTGCACCAACCTTTGGCAGCAACAATAAAATCAGTAAAGAGCCAAAAATTCAAGATACCTCTCGAATGAACTTAGCTCAACAGTCCTTACGTACAAACTTGTATCAAAGACCACCTACCTGAATGACAGCAACACCACCCGAGAGTTTCGCAATTCTTTCATTTAGTTTCTCCTTCTCGTAATCTTGTTCTGCAACCTGCTTAAAATCACAACATTATGATATCGTGACCAATGTTTTACCAAGAATTAGCACAAGCGAATACAAGGAACATACGCACCTCTATAAGATTCTTTATCTGCGCAACCCGCTTGGAAACGGCTTCCTGAGTGCTCCCATCACCAACAACTGTTGTAGAGTCCTTGGTTAGAACCACCTTCGCAGCATGGCCCAAGACTTCTTTATCCGCCTTGTCCAAAGACAGACCAATTTCCTCTCTAATAACAGTTGCTGGATGTTGACAACAGAATCTCTTACAAATCAATTCAATACAAGAATGCTTATTGGAACAATAAAGTAGCAAACTGGTTAAAATCAAGTTTCGAGGTACCTCCAGTCAATATTGCAATGTCATCAAGATACTGGCTTTTCCTTTCACCAAAACCAGGAGCTTTCAGAGCAGCAACTTTCAGTGCTCCCCTTAGCCTGTTTACCACAAGCGTGGCTAAAGCTTCTTGCTCAATATCTTCTGCTATAATCAGAACTGGATAACCACTCCTAATAGCATCTTCTAAGATCCCGACAAGGTCTCTTGCATTTGTTATTTTTTTGTCGACCAATAACAACTGCACAACAACATTAACCAATGAATGAAAATCCACCAATCATGTACAAACGGGAATGTTTGGACAATAATATTTTAACTGAAAAACTTGCCATACCTTGCAGTTCTCATATTCAACAGCCATCTTCTCACTGTCAGTGACGAAATATGGCGAGATATAACCACGGTCAAATTGCATTCCTTCAACAACTCTTAGACTGTTCTCAGCACTTCTTCCCTCTTCGAGAGTCACAACACCCTTCCTACCTACTTTGTTCATGGCTTCAGCAATCATGTTTCCGACTTCATAATTATTGCCGGCACTTACAGCAGCCACATCAGCTAGTTCACTATCTTCCACCTGCAGATGCGATTTGACTCATGTAAGGAAGTTAAACACACAAAGCATTGGATGAGGACTTTTAGTGAAAAGAATGAACAATAAAATATCATCATTAAAGAATCAATATGCTCAATTCAAAATGTCAATTCGAATAAAAATCACCTCCTTTGACATTGCTTTCAGCTCAGACACCAAAGCCTTGGTTGTTTTCTCAATACCTCGCGTAATCAGAACAGGGTTTGCACCGGCTGCTACAACCTGCATCATAGTTCCAGATACAAGTCTTTTAAGGACGCATCATAGTTCCAGATACAAGTCAACAAGCTAAACTAGTTGACAACGGACTAAAAAGATTCTAAAACAATCTGTATGATTAACAAACCTTGACACCTTCAGCGATTAAGCCTTGAGCAAGAACAACAGATGTTGTTGTTCCATCACCAGCAAGGTCATTGGTCTTTGCAGCTGCTTGTCTGACCAATTTGGCACCAATATTCTCCACAGGATCCTCCAAGTCAACCTACATAAAGGCTTTGTCAAAAAACTATCTTTTCGCAGATGAAAGTTCCAAAACAACACCCTGAGACAAGGATTCACCGCGACAGAATGTATGGCTTACCTCTTTAGCAACGGTGACACCATCATTTACTATTTTCGGGGCACCATACTTGCTCTCAAGAACAACGTTTCTACCCTTTGGGCCTAGGGTGACACCAACTAAATCTGCAAGCTTGTTTACACCAATCTGCCGACAAAAGCAAAAAGCTAATGTAAGATTCTGATACAAACTTTCTTAATCAGAAAACCTAAAGAAATAAACCCAAAAAGAAAAGAAGAAAATATTACAGCAGGGATCTCACCTGGAGTTTCTTAATGGCGGAGCCGTCCTTGTTGAAATACAACTCCTTGGCAGCAGCTGTAATCTGGGAAGAGCGTGTTTTAGGTAGGACAAGGGTTCTCCTCCTTCCAAATGAGCTGGAAGAAATAGAAGCCAAAGATGATAACCTGTTTGAAGAATTTACTAATTTGTTATCCATCACAAAGTTTGTAGGAGCCGCCAAGGAACCAACTGAGGCCATTCCACTAAAACTTGATGCCATTTCACTGCTACTTCAGCAATCTTCCTGATCAGAAAATTTCAATGAATTACTGAAAAGAGAGGAAATTACTTTTGGAAGAAAACAGAAGAACTAAAGATGGTCTTCTCATTTCTTTCATCCGAAAAAATTAAATTCAAAGAATATGTGAGCGAAACTTGGAAGCTTTATGGAAAAATATAAGCATAAACAAAAGAGGAAAATCAGTTCTTTGTGGAATTCCTTTTGAGGATCAACTGCCCAGGTAGCAAAGTTACAACTACAATAGAGTTCAAACATTAGAACTGAGGGAATCGTAATTCACCCCAGCTCTAGTGATGGTGAAGTTGAATGCCCAGAAATTAGACATTAATATGACTAGACACTCAAGAAAGAGAAAGAACAAAGAGAAAAATAAGTTCAAAACTTTTCCATGTTTTCACTGTATCTCCGAAGCATGCAAAAATAAGAACCTGAGTCAAGTTTAACGATTTATTCATAACCCAATTCACTGTAGCTCTATCAAAATTGAAATATGCTCGGAAATCCGACTACCACACTAGCATATCCCAAATTAATCACCAGCCCCCCTCTTCCCCTCCAAAACAAGATTGAAAGTGATTGCCACCTAATATTAACATAAGCCAATAAGGAACCAAACGAAAAATGAAATAGAAAATGAGAAGAATACGGAAAGAAAGAAACTTGAGAAAATGCAAAGACGAGCTCTTCCTTCACAATGAAATGACGCCAACAAAGTACAGCACTAACAAAGGAAAAGAGGAAAATATACTTACTACTAGTAACCAAAAAAAAAAAAAAAAATCGAGAGACCCAATAGGAAAGGATTACTCACTAATAAGAATGGAACGAATTCCTTCGATAGCAGCAAACTAGAACCTTTTTTTTGAAGGGCGGAAGAGGAAGAAGAAGAGAGCTTGGGGGGGTGCTTCAGTCAGTGTTTTACTACTGGAATCAAAAAGGGGTTTATCCTTCCTTTGGCGATGGACTTGTTAGATGATGATTAGGTTATAACAGACGGTTGCTGTTGCTCTTGAAACTTCCACTTCATCCTAGCCGTTCATTTTGTTTTTTGGTTTTTTTGACAATATAATATGGAACTGTTACTCCTACCACGGTGGAACAATCTAGAATCTTTTGGCTGTTTTTTTTCTTTTCTTTTCTTTTTTTTTAATTGCAAAATATGCTTTCTTTTTCTTTTTAGTTTTTTTTTTTTTAACAAAAACATGTTTTGCGCTTCTTTTGTTTTAATTTTCATTGCTTACAAATATTGCAGCAGAAAATCAATATATGTGTATGTGTTATGGTGATTGTCTCATTCTCATGGTTGTTGTTTCTGCAATAAAAGGATTGGAAATTTTTTTTTTTAAGTTTGATCACTGTACACTTCTTGTTTCTGCAATAAAAGGTATGCCATCTCTGGAAGGTACACGTAGAGCAACAAAACAAATGGAGAACAATCGTATATAAGTGTAAAGCTGGATAGAGTTTTGGTTAACAATCGTATAATTGGCTTGAATACTTTAAAGAAAGTTTTGTCACGGTTCTGCCAGAGGGCATTTCTGATCAATATCCACTTCTTGTTCAGGGGACATTCCAGGAATGCCTGAACCGAAAATATTTTCAATTCTTCAACATGTGGACGGAGGATGATGCGTATCGGGCAATGGTTGAATCAGTATGGAAGGATTCCATCAGAGGGCATAAGCAATTTAAACTGGTACAAAAGTTGAAAAAATTAAAACCAGTTTTAAGAAGATTGAATAAGGAGAAATTTGCTAACATTGATCTTCAAGTCCAGGAATGACAACAGAAAATGGTACAAGTGCAGCAGGAATTGGAGTTGAAACCAGATGATGCTGAACTGCAAAATTGAGTAAGAAGTGATGTTCAGAACTATAAGACAGTGAGTAGTAAAGCTTATAGTTTTTGGCAACAGAAGACAAAAAAGTTGTGGATTCAACAAAGAGATATGAATACGGGTTACTTTCATGCTACGATTAAACAAAAGCAGAAGAGGAACCGTATTCTATCCTTTACTAATGAAGATGGGTTAATGGTGGATGAATGGGTTGAAGTTGAAGAGCATTTCCTAAATTTCTACAAACAACTCTTGGGCAGAGAGGTACCAAGATCTAAGGTTCAACAGGAAGTGTGTGAATTAGGCCCTACACTCTCAGTTGAGCAGCAGTTTGTTCTTGTTGAGGATATCACCAGGGACGAAATAAAAAATGCAATGTTCTCAATTGGAGAATCTAAGAGCCCAGGCCCGGACGCCTTCACCAGTGGTTTTTATCGGAGAACCTAGAGTTTAGTCGGTCCAATTACAACTGAAGCAGTGCTGGAATTTTTTCAGACAGGGAAGTTACTTAGAGAGATCAATGCGACTGTGATTGCATTGGTGCCGAAGATTGAAGCTCCTCAGACGAAAAAATTAGCGGATAAACCCAAAGCTTTATATGTTTCGTCAATTCTATCCTAATTTTTTTCAGTTAGCCAATATTACCCTAAACTATCCAACCGTTAGCCGATTTTGTCCAATTTACTATTTTCCATCTAAATTAACAGAATTCTATTTGTTTTAATTATAAAAACACCCTAATAGTTTTAAAAATTTATAAAAATGATCCCAAAAATTTATAAAAATTATAAAATAGTCTATTTTCAGTTTTTTATTTCTTTTTACTATTTTTTATAACTATAAAAATATACTATATGATCTTTAAAAAAATATTTATCTTTAAACTTTAATGTACAAATTTTTAATTACATATTTGTATGTCATGTTTGATTTACATAAGCATATTAATTTTTTAATAATATAGTTTTACAATAATGATACTATTTTTTAATCTATTTTTTTCAATCTAAAGAATAAGATTATTTAAATAATACTAATTTTTCACAAAAAAATAAACAATTTGCATAGCTTAAAAAAGAATCTATTGGTATACTTTAATGTATTACAATTTAATTCAACTGACTTTAGATTGTATTTTAAAATTTAAAAAGAAATCAAAACTAAAATATAATTTTTTTTTAAAAGGCCAAGTACAGACAGAAAGTTAAAAGAAAAATACTTATTTCGTTTCTACGTTAGCCCAACACAAGAATATAGTGTCGTGGCATTTACAAAAATGGTACAAAATATTTTATAAAAAATATGTATATTTATTGCTGCGAGGGTTTAACATTTTGTGATAATGTTTGAGAATTAATATATCTAACTTTAGTAGGAAGTCTTTTTTTAAAAAAAAAATAAAAAAAAATCTACTCCGGTACTGGACTCCACCTTTTTTTTACATTAAAAAAATTAGATTTCTCCAGTGAAAATCGAACCTCGAACACAGTTTTAATCATTTCATATCTTAAATCACCTAACCATCCAACGCAACTCTCTTACCTTTAGCGGCCCCCGCTTAAACGTAGATAAAATCACTCTCGCGGTTAGAAATACTTTGGTGACAATTAATCTTATATCTACTCTCATGAAACTTAACACCCTAAACACTAGATAGTACCTTATATTTTAATTTAATAATTTTTTTAATTGAATAATACAATCTATAGTCTGTTTAGTTAATTTGCAATAAATTAAAACGTACTAATATATATTTTTTTAATCTATGCTAAATGTTTTTATTTTTTGTGAAAAATTAGTTTTAGTCAAAAAAATCTTATTCTTTAAATTGAAAAAGACGGATTAAAAGAAAAATATCATTATTGTCTAGCCATATTATTAAAAAAATTAATATGTTTATGTAAATCAATCATGAACAACAAAATGTATATCTATAAATTTGTACTGTAATGTTGATGGTTATGAAAAGATCATATAGTATATTTTGATGGTTATGAAAAATAGTAAAAAGAAATAAAAAAAAGAAAAATTTAAATAAAAACTGAAAAGAGACTATTTTGTTATTTTTGTAAAATTTTGGGGTTCTTTTTATAAATTTTTAAAACTATTAGGTTGTTTTTGTAATTAAAACAAATAGAATTCCGTTAATTTAGACGGAAAATAGCAAATTGGACAAAATCGGCTAACAGTTTGATAGTTTAGGGTAATATTGGCTAACCAAAAAAGAATAGGGTAGAATTGATGATGCATGTAAAGTTTTGGGTAGATCCGCCAATTTTTTCCTCCTCAGACAGCAATAGATTTCAGACCAGTCGCCTATTATAAGTGTATTACAAAGATCCTCAGTAATCGGTTAGCTCGGTTTCTGCCTTGTCTAGTGGATCAAAATCAGAGTGCGTTTATAAAGGACAGGTTGATAGTTCATAATAATCTTAACTCAGGAGATGATTAAGTTGTATAATCGGAAAAATGTTTCCCCTAGATGTATGATGAAGGTTGACCTCCAAAAGGTGTATGATTCCATTTCCTGGTTCTTCACATAGGAAGTTTTATATTTTTACAAATTTCCTAAAAAGTTTATTAGGTGGATTATGGAATGTATTACGACATGCAGCTATTTTCTCTGTTTAAATGGGGGTTTGACAGGTTATTTTGAAGGACGTCGTGGTATTAGGCAAGGAAATCCGTTGTCTCCTTTGTTTTTTATTTTATGTATCGAATATTTGAGTCGCTTATTCTAATATGAGGTTCTGCAGGAGAAATTCCACTTTCATCCAAGGTGTAAGCAGCTGCAGATTAGTAATCTTTGTTTCGCCGATGACCTTATTATATTGTGCAGAGCTGATTTAGAAACTGTTGCAAGGGTGAAGAAGGTGTTGGATCAGTTTACTTCAGATTCAGGATTAAAAGTTAACCTACTGAAATCGCAGGTATTATGTGGGGGCGTAAGTGAAGAGCAGAAAGGTGACATTCAGAAAATAATAGGTTTCAGCAGAGGTTCTTTCCCGATGAAATATTTGGGTATCCCTCTTTCTCCAACCAAATGGACAAACCTAGATTGCAAAGTACTAACCGAGAAAATTACTTCCAGGACTAAATGCTGGACAACGAGACATCTCTCATATGCTGCCAGAGTCACACTGATAAATTCTGTTTTACTCTCAGTACATATATATTGGGCGTTTGTTTTTATGTTACCAAAGAGCATCATTGTCCAAAATGTTAGAATCTGTAGAGAATTTTTATGGGGAAAAAAAAGAAAAATGGTAGAAGTTATGCATTAGTAGCCTGGGATGATATTTGTAAACCGAAAAAATTTGGGGGTTTGAATGTAAAAGAACCTGTGAGCTGGCAAATGGATTGGGAGCAAAAGTGGTATTTACAGTACTAGCTCAGGTTATGAGTGGCTTAGGGGTGATGGTCAAAGATTCTTAGCAGCAGGAATTGTTTGGAATAAGTTCAATGTTTCTAAACATAGTTTTATTCTGTGGTTAGCAATGAAGAGCAGATATTAACCTCTGACAGGATGCAGAAACTCAATTTTATAACTCAGCCACTGAAATCCAATCTGTGTGATGCAGTTGATGAAAGTTTGGATCATATTTTCTTTCAGTGTCAGTATGCTCAACAGATTCTGCAACAAATACAAGTCTGGCTGGAATGCAATGATATTCCTAAGGAAATGAGTAAATGGGAGAAGAAACTTAGGAAAGTTTGGGTTCAAAGCAAATGCAAGCAAGGTATTCTGTTAGGTACCCTAGCAGCAGTGGTCTACCATGTGTGGAAGAAAAGGAATGCAGCAATTCATGATTCTAAACCTGAAAAATCTGAAGTGGTTGTGAATAGGATTAAGCAGGAAGCAGTTTATAGATACGGCTTCATTGTACAACATTTACATCATCAGAAAGATGTTATATAGCTAAGCTTGAAAGCAATAGATAAGATTGTGAACTTTGATGGTTGTAAACAGTTTCAAGTTGTGACAAGTTAATATACTTAACCTTTCACAAAATATATATATATATTTAAGTTTGTTTCAAGAATGTAAAATGTACTAATAATGAGAAAGCTTTGTTTTGTGTTCTTTTTTTTTTTTTTTATTTGTGCACCCATAATATGGGGAATACTGCATCCAGAATTTTTTTGAATCCCTTCGAGAAGTGATTTGATCTTCTATTTTTTATATTAAGACTACGAAGTGCAGCATTGGTAGCTTGTCCAGATTTTAAAAGGGAAGAAGTAGATTTTAGACCGGAAACTTTGAACACTAATATTATCCCCTCTCTGTTCGATAGAATTATAGTTCACTTTGTTGTACTTTCTGGGACGGAGAGAGCACTAACTTCACATTCTCCTTTCCCTCTTGGCACAGTGATTGATTAGTACAGCATGAGAATCTCATCAAATATCTTCATGCCAGAAACTGCCTTTCCCTTACATATTTGGGAGTTTTTCTTCTTTCTTTTTAGTTTCTATCCTTTCACCAACCTAGCCCCTCCTGAAGTGGCTCCAGGGTATCTACGATTTCTTGCATCAGTGGCCTTTTCTTTGGGATTTGATTCAGACAACAACTACCGGCCAACATAGCAACCTTATGAACATCTTCAAGTGGATAATCTCCTTGTAACCTTGGATCCACAATGGCAGCCAGTTTTCTCTTATCCTCAACCAATGGCACTGCCCACTGCCCAGTAGGTCAGGCCATTCTGCGATGTTGTTGTTGTCTTACCATTTAATGCTCTTCTTTCTGTTAGAAGCTCAAGCAGGACTACACCATAGCTGTATACGTCGCTCTTAGGCGTCAAGTGACCTATATAGTCGAAAATAACATGATGGAAACACACACACACATACATATAGTCTTGGCTCCAAAGATGAAGTAAGTTACCTGTCATGATATATTCTGGTGCAGCATAACCACGTGTTCCGATTACACAGGTGGTAACGTGTGTTTCATCACCAACTGGTCCATCTTTTGCCAGACCGAAATCAGAAAGTTTTACATTGTAGTCCTAACAATTGTTCATAACACAATCTTCATATCAAAAGAAATGCCAATCTGCATATATATACGAAAAAAACCAAATTGTGCTTGTACGAATTTTTCCCCTAGCTAGAACAGAACGTGTTATACTTACCAAATCCAAGAGAATATTGGATGGTTTAAAATCACGGAAGATGACAGGCCTCTCGGCTTCGTGTAGGAATGCAAGACCTTTTGCTGCACCAAATGCAATCTTCATTCTAACTGACCAAGAAAGCGGACGCAAGCTGCCTGCACCATCATCAGAAAGTCTTTACAGGCGTGAAGCATATATGCAAAACATTCTTTTTTCCTATGGCTGAATATGACCAAACTTTTATCAGAGGAAACTCTGACCTAATCAAGGACCAAATGGTCTAAAGATGGGGGCTTAATGTCAACAAAGAAAAGTTTAGCTTAGGTAGGATTTCCAAGTTTGTTCAAGACTACTTTGTCAACTCTTCCTTTGCTTTTCAAAGCACAGGGCTACAAAATGTGGATGTCAAAAAACAAAAGTAATTTTAATCTTCCCATTCTGTTACTAAACATAAAATGCTTACTTGAGAATAAATTTTTTTCGACACTTCCGCCAGCCATGTACTTGTAGACAAGTACCCTTTTCTCGCCTTCGCAACAGTATCCAATCAGCTTTACTAAATTTGGATGGGAAAGCTGGCTAAGAATATGACTTCAGCCTGGGAGAAGAATCACAAATCAACTTACAAAATAAGTTAGCGAAAAAAGGGACGTAATGTAAATCCTAACAATATTCAACAATTTAGTCACATGGAGAAAAGATTCCAAAGCATTGCCAGCCATTCTCTATGACCTTGGGAACTACTGCCACTAAGAAACTTAATGGCAACTGGAGTTGGTGGAAGCCCTTTCTTGACATCTTTAGGTATAAAACCTTTGTACACACTCCCGAATCCACCTTCACCAAGTTTATGATTTCGTTCAAAGTTATTGGTCATGACTTTACTTCATTCAAGGTGAATACAGCCAAAGGATTCGCGGCTGAACTACCCCGGAAATGCTCTACTTCTTTGGGTTTGAGGGCAGTTTTCTATTATCCTTCCTCGATCTTGTTGGTGAACCATTCTTAGCAGAGTCTAAGAAACCATAAAGACTGAATCAGTTATCTATGTGCACAAAATGGAGTCCTTGAAACAAAGCTTAATGGTGTATCCTCAGTGATCAGCAGTCAGAGGTCACCAAATAAGCATACAACAACAACAAAGTATTTGTCTCAATAGGTGAAGTCAGCTATATATGAAATTGTGCTATATTCAACACGTAGTTTCACCGAATAAGAATATATATAAAAACACATTTTTAAAACTTCCAAGCAGCAGCCTACTCTCCTGATTGACTTACCTCGGTTCCAAAGTGGTTTCCATGGCCAGCCTAATAATGTTCTTCTGAGCCTAGCAGAATCCTTCATTTTTGCCCCCACTGTTGAAGCCACATTCTGATTTTTCTTTCCAGTGTTTGCATCACCAGGAGGAGATATGACACTACTACTCCTGTCCAGCATCTTGGTTTTGTGATGAGTCCAATGAAGCGAGTGAATATTCTCCTTCTCAGACAGATGCAGCTCCAGCGCCTGCTCTAGATTCGACACCACTTGAGCCATCGTAGGCCGTCGTTTTGGCAGCTGATGCAAGCATTTCTTAACAATTCTCACAAATTCATTGAGGCTACTTGATGAAATTTCTTGCTGCAACCTGGGATCAACAATCCTGCCAACATCACCGCCATTAGCCATACATTCTTCAAAGGTCCTTAAGAGATTCCCCTCTTGTCCTCCAAGATTGTCTTTGTCCACCGCCGGTTTCCCGCACAAAACTACCAACATGACAATGCCAAAGGAATACACATCGGTTTTCCTCATCAATCTGTTTGTTGTCCTATAATCAGGATCCAAATAACCAACTGTACCCTTAACTCTGGTGTCAACAAAACTTTTAGACTAAATTTCAAGCTTTGAGAGACCAAAATCTGATATCTTAGCAACAAAATTCTCATCCAGTAGGATGTTTGTATCCTTGATGTCCCGGTGAATGACTCCACATTGAGTGCTAGTGTGTATGTATTCTAGTCCGCGGGCAACGCCGATGCAGATTTTAAGCCTTTGTTCCCAACTAAGACTAGGACAATCCTTTCCTTTTCTGGCGAATTTGTAAAGATTGTCAGCCAGCGTGCCACCTGGAATGTACTCATACACAAGGATCATCTCTGGGGATTCGTTACAATAGCCTATCAATGAGACAAGATGAATGTGTCGCAGCTTTGAAAGCATTTCAATCTCAGCCCAAAACTCACATTCTCCTTGCTGGGAAAAGGACTTGGTCAACCTTTTTATAGCTACCATATTCAGATAACCAGGATTGAATGAGACCTCTATAAACTTTGCCAAATCCACCCCTTCCAACGACAAATGCTTTGTTAAAGTCCTGTGTAGCTAACCTGATCTCAGCAAGCGAGAAATAACGGCAAGATAATACTTTAACTGAGGCTAATCCTACACTTCTTTTCTCATTATCGACTCTCTCTTCACATATTTTCCTCAACACATAGGTTAGGATGCTCAGTAGAACAATCAGCATAGTCGCAATGCCATTGCTTGTTAGGCCAAAAGATTTATGCAAATCATCAGTTTCCAGTTTCCAAGAAGTTGAAAATCCTTCTACCAACGCAAGGTTTTGGACTTGGAGCAGCTAAATTGTTTTCAAGGTCGCTCAACTTAAAGATTTCCAGCCCATTAAGCAGACCAAAAACCAAGTCATCAAATGAATGTAGGCCAATTAAGATATCAAACGTCGTGCCTTGTCCATCTTCTTCCATCATCACGACATAGTCCTTGTATACAGGGATCCCTCCGTCACCACCACTCCATCTATTCACATCTCCTTTTCTTTCAGCAATCTGATTGTTTATAACAACAGAGAACTCCCTCCTTGTCTGCTCTCTCTCCCCCATCATCCTGTAGTTAGTAGGCTCACAGAAATGAAGCCTGACAAGATATCTAAATCCTGAGTCCACCCGTATTTTCCATGTAAACTGATGGTACATATGATGTAATCATGTGTCTACTTTCCAAGATGTTTGGTAAATCCTTGCTGGAGCAACATATGCAGCTGGACGGTTTGTACGCTTTACGGCCAGATGACTCAGTCGGCGAGCTCTGGGAGACTGGGACGCTCTAGCAAGTAATTAATATCATCATCCCAGTGGCGAAACAACCCAAAATCATCCATTGAATTTATGGAGTTACCTCCGATGTTCAGCCTTTGTATCACTTCAAGCGCAGTGCTATTATCGATAACATAGAATTTACTGTGTAGACCAACTATACTGGCACCAAACTCATTTTCAGCAGTGTAATAAAGACCTGTGGGCATGGAAATGATCTCAATAGCACTAACAAATGCATGTGTTTTTTTCTTCTTTGGTGACTTCCCATTAATGAAAGAAGGCAAAAAAGTTAAAGTCAATTCTTGACTTTCTTCTTCTGACATTCAAACAGAATTCTCTAACTATGGCCTTTATGCCTGAACTTTGGACAGAAGCAAGTGAAGGGCTGAAGTCTTTTAAGGAGAGTGAAAATGCCAGCTTTGACAGTAAAATGATCTCTCCAGTACTTTTCATGACAACCATGGTGGGAACTAACAGGGTAAAAATGTAGACGGACGATTTTCTGACCTGGATTGACTGCAAATGTGTACCTGAACTCAGTGTCCGAGATTCTGGATGTCTTGTAGGGAACAGGAACAGGATTTTCAGCCGTGCCAACACGCAGTGTAGAGCTTTTTTTGATTTGCCTGATAACCTGAATCCCAGGCCTGATTCTCCGACCCATTCGCGCCCATCAGGTGCAGTTGAGTTGCTGGCTGAGCCACAGCTAATAGCAATATTACGAACCAAAACCATAACCAACCCGAAAACTGCTACTGGGAACATTTTTCTCACGCCTAAGCCCAGGAAGGATAAAACAAGGATTATTCCTGTCAGAAATAGCTTGTTGATCTTGATGTACAACATCGGCCTGGTCTAACTATAATGATAATGATACTACGTGATTTCAAGAAGTGAAATGATAAAACCAATAATGTCTGAGGCAATTTTCATGAATGAGAGAATTAATGAATCTTTGGGGATCCCTAGCGAGTGGTGCAAATAAAATGGAGTACGTTGTTTTAGACTTTGCATCAGAAAAAAGACTTCAATAATAGAAGAATTGTACTCTTTAAGTTGACTCCAACTCCTTCCCCAGTTAGACCTGCAAAACTATGTTCACATTGCTCACAATATGAAAATGACTCTCCATGAGAGAAAATTATGCTGGTTTCTTTTTCTTTTTCTTTTTCTTTTCCCCCACCCAGAACACCAGCTGTTGCATAGGTCGGATATTTATTTCCATTCCATTCATATAAGTGAACTGATGAAGAAAATCCCACCAGAAGGAAATACCCCTTCGGTATTTTCAGTATAAAATGACACAAACTTTGCAGTAAATAATCCTTTCTTTATGCCAGGATGATATCATGATATTTATATGCATATAACTCCAAAACAGTAATCCAATTAAACAGACAAGAAAAACACTAATCCTAACAAATGATAATTAATTAAGTTAGCTGTGTATCTTTTCTTTCGATTCCTCCTTTTGAGTTCTCACTAATCACTGTGAAAGTATGTTGCTTCTGGTTAATACTATCCTGGCTTTGCTGCTGCTCCTGGAGAGGCTCCAGGGAATCTACAATGTCTCGCATTAGAGGACGCGCTTTTGGGTTACGGTTCAGGCAATGGTAAGCCAACATAGCAGCTTTGTGAACTCCTTTTATGGGATAGTCCCCTTCTAATCTTGGGTCAACTATGCTAAGCAGCTTTTTCTTCTCGCGGAGCAAAGGCATTGCCCAATCGGTCAGATTTTGCTCCCTAGCTGGTCTTGATTTGTCCAATGATTTTCTTCCAGTTAAAAGCTCGAGCAGGACTACACCGTAGCTATATACATCACTTCTAGGAGTCAAATGACCTAAAAGATCATGAAAAGTACAACACGGTGATGCAACGTGATCCCCGTCTAAATTGACGGGAGAAATATTGAACCAAACACGAAGAACTTTACCTGTTAAAATATATTCCGGAGCAGCATAACCATACGTCCCCATTATGCGAGTTGAAACGTGTGATTTATCGCCAACTGGTCCATCTTTCGCCAGGCCAAAATCAGATAGTTTTGCATTGTATTCCTGTTGTTCATAAAAATCACAAACTGGATTTCAGAAACGTAGTCTATATAAACAAAGGAATAGAAATTGAACCTAGGATGAAATACATTATAAAACTGGGGAGATGTTTGATGGATCACATACCGAATCTAAGAGAATGTTAGATGTTTTAAAGTCACGGTAGATGACGGGTTTCTCAGCTTCATGCAAGAATGCAAGTCCTTTTGCTGCACCAAAAGCAATCTTCATTCTAGTTGACCACGAAAGAGGAAGCAACACTCCTATCATTAGAAATAGAAAAGGTATGTTAGGACTTTTTGATGAAATAAAGATGGCATAATGAAAACATCCGTATAGATGGGATAAGCCCGTGCACAATCAAAACAAGGTAGTCTGCCTAAATTGTACCATTTAAACACTAGAAAGGTTTTTCATGAAGAGATCACGGAGCATAAAGAATGCCAGATGGTTTAAATTGTTACCCAACAATGTTGGGTTGAAGGGCTTTGCTTCAAAATCAATGCTGTTCATTGCAGCATCTTTATTTTTCTTTTTCCTTTTTTGATTCAGCAAGTAGGTATATGTTAAAGGACATACTTGAGAATAGATTGTTTTCCACGCTACCCCGAGCCATATACTCATAGATTAGCACCCTATGCTCCTCTTCACAGCAGTATCCAATCAGTTTCACTAAATTCGGATGAGAAAGCTGGCCTAAAAAGATTACTTCAGCCTGAAATAAAAACACAAATTCCACCAGATATTTATTGACACGACTAGGCAAAAAAAAAAAAAAAAAACCAGACAAATGGTTATGGGAAATTTAAGGATTTATTACCAGCCATTCTCTGTGACCCTGAAAACTGTTATCCCCATCGTGCACTTTAACAGCGACTGGAACTGGCTGAAGGTTTGGGTTCAACCCTTTCTTAACGTCATCAGATAAAAAGCCTTTATACACATTTCCAAATCCACCCCCACCCAGCATGTAATCTTGTCTGAAGTTATCTGTCATGGTCTTTAGTTCATCAAAACTGAACACAATCAGATGATTTGCGGGTAAACTAATTCGCAGACTTTCCACTTCTTCAGGGTTTGATGGTAATTTATCGTCATCCTTCTTTCGCGCATTTTCTGATGAGATTTTATTTGGCGATTCTGAAGAAAAGATGAACGTTAAGAAAATTAAAGTAGTCATCTGGAAATATAAGTCGCAGGCATCAAACAAAATTGGAGGACATTTATTAACCACATTATTCTGCAGATTCCTAGCAGAAGTAGGATTCTACAGTTAGCACCATCCCACTTGGAAAAAATTTCGGGTGCAATTTGCACTTTTTAAAGTATTGGATTGGACCATATTGTAAAACTGATCTACTAAAACTTTCTAGTTATTCTGTTTAACGTTGGTTGAACTTTAATATCACTACATCATCAAGGCTAAAAAGAATTACTGCAAGCGAAATTAGTGGCTTAGAGTTCCTTGGAAAGAATGAACATCACAAGCTTAACACAGCAATGCAACATTGAACCATTATTGGATAAAGATTGCTGCCTGTTTTGGGAAGCCATGCCTAGCTAGCCAGTAAGCCATGCGTTGATTACTTGATTTATGAGGGGTATTGGCTTTTTTACTTTTGAACTACTGATGTGTAGAAAGAAGTAACTGTCAATATTAGCATCATGACAAAAAGTCTCTCCATTGTTTGAAAGATTAACGATTTCTAAAACTAGCTACTTGAGGCAGAAACAGGTTAAGGTAAAGCAGATCCAAATGCAGAATTATAGAAAGTAGAAACAGCATATGCTGAGCAGTAAAAGAGGCAAATTTCCACATAATTTTCAGAACTACACATATGAAATCGGATATGTGTGTATATAGATAGCGGCAAAATGGAAAAAGAAGAGATGCAAGTTAACCTGACTTTGCATTAGATGAAACTCTGTAAATGGAAGGCTCTGCCCACCTAGAACAGCAGTTCCCCATTGCTGCACGAGCTGGGCAAACCAAGCAAGCAGCCCACTTATGCTAACTCTCTCACTCACTAATAATACTAACAAACAACGACCACTCAGAGAAAGATCCCCCAAATCACTGAGTAAACAAACAACAACCTATAATTTTAATTCCAAAACGATTCTTAATTGTTCTGAAAAACTAATGAGTGATGACCCCAAAAATGCCAGAAAAGAAAATTCACCTAGGGGTGGCTGATTTTTGTGGAGGTGGTCAGTGATGTTTCAGTCTATGGTGCTTCTAGTGGTTTTTCTTTTTTTCTTTCAAGGCAATGATGAATGTAGCAGAGGTGGTGGGAGGTTGCTGTTGAAGTTTATCTGTTGCAAGATCCTTTCTTCTTTTCTTTTTTTTTTTAAAAAAAAGATTGTTTTTTTTGGGTGCACTCTGTTTCTCTTTTCTTCTTTTCATTTTTAATAAATTTCAGTGATTGGCCTTTGTCGTCTCCCCTGTTAGTGCGCCATTGTGGGTGCACATATTACCAGCCATTTTTATTCCAACCTATCATTTTCCATCATTCTCCCAAAGTCTCTTCCTTTTTTCTTTCCTCTTTCTCCTTAAGCATGCAAAACCCCCTTCTTTCCCTGTCCTTTTTATCCACTTTGACACGCCTCCCTCTTTTCCACCTGTCCCTCAAACCCGACTAGCTAAGCTAGCACAGGAATTAAAACTCTGTTTATAGCCCTGCAAGAAAGCTACAAACTTTTTTTTACCAACCATTTCCCCATTTGTCTACACTCTAATCTGATGATGTACATATGTACAAAACATTATGTATAGTAGATGAATAGATATTATTATGATGATTGATGGGCTAGCAGGACATATACTCGATAAAATCTACAGGGCCTACCATGAAATGAAATGATACCAGAACTAACTAAAGGAATGAGGGAGGGGGCAGAGGCGAGGATCCTATGTGACTGAGTAACGTACAACAGATATTGTACCACCTCAATTTTATAAGTCAACCCTCTGTTGACACTAGACATTCTGGTAACAGTCTTATCTGATCCCACCAAAGATGATGAGTAATAAAATAGTTTACTATTAATTGAGAGTTGAGACAAAGGCCTCTCAAAACCATGATGGGTTTTGACAAAACAGTAATCCATGAGTTCAGGTAATTGTACTTAAAATCTTTCTGCTCGCTGTCAATTTGAGACTCCCTCATTCCCTTTTGTCCGATTTATAGTTTAAAGTTGTGGCTTAAAGCTATAACCCCGGAGGAAGTACTGGTATTTCTTTAGGCGCTTAGAAGTAGTAGTGTCAATTTCTCCTACCACAGTTTTGATTAATGTTATGTTGGATTAGTCAAAGCATCAATGATTAGCAAAACAGAAAATCACCATTGATGTTCCATTCCACCATCTTCTGATTATTCCCCATTGAAACAAAACAGGAGCAGCAGCAGCAGCACAAGATAGAGTTTAGTGGTCACAAAAGATAAATTGGCTGAAAACACGTGCAGCCTACTTCATTCTTACCAACCAACCCCCTTCAATTAATTACTCGTTTAACATTTGGTTCAATGGTTTGCTGGCCAAATTTTCAGACAAGACAACTCTCTTTCTGCTGCAACCCTAGTTGTTACAAATTAAATCTCTCCAGGATGCCTGGAATCTTGTTCGAAAAATTTGTGATAACTATTACTATAAATAAATTGCATCATACTACTTTACTTGCCCATATCCTTGAAGTCTCTATCAATAAAGATGTGACTTATCCCGATATATAACTGCTAACAAAGGAATGTGTGTGAAATAGAAAGCGTAACAGAATGTCCCACATTTCTTGCTGTGCTTCGGTAAATCACATTCCTTTTTCACATTGCTAAATTTTACAAGAACCAATTCCAGGAATCAAGAGATGTGTTTTTGGTGGTGGGGGCTTTTCCACATGTATGTCCCCTTGTTTTGACTCAATTTCCATCTCTGGAAACACCTACACAACAAGCAGAAATCGCTACTTCCGTTCCATGCACTAGGACAATGACGAATTGGCATGTTTATCATCCAGCTCAGGTTTATCCATCAATAATCAACAAGTTTTCTATCTTAGTTTTACGGATCATGAATCAACAAAGTTCTCTACTTAGTTTTATCGACTGTGAATCAACATTTAGCTGCATACTACACTTTAAAGATTGAATAATTACGACAAAACCATTCCTTCAAGACCCCACAAAAAACCTCATACATTTAGAGACAATAAAATCCAGCGTAGTTACTGCAGTATCTGGTGTTACAAACAAAAGAATAATAAAGCTGAGATGAAACTTTGGCAACTGTGTGTGCCCTTTTTTGAGGGACGAGTGAGATAGACATTCATGCAAACACATGCCTAGCCCCCTAGAGCCATGATAATATGTGTATCATAACTCATCTCCTGAAAGTACTGTTCACAATTTGGAAAGGGTTCATCTGAGTCAATGCACCACCTCAGAGTTAATAATAATTTGCACGCATAGCTAAGCTAGTTCATTGGGAACTTATTTGACCAAGAAGCAGCATTTAATTATTTTTTAATCTATTTTTTCTCCTTCATGATCTTCTGTGTTACTGTAAAGATAAACTTAGATGACGGACATGATGTAGGATGATCATTCATCATCTTCTTGTCTTTGCTTTAGTCTTTAACTTGTTTTACAGGGGAGCAGATATTTTGTATGGTCATCGCATGCATATGAGATGGCCAAATCAAGATGGAAACTATACAAAAGGGGAGTAATTTCCATCCTAAGCAACAAGAGAAACAATGTTGTATGCAAGTGAAAAGGCAAGGATAAGGAAAAATGGAATAACACTTAAAATATTGAAGTGGTAATATCAGTAACCTTATATTGGATTGTCAATGAGGCAATTGTTTCCTGCGTTTTGGTAGAAGAGAAAGTAAGTATGCTACAGAGTTGCATCATTAGCTTAAGGGTTCTAAATCCCTATAAATGACAAGAATAGCTAAATAATCAGCTGATCCTGTGTATATAGTTTGAAGTTTGAATCATATCAGAACAAAGATTATTGGTACACTTTTATCCACATTTCATTTTATACAGTTCTGAACTTAGGATTAGATACATTATTTACTTCTTCTAATCAGGAATCAATTGGCTGACTAGAGCCAGAAAAACAACCTACATGGATGTTGCAATGAAGTTCCCCAACGTCCAAGCAATCTGACTGTTTTACCTCATTAAGCAATTTCAACACAACTGATCTCGTGATGCATCGGAAGGCGCACTCACATTGAGTTTGCTATGCTGGATTTCGCGTGATTCACAAGAATTAAGTCCCTTGTGATAATTCTGCCGGTTAAAGAAGATTGAGCTCAATTTACGCGACGTAAGGATGAAGATATAAGTAGCTCAGCAATGATTAATCTGGTGCTTTTTGGGGGGAAATACTATAATACATGTTGCAAATGCACAGCACTACCATTTTCTCCTAAAAGGTTTAGGCATTCACAGTTTATAGATGTTTCTACTAGTGCAGGCTGCATAAAGTCTATGCCTATTAGTTCTTTTGTTCATCAATTATTCTCACATAGGGTAATCTTCTGGTGAAACATGTAGCTAGTAAGTATTCAACATGGTAGATGCATGTTGTGATTATAACAATACAGAATGTAGAACATCACTGCTGATCAGTTGTACTTTTCTCTCATACATCCAATTCTGTTTTAAGTGCAAATTTTTAATATCCGCTGAATTGATACTGGTATTATCTTAAACTGATATTTGACTAAGTGATCAAATTTCTACCCTGTGTAGTTTAGGCTAAGGGCTATAACCAACAACAACTAAGCCTGTATCACGGGACTCCAAAACTGATACTTGACTAAGTTATTCAATTCTAATCCCCGAGTAGTTTAGGCTACAGGCTATAACCAACAACAATGACCAATAAGCCTGTATCACATAATATGAGAACAGATAGATATATGGGCAATTTCTGTATGGATTGGGAGCCTAAAGGGATCATAAAAACCTTATTGTAACTTGATGAACTTATTATAACATAAGAATAGATTCCTACAATACTACACCTTGCAACACAAGTAAAGCAGAGATTTCGGAAAGGATTAGATCCACTTCAGAACATCTCATCATTGTATGATTGATTCAGATTAGTATTCTTGATTTGCAGACTTACAGTTCCTTTGCCCTCACGCCCTGACATCACACCATCTATAAATTTTTTAAGTATAGCTAGAAAGCAAACCTTTTTCCCCTATTTATATCCATCCTCACTAGAGATTATCCAACAACTTAATAACAATGGCTTCTACTTTTCATTACCTAATTCGGGGAATGTTCTTCTCACTCTGCTTTCAATTTATTCCTTCACAATCTAGCTCAGAAGTAAGCAAACTTCACTGCACTGAATGGGTGTCAATCCTTTGCACAATGAAAAGGAAAAAGCCTCAAACTTGGTAATGACAAGTGGACTGATCCTCCTATTGTTTCTTACTTTTATCACAGGTGTACATAGTCTATCTTGGTCACCACCAGAATAAACATCCTCTTATCACTTCAAACAATCACCTACGACTCTTGAGCAATGTGTTTGAAAGGTAAATGAAATCTATCCAAAGAATAACGAATCAGTAGCCTGTAAGAATTTTACTATCCATGGTTGTAACTTTCCTCTACAGTGAACAAGATGCAAAGCAGGCGATGATTTACAGTTACAAGTATGCATTTTCTGGCTTCTCGGCAACAATGAATTCGGCACAAGCTAAAACCCTATCCAGTAAGAAAGCTTAACTAATTAGACCTCCGAATCACTAACAAGGTTTTGTTTTTATTGTTTACGTACAAAATCTTCCTGGTATTTGAAAAGCTATTCAGAGAATCAAAACGGACACATGACAAATGAATGCAGATACAGAAGGCGTAATATCCATTTTCAAAAGCGAGACTCTAGAGTTGCATACAACAAGGAGCTGGGATTTTCTAGGCCTCACCATGGATTACCCTGGGCAGAGAATTCCATGGCAGGAAACTTATGGAGGCGACGTCATTGTTGGAATCATTGACACAGGTTTAATTTCCATACTAGTACTACTATGTGATTTTGATGCAGCAACAACCTAGTTATTGAAAAACTTTCTCAAGTATACAGTAGGGTAAAATGGCACAATAAAAGAGTAAAAACCACCAAAATTGCCAAAGATATTAAGCAATGGAAAAACCGAAATGCAATAAAAGGACTCACCTACAGAATCTCCAAGTTCTGTAATCAATTTTCACTTGTATGCATCAGGAATATGGCCAGAATCTCCAAGTTTCCGGGAAGAACCCGGGATGGGGCCAGTCCCGAAAGCCTGGAAAGGGAAATGCGTAGGCGGGGAAAAGTTCGACCCGGCAAAAGCGTGCAACCGGAAACTGATCGGGGCGAGGTACTACCTGGAAGGATTCGAGCGGCGGTACGGCCCGATAAACCGGACGGGGTACAAGGAATACAGGTCGCCTTACGACGCGGTGGGACACGGGACACACACCGCCTCCACCGCGGTGGGGTCCGCGGTGAGGGGGGCTAATTTCCTCGGGTTCGGACAGGGGACGGCCCGGGGCGGGGCTCCGAGAGCCCGGCTGGCGGTGTACAAGGCGTGCTGGAATTACGGGTACACCGGGGTGTGCAGCGAGGCGGACGTGCTGGCAGCTTTCGACGAGGCGCTGGGCGACGGGGTAGACGTGATATCGGGTTCGTTCGGGCTGAAGCCGCCACTGAAGCTGTTCTTCAGGTCGGCCTCGGATATCGGGTCGTTCCACGCCATGCAGAGAGGAGTCACCATGGTTTACTCAGCAGGTAACAATGGACCGGATCCTTGTTTAGTAGAGAACGTGGCTCCCTGGAGTATCTCCGTCGCCGCTTCCATCATTGATCGGAGTTTCCCAACTCTGGTTTCCGTCGACGGCGGCACTCTTTCTTTGCTGGTTCGTCTCTATCTCTTGGCTGGCTGATGAATTGATTTTGTTTAGCCACAATTGTTCCTTCCTTCTTCTTGTATTAGTAGTAGTTGTGATTTCATTGTTTTTGTTTTTTTTTTTTTTTGATTAATTTGATTTCTAAGCTGTACCTTATTGAATTTTTAAAACTAATAAACCTGCCCTAGCTTGAATGAATTGAACACAATTATTAATTAATTAAGAAATTTGATTTCAGAGCATGAGATTGGGCAAAAATTAATTGTTGGTTTGTGTTGATGATCAGGGTGAAGGATTTGTGGTGAATAAGGTTATGGGATCATTGGTAAATGCCAGCACTTATTTTTTTGGTGGTGGGTGAGTTCAGTTCTTCTTCTTCTTCTTCTTTGGTCACTTCTTGCCAATGATGATTGATGGGCTTATTCCCCCTCCTTTGCTCAGAGTTTGCCAGTTGGAATACAGCAAAAACAAATCAGCTGCGGGGAAAGTGCTGGTATGCTTCTCCAGTTTGGGACCGGTGACCCGAGAAGATGCAGAGTTAGCAGTCACAAGTCTCAAAGCCACAGGGTTCATCTTTGTGGAGCCTTTAAGTAGGTTGTCTCCTTATCTTACCATTCTTCCTTACGTTCAAATTGACATCCTCCAGGGCCAACAAATCTCCAACTATCTCGCCCTCGCTCCCCCTTCCAAGTTAGTCCCCCTCCTGTCTCTCTCATTCAACTACCTGCATTTCCTTTTGCCTTGTGTGTCTGATTATTTGAAGGACTTGATTCATTATATGTACACATGAAGTCCCCCCACGGTTGAGATATTCCCGAGTAAGACAGTTCTGGGAAGATCACCAGCTCCTATCGTCGCAGAATTCTCTTCAAGAGGACCGAGTCCTGTGTCTCCTGATTTTCTCAAGGTAGGTAGAACCAGCACAGCAGTGACCCAATTGTTGCGCCATATTGCCTAGAAAACTTCATTTGATCATTAATAAAGGTTGTTGCTTTGATCTTACATATAAACAGTTGTGTTGATCAATGTTGAACAGCCAGACATAGCCGCCCCGGGAGTGAATATATTGGCAGCATGGCCTCAAACAACTCCTCCAACTGTGGTACCTGAAGATAAGCGCATGGTGAGTTGGAACTTCTTGACAGGGACTTCGATGTCTTGCCCTCACGTCGCCGGTGTAGTTGCTCTTCTTAAATCCGCCCATCCTGACTGGTCTCCTGCGGTTATAAGATCTGCTCTCATGACCACAGGTCAGTGATTTTACCATATATCATATATCATATAATAGTAGTCAGTGTTTCTAAATTATTAAAATGTTTCGGCTTAGTTTAACTACAATGTGCATTTTTGTCACACGTCCAGCTTACAACTTTGACACGGCCGGTGATCAAATTTTGGCAGCTGGATCAATCAAACCTGCTGATCCCTTTGACATTGGGGCTGGCCACATAAATCCCCTGAGAGCAATGGATCCCGGCCTGGTATATGACATGAAAACCTCGGACTATGTTATTTTTCTGTGCAACATCGGCTACACTAGGGATCAGATAAAAATTTTAGTCCTCTCGGATTCCACCACCAGCGATAACAATATGGACAACATGATGTGTCCTACGGAATCCAATCCAGCCAGGGGAGGCAGTCCATCACAAAGCAATGCAAACCTGAATTACCCATCCATCACAGTCGTAAACCTCCAGAGGACCACTACGATCACGCGTATGGTTCGCAACGTAGGGTTAATAGGGGGAGGAAACAACAACTATAAGATATCAGTGTATTTTGTGAAAGTGGTGAGTCCAAATGGAGTGGATGTGGTGGTGTGGCCTCGGGTTTTAATATTCTCAACACCTTTCAAGCAAGAAGCTGTGTACTACGTGACACTCGTCCCGAAGAAAACATCACAGGGGAGGTATGATTTTGGTGAGATTGTTTGGTCTGATGGGAATCATTATGTTAGAAGCCCATTGGTTGTATCTGTTAACACCTCTACAACAAATGCTGATGGAGGAGAAGTTGAAGCAGCTGCTGATGATGATGCTGATGCTGCAACTACTTATTAGTTGCTTTTCCAATTGTACTAAATAATAACATTACAATTAGACATACATTGTGATGATGATGATGTTTGAAATATATTGGGTCTGGGTCTCAGTCAAATCATGGATTCAGCCAATTAATTTGCTCATCAGTTAGATGAATACTATTCTCTGAGTCACATTAACCTCCCATTTCAGTTGGATGAACATATATTTCTTAGAGAAAATCTTCTGATAAATAATTTGTTCAGAGAAAGCAATACTCCTATAGTAGATAACTGTAGTAGTGCTACGCTTTTATTTACAATTTGGCAAACCATCCATATTTGTTGTGTTTGGTTGTCTTCTCAGCAGTTAAGGGAGGTAGGTAGTAGTCTTGAATGATTGATTGATTATAAAGTTCAAAGAGAGAAATGATAATAATAATTTCATTCATAAATCTTGGGGGTAGTCAAGTGTAATTAATTAACTCGTGAAGATATGTATCTACGTCTCCTTCTTACCTTCTTATTTGGGAAACCTTGACACGAGCTTTTTACAGATAAGCACCTCTTATCCCATCCCACCCCACATTCAATCCATCATCATCATACACTGTTTTGCATATATTTGATGAATCTGGTAAAAGCCCCCAGTTGCATGTTTCATGTTTGAACGTGATCATCAACCTAAACTAGTCACTCATCACCAATTACCCTCAACCACCTAACCTCAGATTCTACTTATTTATGGTTTTCTGCTTTTCTTTCCAAATTAATTACTCTGTGGGTCTCCTTTGTCTTGTATTTTTGAAGCCCAACTTCAGTGAGATAATTCAGACCATGTCTCACCTAATTCCCAAATGATCATCTTATTCCTCTCATTCTTTGACAATCCAATCCATTTGCCCCAGGCTCCTCAAACCTTCCCATTCTTATAGTAGTACTATTTTCCTCACTACCAGACTGCGGTCTAGTATAACAATAACAACTTACTTGTTTGTGCTTGTTAATTTGGGGGTGATAAACTAAGAATACCATAATCAGATTGCAAGTAAAATGGCCTTGAGGAAATTCGGAAGGTTGAGCTTGATATCAAGAATAGGGAAGAGGGACTTCTCAATCGCCTCAACCAGTGAGGGGCTGATCGAAAAGGCTGACTCCAAGTCCATCAACCTCTTTACTGCTGTTAATCAAGCACTCCACATTGCCTTAGAAACCGATTCTCGGTAAGATTCTCTTTTTCTCCTTGTTTATCTTGCTCTTTTCTTTGTTCCCTTGTTTTCTGTTGATTAAGTTTTGTTCAGCTGGTTGGCCCTTGATTTGTAATGAATACACTGTTTTATGTTCATTTTTAGCTAGTTTATCTTGCAAATTTTTTTGCTCTCTGGCTTTAATAGCTGATTAGCCCTTTGATTTTGAAAGTCAAGAAGAACCCTTTTGCCCCTTTTCAAATATATATGCTCCCTCTGGCTGGAGTTAGATTTTGGTTGTGATGTGTTTTCGGAGTAAGGTGTTCTTTGTAAAAAAACAAAAAAGGAGCTCTTTTTTAATGTCCCTTTTTCATGTTTCAGTTCTTATGTATTCGGGGAAGATGTGAGCTTTGGTGGTGTCTTTCGTTGCACCACCGGGCTAGCCGAACGATTTGGGAAAAAAAGGGTTTTTAACACCCCTCTCTGTGAACAGGTAATGAGGTAGTTCTATCATCACATTTGAAACTCTCTCAAGTACAGCTTGATCTTCCAAACCATGATCTTTTTTATTGATATTGTATCGATTTTAAACAGGGTATTGTTGGATTTGCTATCGGTTTAGCAGCAATGGTAAGTGTTAAGGGTGCTCAATGCAAGCTTTCTCAATATATCATTTTCCTACCCGTACATTTGGCTTCATTTTCTTCTATATTGGCGTTTGGCTCTTAAATATTATAAATTGCAGGGAAATCGAGCTATTGCAGAAATTCAATTTGCAGACTACATATTTCCTGCATTTGATCAGGTTCGCATCCTCCTCGAGGTTAACGTTATAGCATGCTATTTGTAAAGAAGGCATGACTGACAATGTTCATTTGTATTTCAAGATTGTGAATGAAGCTGCCAAGTTCAGATACAGAAGTGGTAACCAGTTCAACTGTGGAGGTAATGTTATGCATGTTCTTGACAATTAAATACTTGTGTTTAAGAAGGTTGATTGAAGTTTTCCATCTTTCTTCCCCCAGGCTTAACTATAAGAGCTCCTTATGGAGCTGTAGGCCATGGCGGGCATTATCACTCCCAATCTCCGGAAGCTTTTTTCTGTCATGTTCCCGGTATCAAGGTAAAACTTCAAGCCTGGCATTTCTTTAACTATTCTTGTGGTTTTGTATCCCATTTTTTCTTCATTTTTTTCTTTATTGGTCTGGAAACTGACTTCATCAAATTTATTGGATTTCACTTTAAACCTGATGCAGGTGGTGATCCCTCGGAGCCCACAACAAGCAAAAGGTTTGCTGCTATCAAGCATACGAGATCCAAACCCGGTTGTCTTTTTTGAGCCCAAGGTATGCATTATTTTCACGTTACTTTTGATGTCATGAACGCCAATTTTATGAGGCTAATATTTGCAGATATCTGTTAAATTGTGTTTTAGTGGCTCTACCGTTTGGCTGTAGAAGAGGTTCCTGAAGATGATTACATGTTGCCACTGTCAGAAGCAGAGGTATGTTTACGGCATTATGCACCACTGATGGTGATTTATTAACTGTATTCCTGAGAAATCGGGCGATTTAAACTCAGGTTATCCGAGAAGGTAGTGATATAACACTTGTTGGCTGGGGAGCTCAGCTATCTGTCATGGAACAAGCCTGCATTGAAGCTGAAAAGGTGTCATCATTTCTACACTTTGGCTTCATTGCATATTTCTAGCATACTGAAAATTATCACTGGTAGTACTTGAGGATTAAACTTTCTTGTGATGTTTTAGGATGGAATTTCTTGTGAACTTATAGACCTAAAGACACTGATACCATGGGATAAAGAAACCGTAGTGGCCTCTGTTAGAAAGACTGGTAGGCTTTTGGTAAGTGTTTATTTGAAATTCCGAGATTTTCTCCTCCATTAGAAAAAGCTGTATTTCCTTGACAAAGTATGGATTTTGTCTTGCCTAGGTAAGTCATGAAGCTCCAATAACTGCTGGATTTGGTGCTGAAATTTCGGCTTCAATAATTGAACGTTGCTTTTTACAGGTGGGCTATACTTTTTATGGGTATTCAGTCGTTGAACATAGAAGTGTTGTTGCCTTTTGCTTGCCGCATCTTTATTTAATATTAAACTTTCTCCTGAACTGATCTCTTGGAAGAAACTACTCAAGATATTTGCACGCACGAAATTAGATATATACTTTCTGTAATTCGCAATGGTTTTTGCTGTCCAAAATTTAACTTCATCATATCATGCTGATTACTTTTGACTGCATCTCCTCTAAGCATTTGTTGATCTGCTGTCTTCAAAATTTGATCTTTGGCAGAAAACTTTTTGGTTCTACTGAATTTCTTCGGCCTTGTGCTGCTCGTGCACAAAGCTGAGGAATGACTTGTTACGTTCTTCAAAATGGAGCATTTGAAAAAAGCAAAAAACAAAAAAAAAAAAAGGACTGATGCATTAAACGTAACTGAAACGTAACTGAATTTTGCTGTAAATTTTACTCTCAACTTTTGGAACTATGTTGTAAATTTTACTCCCACTATTCACTTCCATTTAAATGACTCTGCAGTTGGAAGCTCCTGTTGCACGCGTATGTGGTCTAGACACCCCTTTTCCTCTCGTTTTCGAGCCATTTTACATGCCTACAAAGAATAAGGTCTGGCATTTTCCCTCATTTTTCAGACAATAATGAGTTTTGGAAAGCGTGATTCGAGCAATCGATTATTTTTGCCTGACTTGCTTGCAGATATTGGATGCAATCATATCAACTGTAAATTATTAGGGCACAGTGCCTGCCTGCAACTGAAACTTTGTTCTCAGGACTCAGGAGGAGTGAAGCTCTGATGATGAGAAGTGTTTAAAGTTCTGGCTTCACTGTTTGAATGGCAACTTTAATTTTCATCCATTCACTCTCCGTTGTATAATTGTTGTGGTATGGTGAAAGTAGTTGATGTTGCTTTATGTCCATTTAAACTGTATTTTTTAAAAAGTACTTTGATCATTGTGGATTTTGCCATTGGTATTCACAGTCAAAAACATTTTAAAATACATACGAATTATGTCTCGCAATTGTAAATATGTAGAGTGATAGGATAAATGAGTCCCATTTTTTAGAATATCTGAGTTTATGTTCAAGAAGAAGCCCCCAGAAAAGACAAACAAAAAGGAAAATGATAAAAAGAAAGAAACATAGAAAGGTCGAATTGGGTTCTTTTGTCCTTACCACATTCACATTGTACTTGAAGATCATCAGTTTTTATGGCAGAAGCGGGCCACTTTTTCCAAGCCATTATTAGACTACACTTACAATATTTATAATGGTGTGATTTCAAAATACAACTGTTCTTACATGCTTAAAAACTCACTGAGCCCTACTGTTATGGCAGTAGAAGAAAAGAAAGTGGCCTCCTCAAAGCAAACATTAAAGAAGAAAAAGGATAATTATTATATTTTTTTTCCCTTCCCAGCGGATGATTTCATTTCCAAAAGGATCTGTGCTTCGCACCAAAGTACACCCCCATTTGGCCATTTCTCCGCCCTTACCAGCAGAAATGCCCCCTCTTTTCCTTCCTCCCAAAAACAAGAAGGTTGTGGGGACCAAATTAGGCTTTTCGTAATTTCTTTAGCACCAAATTACATAGGAATCAATCATTCAGAATCACTTTCCATGCTTCCCATTGCCTTGAGTCCTCTAGGTTTCTGCATCACATTTGTAATAATGACATTGCGGAGGGAAAAAAAAATGGGAATAATACGAAAAAGCTGACTGTTACTGTTGGGGAGGATTAGAGCTGAGAAACTCTACCTTCTTAGAAGTCTTCTTCTCTCTTACCTCGTACCGCTCTTGGCACAGGTCTGATAACCATGTACCAGGACTAACCAACTGCAAAAAGATGTACAAATCATTGACATGATTAGAAGGCGAAACATGACCCAAAAAAAAATATATATATCCCACGTCAGTGCAGCAAACCCTCCATCCAGCAAAGTAAAAGTGTAAATCTTAAAAACGAAGAAAAGGCGAAATCTAACAAAAACCAACACAACTGCACATCAGTGCAGGCCCTTCATTAAGAAAAACTGTAAACTTACGAATCTTTGACACAATAAAAGGCAAAAATCGACAAAGACCAAGACAATTCCACATCACAGCAGCAGATGCTTAATCAAGCAACACCATCAATGCGCTAGTTCAAATCAATGCCAAATTTTAACAAGTTCAAACCGGAAAGTATGAGCTTCAACCTGATAAACAACTGAAACTTAACAAAAACCAAGACAAATCCACATTAATGCAGCAGGCCAATGCGTCAACAATCAAAAAGCCTAAAAAAAAAAAAAAGAAAACAGAGGATACTCACGAGTAATGTTTTTTGTATCAACTTGGCTCTTTTCTTGGGCCGTTGGGGTAGTTTACAACCTTTCATAGCCATAAAGTCTTCTTCTTTCTCTTTACTTGATAGAGCAATTACTAGTTTAGGCCATACAAGCCTTTTCTTGTCGTCCTTTGCGTCCCCACCAAAAAACACTTTGCTACGATCATCAAAACCAACAACTGATGATGAACCCCTCGTAGTGTAATACCGATCTTCTTTATCTGGGGATAATGCTAATGTCGCTTTTTGACGACCCGCCACTAAATCCCTGCAGTAGTCAAGAGCAGAAAGCAAGGGAAAGTCATGGCAGTATCAGTAACTTCTTAGTTCGTAGAAACCAAATATAAATACAACAACACCGAGCCTTTATCCCAGAGTATGGGGTTGGCTACAAACCTAATACAAGCATCGAGTTAACATTACAAGCAAAATACATCCATTGCAAATGGAGCTGGAAGAGTCATTATTGACAATTCTTTCAGCTTTGTGCTAATAATGAATTAGATCAAAATGGCTCATTTAAATTCCGACGCTTCTTCATTTAGTGAAATTGCCGAAAATCAATATATCAATGCATCTTGGGTCGTACTACTTAAACAGCCTCTCTGCATTGAAATACAGGGGTAAGGCTGCGTACATCTTGACCCCCAAGACCCCAACCAAGTTGGGAAGAATATACTGGGTTATATATATATATATATGTTCCTTCTATCTATAATCCCTTGGCAAAGCAAAGGAGGGCATCAGCTTTCAAAAGAGAAACCAAATTCCACAAAGGAATGGAGATGCAATGGAACCAAAGCGAATGACCCCTGAGCAATTGAGGATAACCGTGATGCATCCAAGCAAAGAATGGGATCTAAGTAACAAGACTTGCTGCTCTATGTTACCTATAATGCAAGATGTTGATGTCCAAGTATCATCAGCGTTGAGTGACAATTACACCCCTGAGCCACCCACCATATAGAAAGCAGTACAGAAATAGATTATCCAATTTCATCCTGAACTTAATGGTATATCTACTATCAGACTAAAGATACCTCAGAATGAAAAAAAAAAAAAAAAAAACACACACACACAGAAACAACAAAGAAGCTGAATCATCTTCTCATCTGGAACAGGGAGGATGACAAAATCATGAATTCTAGAAAAGTTGGGAGAGGGGTTATCACCTGTGGATTCGATTGGGAGAAGGAAGTGGGGGAAGAGAAGCATTATAATTAGAATTAGTGTGAGCAAAACGGGAAGTGATTTTGTTCTTCAAGAAAACAACACCGAGTCCATCTCCATCTCCATGTCCATGGCCGGGAGAATCAAGAAAGGAGGATGGGGATGGAGATGAAGTACTAGTCTGGTCGGCAGCAGCAGCTTTGAGTTTAACACATCTAAGCCTCTTCCTATTTCCCCATTGTAATCTATCCATCTTAGTGGGTATCCAGAGTTTCCCCAACTGTGAGAGATATGAAATAGGGAAGCAAAATCACGAAGCCGGACTTAAAATATGGAACAAACAAACCCGAAAGAAGAAGAAATAGCATAAGAAAGAATTGAAATGTAAGCTACACTAGAGAAGACAATCATCTCAAAGATCTGTGGAAGAAATACCCATACATTTTACTACATGAAAAATTAGACAGAAAGAAAAAAAAAAAAAAAAAGGTACAACTTACAAAGAAGCACAACACAGAGCGAAAGCGGGCGAGATAAAAGAGAGACGAAGGATTTGTGCAGCAAACACTCTCACTAGGAGTATACAACATACAGCTCCTCTTCTGTTTTAAGTGGTAAAAAAGTGAGGAAAAAACATAGATATTTACTAAAAGGTAAAAAGAGTTCGTGAAACGGGAACGTTTGGAAATGATTGGGTTTTCATGATTATTCGGTTGGGCTGTAAATCTGTAATGTTCACAAATCACAACAATTGTAGCCCACTTCTGTATCAACCCGCAAACAGCACATGAAAAATTAACCAAATTATGTTGTCATGGGCCATTTTACGTTGCTTCTACGTACGTGTGATTATTTTATTTGTGAATATATGTAGAAAACTACGTACACGTAGTTTACAGTTGTAACTCCTTTTGGTGGGAACTTGGTTTTAATTTTATTTTTTTTTTGTTTTATAATGACAGTAGAAACGTGTGGTGATAATAATTTAACTAATTACAGATGTTAGAAACAATGACAAGGCAAGTGCGCACCATTCCAGATTAAGAACAAAACCTTTCTTGATGATACTACACGTTTATATGGTCGACTCTCATGAAAACAATACAAGAATAAAAATGAAAAGGAGGGGGGAAGAAGGGATGGTTAGAACTAAATTTACTTTGACTACTTGATGAACCCACCTCAAGGTATTCAATTGTGTTATATATATATAATATTAAAAAGCACAACACTAGGCTGCGCTATAGTCGATTGATACTTTTTTTTTTTTTTGGTGCCTTAAATTCCTGCATTAAGTGATACACACCATAGCTACCTTGATACGTACCCTCTCTCTGAATAATTTGAAGGAGATCAAGAAGTAGCTAGGGATGGATAAGCTTTGGAATTGATGAATTTTTATGATACTGAAAGAAAGGGGGGAGAGGGGTTACTTACAACTATCACTAGCTAATTGTTTAATATAGTAGTTGGATGAATGATCATATATATTTATGATCAACTGGTGGAGGGCGCGCGGGGGTGTGTTGATGAAGATATTCATCCAAGCTGCGGCGTTGTTACTAGTGGTAGTGATGATGATGGCCAAGGTGGCGGTAACCTCTTCCGGCTGGGGAGGATCTCCACCGCCGATGCCATCCGCACCGATATTATACAATGTCCTTGACGACGACATCATGGGGTCTCCCGCACCCAGCCCTACTACTACTACTTGTAGTAGCCTCTTGAAGAAATTCGAGCAGCCAGATGAAACATTGGTTGTGGGTATTTCAGCCATCGCAGACGCGGCGGACCACGACCGCCATCACAAGGGATCTCCGTCACCCAGCCCCAGCCCGACGGCACAACACGAAGACGACGATGCTACGACGTCGACGTTAATGGCCATTTCCGCGATCCAAGATGTGGCGGGGACAATTGGCCAAAAGGGTTGGTCGCCGGCACCTACCCCAAGCCCAACCACATCCACATCCACCATGTCACGGATATTGGTGATTTCCGCCATCCAAGATGTGGCGGGTCGGTCACCGGCACCTAGCCCAAGCCCAACCGCATCCACGTCCGCCGCCGCACAGATATTGGTGATTTCCGCCATCCGAGATGTGGCGGAGGAACACGGCAAGTCTCCAGCACCAAGCCCAATCCCAAGCCCAACGACCTCCTCCACCATGGATCAAATTCAAAATCTATTGCTCATTTCAGCTATCCAAGATGATGACCACCACCGCCATGGGGGTTCTCCGGCACCTAGCCCATCATCAATGTTAATGACGACGTCGGACATTAAGATTTCCGATACCAAACAACAACAAGGACATCATGATGTGGCCCACAGGAAGGGATCGCTTCTTAGCCGCCCAACCATGGCATCCAGTAGTGGTAGTAGTAATAATGATCATGATGCAGAAGCAGCAGCATCAAAGAACCCTCCGGCACCTACCCCTTATGCTACTTATCCTCCTCCACCACCACCGTCACTCAACAGTAATATCACCACCACCTCTCCTCCTCCTGGTCCTGCTCCGGCTGCTGCTGTTATTGAAACCAAACTGAAGGTAATTTTCAAAAATGAAGCCGCATCACCACCTGCTGCAGACTTCCTTCTTCCACCTCCACTCATGCCGGTGGCTCCCATCCCCATCACCATCACGTCTCCTTCTTCCACCACTTCTAGTTCTACTACTACTGCATCCCTTCCCTCTCTGCTCCTCTGGCCGCCGTTGCCTTTGGTTTCTTTTTTCTTGGTTTTTGCTTGGAGGTTTTAGGGGGTTAATCCCCCCAAACTAACACTCGGCCAACAACCCACCAACAAACAAAGGTAAGCAGAATAATTAATTGGTTCATTTTATTTATTTTTTCCCTTTAATTTTGTTACTTTCTCTCCTTTTTTTTTCTTTTGGTACTATAAAGTTACCGTTACTATAAAATTTTGGTGAAAAGCTAGAGTGATGATACCCCAAGTAGCTATTACTCTAGAGTTATCCCTATTTACTGATGAATTGATTGATGATCCCCCCAAGGAGGCGGCCAGGTGTTCTCAGAACGGATCGCACACTATACTAGCTAGCTAGCTAAGCATAGCATACCGATTTTGCCTCGCTTTCATTTGTTTTGGGGACACATTTCTCGCGGAGACTCAGTTTGAGTCATATCGGTAGCACAGGGGAGGGGACAACCAAATTTTGAGGTTTTGGCAGCTTCCATTGGATTCACGGTCACCAAAAAGATCGTGAGAGGTTAGACTTTGGATCAATTCGCCAGCTAGTATCCTCGCACATCCACATTTTGTATCATCACTCTTGTAAATTACTTAAAATCCACTCTCTTTATTTAGATTGCGCTATCTCTTGGAAATGTAAAAATATATGATGGAATTTGAAAAATTTATTGTAATTGAAATTTTCTGGAAAAAAAAAATACACGTATCTGTTTCGAGGTTCAACATTGATCCGTTTAACCATCACAGACTATCAGAGTTTTGCTTCATAATTGTTTCTTATGTGAAAACAATGTTTCGATTCGTTTCTCTACCCTTTTTTTCCCCTCAAAATTTATAATTTCTTTCTTCCCCGTCTGAAGTGAAGGTGTAAGTAGAATATAATCAAACTAAGCATGTCAGTTTTGTTTATTGTATTCTGTACTAAATGAAAATCTACATTTTATACGAGTGAGTACTATATGAAGAAATTATTTAATTCATATTACTTTTGGTGGGTGTATATCATGACGTGGCATTGCACTACGTATGAATTGAATGTGATCATTATTTTTCCGGGGTTGAGTATGCGAAATTGTTGTCGATACTCGATATACGTGCAAAATACCCTTTCACTTATACTAATTCATTATTACCATCTCTTCTTTTTTTCAGTTTTTGGGGGGTACAAGTTAAAATCTATATTAATTAAAATTAGGGTGTTCAAGCGACCGGTTAGCCAGTTTACCAGTTAATCGGTTTCGGTTAATTTTGGTTTTGTCAATTTTAGATAAAATCGATTAACCAACCGATTAAGTCATCGGTTTAACGATTTCGGTTTATCGGTTTTCGGTTTAATTATCGGTTTCTATCGGCTTAACCGATAATATTTGTCATATTTTTTCAAACAAAATATAATTGATGTTTGGCTTAACTTTTAAATTTTGTTCTACTAATTTATATAGTTCATATCGTATTTTAGACCCATCAAATAATGAAACTATTTTTTAAACTCTCAATCTACATTTAAAACAATCAAAATTTTTCTTTTTTATAAGAGTGAACCTCAAAACAGGTCATTGAACTATTAAGTAATTCTAATGCAGGTCATCAATGAAATTTATTTGTATAACAGATCACCTTACTAAGCAAAAAATTCATCCGAGATCATTCTGTTAATTTTGGACGTTAAATAGTGACGGAAATCCAATTTTCGAATGCTTTTGAATTCATGGGTATTTTTGTTTTTTTTTTGTTAATTTTTTATTTTTTGAAAAAACTTATTTTTTTATTTTTCTTTTTTAACAATTCTTCTTCTTATCCTTCTTAACTTGTATATACTGGTAGTATAATTCTAAATTTCATAAAGTTATTTTACTTTTGTATTTTAACTTCTAGATTATAAAATTTTTTTAAAAAATTAAGAAATAGAGAAGAAAAATTCGAGTTAAAGTAAACATGAAATTTAATAGTTTACCATTTTAAACTAAAAGAAAAACTAAAAATCAGCTAATACAAGTTATTTTTTCTAATTTATTTAATTATTTTCAACTCGATTTAATCATTTAATTATTAATTTTCACGTTTACTTCAATTTGAATTTCTCTTCTTTATTTTTTTATAAACTATAAGTTAAAACACAAATGATAAATTAATTTTTGAAAATTAATAATGATACTAGTACTAACATATACAAGTTAGGAAGTAAAAGAAGAAGAATCATAAAACAAAGTTAATTAAAATATTAATATTTAAAATATATATTGACAAAATTACCCCTTGACCCAAAAACAGGTAAAAAATAGCTTTCTGTCATGATTTAACTCCAAAAATAACCTAGGAGAAACAATTTCTCTTAGCTGAAAACTCATTTGAACGTTAAATCGTAATGTAAAACTATTTTTCACATGCTTTTGGATCCAGGGTAGTTTCATAATTCTGTATTTTTCTTTAAATATATTAATTTTTTTTTCTTCCAATTTTTCTTTTTCTTTACTTCCTAACTTGTATATGTTGGTATTATAATAATTATTAAATTTTAAAAATTAATTTATCATTTGTATTTTAACTTCTAGTTTATAAAAACATAAAGAAGAGAAATTCAAATTGAAGTAAACTTTAAAATTAATAATTAAATGATTAAATCGAGGTGAAAATAATTAAATAACCTAGAAGAAACAACTTATCTTAGCTTTAGTTTCTTTTTTAGTTTAAAATGATAAACTATTAATTTTTATGTTTATTTTAACTCGAATTCTTCTTTTTTATTTTTCTAACTATTTTTAAAAAAATTTATAATCTAGAAGTTAAAATAAAAAATTTAAATTAATTTTTGAAATTTAGAAATTATACTACCAGTATATACAAGTTAGAAAGTATAAGAAGAAGAATTGTAAAAAGATAAAAATAAAAAAATAATTTTTTTCAACAAAAATAAAAATTTAAAAATAAAAAAATGACAAAAATACCCCTAAACCCAAAAGCATAAACCTAAATAACAAAATGGTAATTTTTATCAGCACCTTTCCTGTTATTTGTCTAGATGTAGTGATTACCTGAGTAAGGCAGTTCATTCAGATTAAATTGAAGTAACAGCTCCCCCAAGTTGTTTGTAAATTCAGATACCCGATTTCCTCCAAATTTATCACCAGGGCCAAGAATCTGGTTAAAATCACCAATAACAATCCAAGGGAGCATATACGCCGAAACTATTGCTTTCATATCATTCCAAACTGGGGTTCTTTGATCAGCCCTAGGGTGACCATAAACAAAAAGAGCCCCCGATACAAAATTATCCCTTTCCACTACCTTAATTGCTACCATATAACTACTAACACTAAGGAGTTCTAGATTAACCTCCTTAGTCCAAAATAAACACAGCCTACCATTTACATTAGCAGAGGACTGAATAACCTAGTCACACAATACAGTACCTTCTGCCCACCTATCTATTACATCATCCTTAAGCAACATTTCTTATAGAAACAAAATACTAGGGTTATGTACATTAATAAGTTGTCACAGCATTTGCTTTGCAGGGGGACGTTGCATATCCCTGCAATTCCATGAAACGACTCTCATGATGACTTGGGTGATTGATTTGGTTAAACCACCGGAAAACCTTCTTCATGATTGTCTTCTGATGATGATAACACATTGGTGTGCCTGCCTAACCCTCTTTGTTCACCAAATGCCAATAGACCAGCCGATTCCATTTCATCCACTAGCTCGCGAACCTTTTCTACCAAAGAAGCTGCTATAGATAACAGTTGGCTAGGTGAAACAAGCTTCTTTCAGCTCAGGTGTTTTTGTCTTTTAGTAGAACTCTTTATCACTGCCGAGGCCTTAGACACACTCTTCTCCTCCTCAATATGGTGTGTTGCTTTCCTCTTAGATTGTAAAGTCTGCTTAGGACCCATGGCTGCCACAAGAGTAGAAATTTGCTTTCCTCCTCCAACCCTTGTATTTTTTATCACCACTGGGTGTTTCCTTCGCTTTTGTATTTCATGGATGATGTCATCTGAATTGGGTTTAGCATTTTTTCTAGAAGGACCCTGCTCCCAATCAACTGCAATCCTTTTTCCTTTATAAGCTCCTTGGGTCTGAGTCTGGACGACCTGAGAGGACTCGTTATGCCTCTGGGCAAAAATTGAAGTATTAGTCCCATGAACACCCTCCTGAACATGCTGCAGAGTTAGATTGCCCATGTTCTCCACTACTTTAGTTAGAGAACTCTTATCAGAAGAATCAGAGGCATAAGGGATGTTGAGAATGTCTGAAAACAAAGGATTCATCAGAATATTAGAAGAGTGATTGTAGAAGAAAGCAGCTTCCTCTGTCGAATCACCCATGAGTTCTTAATTAAACCAATGTTTTCCTCCCCCTGAGATGGACCAAGATTACGAGTACTAGTGCCAATAACATGAGGATATTGAGACCCTTTGAACCTAATAATAGCTTCATTTAGACCAGTAAAATCTTCACTTTGGCCTGGGTTATAAGCATTCTGACCTGTTGTGTCACTGTCTGATCCTAGCATGGAAGTGACATCAATAAGTCTGTCCGATGAAACTTCCCTATGGCTGACCCCGTTGACACCAGAATTGACTGGCCCGGTACCATGTACAGATGCTCCCCTCAGCTCACGTGGGGTAGAGTTAGACTCTGGTTGATGAGGATTGTTGATCAACCCAAACATCTGTCACTGTCCTTGCATGCCCTGGCTGACAAAACGGTCAATCATAGTGTTTGACACGACTCTTTCAGTTGGAGTCAGTGCTTGAGATCCAGAAGGTTCTACCTGGGTGGTTAATGTCGCTGGAAAAACTTATGCCGGCTGATTGAGGTTTAATCCCACAGATTGATTAGCTTCCTGCATTAATTCTTCAGCTTCATTCAAGTCTGGAACCAGAGGGGAATAAATTGATTGCCCCATTTGATCCTCTGTACGAATTATAAAAGTATAACCATCTAGGATTTGTGCTTCTTGGATCGCCTGAAAATAATAAAAATATTTCTACATATATTTTTCTGATAACTTTGTTGAGGATTTATGAGAATTATCCTCAGCTCCCATAGATAGAGGAAAGAGTTCCTGCCATTCATCCCAGCAAAAGTCCATCTGGTTTTGAAGACTTTCTTGATGAAAGAAATTGTCAGCATAACGTTCCAACTCCCATTGAGTAAGAATTTCACACCTCTTAATGGGATGCTCAATAACACCGCAACGCCTACAAAATTTATGCATTCGTTCGCATTGAACATCAATCCAAACAATATTATCATCATTACCTAAGTCCAGATCTAAGAAGAAATCCGATTTAAGTGGGTCGTGGGGATTGATACGAACCCGGACTTGAAGATAACTATTTTCCTGTATGTCAAATTCATCTGATTTTATATCTAGCACCTCGCCAAGGATTGAAGCAACATCTCTTCCTGCATCTAGAATAAGGTATTCAGAGGGGAGACCGTATAGACGCACCCAGATTAATATGGAATTAATATAAACTCGGCGAAGAGGAGTTTTTGAATACCAACGACTCAAGACTAACATAGCTCCATCTATAAGATATGAACTATTATGGAGAGCCATAAGCATATATTCCTTCGAACGGAATTTAAAAAGATAAGCATTACCTTCCTTCCTTTGAACCACTGCTTTACCTTCCCAATAGTTTCTGACATATTGTTGCATCTTTGCCCTGCTGAAGCTTCTAACATCCAAGAGAAAACCCATAAGGGTAGTGGCATGCCTAGAGATTCCTTGCGCCAGTTTTTCTTTAGGTACCTTCTTCAAAGAACACATCCGATGAGTAAGAGTGAAGAGTTCCATAGGATCCTCTTGGTCTTCAAGAAAATGGTGAGTACTAGTAGGGAACGAATCTTGACTTTCCGCATCTGACGAACTAAGGTCATGATAAAAATCATCCATGATTATCTTTGGAAAATTAAATATTGAAGAGCAAAGGAAAGAGTGGATGGATGCGTAGTTCTGATTATAAGGTGGATTTAAATAGGCTCAAAGCTCCCTTCCCCTGCATATCAATCCAAAAGAGAAGCCACTAAAAAATAGAGGAGAGAAATCCATCCAAATTTGAATCTCTGATTTCTCTTCTGAAATTTCTGATCTTTCTGTCAATAGATTCCTCCCTGAAAAGCAAATTATGGTTTATTGAACAAGCAATAAAACCGCGGTAGCTCAAACGGCCAATCAAACGCTGCGGCGACAAAGGCTCTATTGCATGTAATTCTATATGGCGGCAGCCTCGGAAATTGCTTCGATATGAACTTAACCCGACTGTTATGCGAAAACCTTGGTGCCAAAGAATAATTGATAAGAAGTAATTGAAACAAATCTGAAGTATGAAGCGACTAGATTAAAATTGTTAACTAGAGGGACAAGGATCTGACTAAAGAAAAGAGAAAATTCTCTTTTAGGCTTCCTCTATTAGTAAAACATATTTGTGCTTCTCACTCCCCTGTTAGTAGTAGTAGTAATAATTAGGAAGTGCCTGGTTCGAGGAGTTCATTGCCAAGGAATGATTTTCATATCCAATTTTGTTATTTCTCTTGCTTCGTTGAGAAATTGGGAATGAGTAGGTCGCATAAAATTGGGATTCAATCCAAATAATCCATTCCTCACCAACATGGAAGGTATGAATCACCGCAACAAAAATTCTCTCTACTACCATTCTTCAATCTCTCATCTTCCCTCTATCTCTACAATTTCTCCACCACCTCCGCCTTTCTCTCTCCTCCCCACTGCATTCTCACATTTATTTTAACATAGTAACAAAATCCCAATTCCTCCCTCTACTCCCCGTGGCAACTGGCAACTTCTCGTTCATTTTAATATTATATATTAACAAAACTCCAATTATGATTATGTGATTCCAATTCAGATTTCATGCAATTGAAGAATCGAAAATGCAATTAATTCATCGAAAAATCTTCGTCTCTGTAACATTCTCGGCAGCCGCTATCACCAATTTCTTAATTGTACAACAAGGATTCGGCCAGTTGTGACTTGATTTTCATCTAATTATTAGTTTGCTCCATGATTTCATAATTAATTGTGTTGAGATTTATGTATATTTGAACTATGCGTATCATTGAAAAATCTTAGAAACAAATTTTGCTAGTGTCATGGAGATACATTTATCAAAGGTGATTTTGACTCTGCTGAAATAATCTCAGAAAAATAAAAAAAGAAGAAAAAAAATTCTTGAAGAAACAAAATTACGAAGAGGAGGAATTGGGGCATGAAGATCTTAAGGGAGGGAGGGATAAAAGTGAAATTTTGACTCCATTCCAATCCCATTAAGCATGTAAACCAAGCAGTTAGAAGATTACTTTGATACTCTTTGGAATTTATTTTTTCTATTAATCCCATTTATATTCTATAAAACTCATTTCCTATTATCATAGTAGGGTTGAACCAGGCAGCTCCTTAGTTTTGAAATTGGAAAAAGCTTAACATGAATTGGGCTGTTTCAAAGGAAAGCCGAAGGCCCACTACGGAAGAAGCATAAAGCCCAGGCCCAGAAACGAAGATCGGTACTCGTAATCAGCGGCATCATCACAATTCACAAGGCACAAAAGCCGTCGTCTCTCCCATCATCTCTTGTCTCTCTCTCTCTCTCTCTCTCTCTCTCTAGACTCTATATATACAGGTCTGGATCTCCTTCTCCTTTCCCAGTGTTGATATATATATTCTCTTCTTTTCAAAAATTTCACCGCGAATTTCCTCCCAACCCGATCTCTCAGCTCTTCAACTTCCATCCCGATCATCTCTTTTCTTCCCGTGTTCCACCCCCCTTTTCTATAATTTTGAAACCCTAATTTTGAAATCTTTTTTCCTCTTTTTTTTTTTTTTTATCGTTTTTGATCTGCTGGTTTCCTACTTTCCTTATACCATTTGATAATCCCAAAGAGAAAGGTAATCAAAAACAGAAAAGAGAAAATTAAATCACTAATCATCTGCACACGTCTACAGTGTTAAATTACTAAATAAAATGGAAAATCGTTATTTTCTGTATCTTTTGGGGTTTCAATTGAGAGTTTATTTTTGGGTTTCAATTCTTTCTTCTTCTCTTTTTGTGCATATTTAGGTGCATAAATCTGAGGGATTGAGATTTGGGTTTGGTTATTAATGGCGGATCCGCAAGGATTGGAAGGAAGCCAACCAGTGGATGTCTCTAAACATCCCTCTGGAATTGTTCCCACTCTCCAGTTAAGTTACCCTCATACAATTAAACAGTTCCAATCATTTTCTTTGTTTGGTTTTTAGTTTGACTGGTTAAAAAAATATAATACCAAGGGCTTCTTTACCCAATTCATTTACTTATGTTACAAGTTTTTCCCCATTTGGCAACTGGAGAAAGACAGGATTTTTACGTATTGTCAAGGACCATATGCCACGAGGAAGTGAATTTTCAGTATAGACTTACTTTATTCATAACCTGAATATCTTGTTCTACTAGGAGTTACCTGTCATTGTAGTCACCCCTTTTATTTTTAATTATCTTCTGAACATTACCACATGAATGTGCGTCCTTTTTTTGTTATTGCTAATTTTGGGATGTATCATTGTATGCCTTTGTTCCTGTACATAGAAATCTCTGGTTGGCTGCTTTGTATAGCCTTCATTGTGGTATCTGAAGACTTATTATGTCGCCAATTGAAAGATTATATTTTTATTGGCAACTGATGTATACTAATAAGCCGGCTACTTGGGACATTTGCTGATCTTATTATCTGATGATTGCTATCGTAAGGGTCAAATTTTAGAATGCACCGCACAAGACTCGGTGACATTCGACCGGTGATGCTTTACAGATCATACTATTGGATACTAGGTTAGATTGGATTAGAAATGAAATTATTAGAAAGAAAGTAGGGGTACCTTCTACAGATGAGAAATGAGAGAATCACGCTTTTGATGGTATGGACTATAGAATGTTCCAGATTCTTGTGGAAGCTGCCCCGGTTAGGAGGGTATAAACTATAGAATCAAGAAATGAAACTAAGAGGATAGACCTGAAAAGACTTGGAAAGAAACTGTAAAAATTGACATGAAATATTCAGATATGAATGATGAATTGTGTATTGATTGAGCTCGACGACGGCATTATTCATATCGCCAACTGCCTTTGACAGTAAACAAGGCTATTGCCTCTTCTAATTTATGATGATAACAAGATTATGGAGGTTGTCAGCTTTCAAGACAAAGTACTCGGCCTTTAGAGAAAAATTGGAAATGATTCAACTAAACCTCCGAACAAACATGTTGCTGTTCCTTGTATGTCATGCACACCTGCAGGAATTTTTATGGCACAACTTGATACTTCTATAAGTTCCCCTGTTTCGTTGTAATAAATCTCGTTGAATTGGGTACTTGGAATTGCGTTTTACTTACACCGGGGACTAGTTGATATGGCATCATGATAACACCCAGGATCTATCAGTAGTGAGTTTACTGCTTAATTGAATTGGTGGAAATGTCTGTTTACATGCTATAAACTAGATTTTTTTTTTTTGAAGTGGCTTCTTTATCTTTCTTGGAATTTGTTGTTCTGATTTAATTTAATTTGTTAGCAAAGTGCTAAATTTGATCAAAGAACATAGTTTTTTATGCCACTGTATAGTTTCTGGGTGGTTGTCAATAAATGATTGGCGAATCTATTTTTTCCAGTACCTGTCCTTGGTATACTTGATTGATAAGTTCAGTGTACATTCAGGAACATTGTGTCAACTGTTAACCTGGACTGCAAATTGGACCTAAAGGCGATTGCGTTGTCTGCTAGAAATGCAGAATACAATCCAAAGGTAGAAATTGAGTTGCTTTGTTATGTCTATAGTAGTTTTTGTGATGTCTTCTCCATGATGCTGATTGATATGCCCATTTTGGTATCTGTAGCGTTTTGCTGCTGTAATTATGAGGATTAGAGAGCCAAAAACTACAGCTCTAATCTTTGCTTCGGGCAAGATGGTGAGTATGAAGTATTGTTCATAACATTGTCATTGCAACTCTTTCAATATTTGTTTTGTCTAGTATCAATTTCCCATTAAATTGATGCAGGTTTGCACGGGAGCCAAGAGTGAGCAGCAGTCAAAATTGGCAGCTCGCAAGGTACATGTGACAACTTATGAGACATTTAGGCATTATAGATTCCTACTGTCCAGTACAACTAAATGTTTAGGTTTGCTGGAACTGCATTTTTAACTACTTTTTACTGTATTATTTTCCCTTTTCCCTTTGCAGTATGCAAGAATAATCCAGAAGCTGGGATTTGAGGCCAAGTTCAAGGTATTTATTCCCGCAACTAAGTGGCTACAATTTGTTTGCCTAGCTGTGCGAGTGGATGTGTGTTTGATTGTTTGTCTTCATCTTTTATTCCTGCTTCCCAGTAAAAGATTCATGTTCATAGCGTTCAATATTAATCTTCTTATTTCTCTTTGTAGGATTTCAAGATTCAGAACATAGTAGGTTCCTGTGATGTAAAATTCCCAATTAGGCTCGAAGGGCTTGCTTATTCACATGGAGCCTTTTCAAGTGTAATGAGATTTTTTCTTTTACAAGTTTGCTTTCATGGATTTGTCTTACTATTTGATATTTTTACCACTGACTGTCCTCTTTTTTCTTTTTCTTTTTGGTGTAAACAGTATGAACCTGAGCTATTTCCTGGATTGATATATCGGATGAAACAACCCAAAATTGTGTTGCTTATATTTGTATCTGGAAAGATTGTCCTCACCGGAGCAAAGGTGTTTCTAGACTGCTTAATTATCATAATGCATTTGTCGTATTACCATATTCCATATTTTGCTCATGGATGGGATTGGTTGTCAGGTCAGGGATGAGACATACACCGCATTTGAGAATATATACCCTGTTCTGACGGAGTTCAGGAAGAATCAGCAATGGTATGAAGTTCAATCCTCCTCTAGTTGACTTTGAGGTGGCAGTTTTCTTTTGAATCTGCAAGGTTTTTGTTTGGTATAATGCAGGACTGAAAGTTTCAATGACCTGTTATTTTCTACCCGCGCATACCTAGTAATAGACGATATCTTAGTTTTCTCTTTGATCTGTTTTCTGTTCTTAATTAATTTGAAAACTATATTGTGTTGTTTTTGTCTTTGACAATCAAAATCTCGAAGTGACAGTCGCGTGAAATGCCAAAAAAACAAACATGCTATGTGTCTTTAATGATACGGGGAAAAAATCCATACATCAGTTGAGCCTTTCTTGGCTGTATAAATTAATGAAATCACTCTTTATTTTGCGGGTCTTAAGGGAGGGTAATCAGTGATTTTCCCTTTACATTACATATTGTATTATATAATACCTTATGTGGTTACTTTGATTTTGTTTAAAGGTCTTGTTTCCGAATTGGTTGATATCCTCTTTTAACCTTTTGCTGGTAATTCTCTGCGAACAAATTGACAGATGGAAGGGAAGTTTGTCTCCCCTTGTGAATGACAACTTGACAAGAACCAGAAAGGTTGCTCCATTGAACTCGGGAAGTGGAGTGAAAATATTTAAGAAACGATGATGGACTTCTACTCCCATCTTGTATAAAATGGTCAACAGTGCAGCACAGAACGTTTAAGAATTGTGTCATCTTGTCCTTACTCCTTAGCCCCAATCTTTTGGGTTGGTTTAAAATCATATGAATGAAGCATCAGAAGATTAGTAAAAGGCGCTTGGAAATTAGAGCAGCAGGTAATAAAAGGTTCTGGCCTTCTGGTGGTCGTGCTGCGTATGGTTTCATTAGTTTGGTAAAAAAGGGGTGGCAATGGAGTTCAGTTGATGTTTGACTATTATTTGAAATGTAATCCGACCTGTATCTCTGATTAATGGGCATTGCTCGAAATTTTGCTTATGTGAGGATGATTTTAGTTGGCTCTGACATGTCTGTGGGTCGTGTATATTTAACTTCCAACTTTCATCAACTGCATAATCTGGGTAATCAAATTTGGATGACTCAAAATTAAAAGAAAAGATTGCTAAAATCCGATGCAGCCAAAATTTAGAAGAGTGATTACGCTAGACCATAAGGATCTAACGTTCGTCTATTTAAGAAAAAAGGTAAAAAAGAAAGGTTTTGTTGATAAGCTCTCCCATGGAGTTCGGAACCCCCAGAATTCTGGATCTTTCTCGCAACTGGGAATTTAGTCGGAGCCAAATCTTATGGCGGTGAGAGAAATGAACTATGTTTGGTATGAATGAACGACCAAAAAGCGCACCGAGAACAAAAACTCTGTTTTGAAAGAAGAGAGTATTAGGAGTAGAGTTATAATACTAGAAGATGTTGATTTTTCGAAATTGAATGCTGTATTATAACATCTTGGAATTCCTTATTAGCATTTCACACATCACTCTAGCTATTTCTTATGCCATTTCAAATGATAATAAGTAAAATATTATCACTCCTACCAAAAAAAAAAAAAAAACCAATGCATTGTCCAATCAATAACACATACACAAGTCAGATATCATCATAACTGTAATCAAGCAGCATCTCGAATCCCCTGCTCCCAGGCCCAAAAGCACAACTTCATCCAACATGATTTCAATTTTATCGTGTATCAATCCATCCATACCTTCCATCTGATAGGAGCAACACAGCTCGTAAGTTTTCCTCAGCTTTTATGTCAACCATCATTCCATCATCAGCAGAGCAGTTTCAGCCAACATTACTCTCGGAATAAACCACCCCTTGCCTTCAGTGACATTGCAAAAGCTTTCTCATCTCCATGTATCCGGTAAATTATACTGGTACTTCTCATGCTGTTAAAATGACAGAAAAGGCCAGCAACTTCTCTACCCATTTTATTTTCCTCGTCTCAACTACAACTACTTTCACTTTCTTCCGGTGCTGCTTCAACGGATGAATTGAACTGTTTGATAAAACTTCTGAGGCAACCATTGATGATTCGGGGTGCTGCCCCATCACAGAAGCGTTTTGCTAAATCAACAGCCTTCAACATATAATGTGGCTATGTGTCAGAAGAGTGCTCATGCAGCAAACTTACAGAACGTAAATTCACACAACATAATGACAAAATCTGCTCCACATATATCAGATCCCATAGGTTTGCGATAATTGACTGCTTTCTTTAAAAGTGTAACATTTGGTTTGGGAAAGAGATATTATAGATACCTCATTAATCACAATCTGATGTCTTGTTCCTAAAACTGCAATTTCAGACATAGATAAGTGAAGGATAGAGAGCTCCAAGATTCTTCCTGCAGGGTCATTCTGCAGCAAAAGAGTAAATTATTGTTATGTTGCATCACTTAACAGAATAATCTTCTACATCAACCAATCTTTTGTCACATCTCCGTAAGCTTTAGCTAATGTTCGGGGCATAAGAAAGGCAAACACTTCAGATATATCTCAAGTGCACGAAGGATAGGAGTCCCAAATAAAACAGAAAAAAACACTGATAAACTTAAAAGGACAGCAAAAGAAAGATGAGTTAACTGGGAACGCAAGCGTGAAAATGTCAACAGGGAAGTTAGGCACCTAACCTTCCAATTAGGAGGTGCAACTTTATCAATTACGCGGATATGATCATTCCACTTGTCTACAACTGCCACCAAGAGTTTCCGACTGAAACTGAAACACGATGCACGAAAAGAACACTTTAGAGAAAATTGAAACATGAGCAAGTTGAGATCCAGGGACAGCAGAATTAAGAGAATGCCAACCGGAGAACTAGTTTACTATACACCAACTTTGGAGGTGCTGCAAGAACTTCTGCTTCTGAGAAAGGAGAAAGAACAGTATGAGTTCCTCAAGGAAGCAAAAGATGAATGCAGGGATAATCAAAGAATTAAATTAATCTGGAGAGACACAATTAACAAACAGTAAACAGAATTAACAAACAGTAAACAGCAGTAGCATAAAACTTCTTGCAACAAGACCGAAAGATCCAAAGTTTCTTTTACTCATCTTGCATATCTCTTCATCATAATACACTTGTCCCAGCAGTTAAAATTCATCCAAAGGAAGATATGACGACCGATTTGACAGATTCCAAAGAAAATGATCAAAATGGGCGGCAGGAGATTTACCAATTTCAGATTCCTTTTGATCAAGAAGCAGTAGTTGATCAGCTTCTGCTGCAGTGCTTGCAGTCACCGGTGGTCCTCCAAAGCTCATGGGATTATATTGAACCAGAGACTCTTTGTCAAATTCATACCCAGTTTCTGAAAACAGGACAATCAAGCAAATTTTTAAGATAATGCAGCCTTAATTGTTTGTTCACTCTTTAAACCCTAACCGCAAACACCTTGAACAGATAGCTTTGCGTACAGGTTAACAAGTGCCAACACATCATGTTAGAAGCTATAGATTTATTTTCTTTCCTCCAAATCCAAAATTTTCAAGCAGGGAACCATTAAATCTCACTCACAATTTACAATGCACCATTAACAGAAAACTGATAAAGCAGAAATTATTATATGCAATACAGCAAATGAGACACAGTACATACCCCATCTGGCATTAAGTCTTTTTTCAAATAGACGAACTGGGTCCGAGCCTTCTAAGCAGGCAGCATACAGAATTGACCTATTAACCAAAAAGCAGCATTACCCCATCAAATAATTATGAACCAAAATTGAATGACAAATAAATAATTGGGGGAGTGTACTCACAGAGCGAGTTCTCGAGCGGCTCTGGGACTGCAGAACCTTCCACTCTTGTCAATCTTGGGGAGAAGGAATTCTTTAGATGAGGACGGGGAGGAAGGGGTGGCATTAGGGTGATGTTGGTGGTTAAGGAGGAGAGTGGCAGAAGTGGTGGCGCGTGGAAGGGACAGCCGGGGTGGTGGTGGAGGCGGCGGCGAAGAGCAGTATAGGAAGAATCGTAATGGTAGTTTTGTTGAAGAAATGTAAGGACGGGAAGAAGGAGAAGAAGAGGTGAGCAGGAGTGAGCTTCCCTCCATTTTTTTCTTCCTTCATCCACTAATGAAACAAACACACCTTTTTTCTGCTGTAACTGTAAGTAATGGATAAGAGAAAGAGGAGGGGGATGATTTTATTATTGAAGTTCCTTCCTTCCTTTTTGTGCTTTGTTGAAGTTCCAAAATGGGTTGTAATCTTCTTCACCAGTTTGGTAGTAATAAAATATCTTTCTTTCTTTCTTTCGAATTAGAAATATTTCCTCAAGATATTAAATTTTTTAAATTATATTATTATTTAAAAATATTATAAAAGAAGCTCCTCGAGAATTTTTTTTTTTTGATAAATAGAAACTCCTCAAGATAGTAGTACTCCCGTTTATATTGCTTAAACGCACTTTTAATAAAAATTAATAATTAATTCTGAATGTTTAATATTGAATTAGAAATACTGAATACATTAATTAGTTAAGAAATAAACAATAAATTAACTTTTATTACTTATATTTTGTACTGCAATTTCAACACCACTTGATTCATTAAGAAATCCATTCTTTTGTTATCAAACATGTCGAAATGAAAATAATGTTTAATTCAATAATTTGAAGCATTAAATAGCTTTTTCAAACAGACCCTTAATCTTAAAAAAAAATATAAAAATTGATTGGGTTGGCCACGTGTAAGTCGACTATTGGGTTTATGACGTTACATGTTCATATTCCGGCGCGGTGAAAAAAAAAGAAAAAAAAGAGGAGCACCTCTCAGTTTGGCAGCAGAGTCTACGGCCAACCTCAATAGGAGGAATTTTTTCATTTCATCTTCTTCCTTCATCATCTATTATCATCAGGTGAGTAAACGTATTCCCTTCTTTCCCAGATGGTTTATTTATTACTACTATTACTCTGTATTTGTACCGGGAAAATAGGAAACATGACTTCTCTGTAGCTGAAAAGTTAGTCTCGGTGGAGCTTTCTTCTTCATTCTGCAACTCTAACTCAGGCATCCCCATCCCGTCTTTTGACGTTTACCCTGTAGATGCCCTTATGGCCGGAAGTCCAAATTTAGCACTTATTCCTTCCGTTGTTTTTGTTAATTATCTGATGTGTTTGCTTAATTTTCCTTTTTCTTTTTACACCTTAGGTTTTAGAGATGGCTACTTGATTCGGTTGGAATTCACGTGATTTGGGTGTAATCCAGGAAATGTGGTGAATATGTTTAGGTTTTGATGTGGGGGCTTCCTTTTGATTCAAAGTTGTGGGTTTTGAATTCAGTGGATTAATTGAAATCTTTGGTTGTGTATTAAGCATTTGTGATTCTCTTTTTCTTTGGAGAATGAACTGTTAGTTTTATCTGTAGGTATTTCCACATTTGTGAAACAAATGCACTCAATCGGATACCGAGCGAATGCCTTGGTGACTTTTGCATTGACCATTCTGGCTGTGATGTGCGTAATTGTCTCTGTCTCTGACTGGTTCAACCATCCCTCTCCCACCTCCCAAGTCGAGGTACATTCCATCCTTTTTTCCGGGTCTACATTTCTATTCTTTCCATTGATGGTCTCTATTTTCATTCTTCTGTTTCTGTTTCTCTTCTTAATTTCTTCCAGGTTGTGAACATCAATTGGTTCTCAAAAAATCCAGATGGTGATGATGAGGTTTGCTATATACAACCCTTGATGGAATGGATGATTGAGTTTGGAAGAAATCTTTTAATATCAGAATGGTCTTTAACACACGCTTGAAACGAGCCTTCTATTTTTAATGGGTTGGAAGTGACACTACTGCTACTTTTTACACTTTGCAGGTGAGCTTGACTATGTACATTACGGCAAACTTGCAGTCACTGTTTACGTGGAATACGAAGCAGGTTCTCCTATTTCAAAATTTCGTGAAAATTTTTCCCATTAACTCATGTTGAGTCTTGTCTTGATATTGCTTACACAAATGTGCCTTCCTTTCTTTGTGATCGTGTTTTCTATTTATAAAGGGAAGAGTTACACCTCTTCTCTTACTGAGCTCTTGCATGTGTCTAGTTAACTTCAATGATGTGCTATTTCACGTCATAGGTAATAGGTATTGGTGGAAGTCGTACTCTTACCCTTTTTGAAGCGTGATGCAGCTTGTTACTTTTCATTTTTCTAATCATATTGGTCAAAGTAGTATGAAGTGTTCTCATGTGCTACAAGTCTTGTTTGGCTAAATCTTTACCTAACTGGGTATACGATACCATGGACGCATGTTATTGTGAGGAATAGAATAAGTACCTATAATGATAGGAACTTTGAGACATGCACACGCAATGCATTTTGTTAATCTTGTTATGCTACCAACTTGTCTTAAGTGTTTATGGAACTGAAGTTTATTCCGGTATTTCAGTACTGTATTTGATTTGCAGGTTTTTGTGTTTGTAGCGGCCGAGTATGGAACCAGGAAAAATGCCTTGAATCAGGTACGAAGTCGGGTAACATGTTTATGCAAATTTGTCCATTGCATGTTATGATACCTTACAGTATCATCTGCATTGACAACGTGTGTTGACTTGTTGTAGTTTGCTACTTTACTTATACCTTCAACCTTGCCATACTGATGTAAATTAACATAATCGACACATGACCTTATGTATCTGCACTTTCAAATGTTGGGATAACGGCTTAGTTGGTAACTGTTTACCATAAATTTTTTGGCTGATGGGAGATGAAAATGTGAAGGTATCTCTATGGGACGGCATCATACCTTCTAAAGAAAAAGCAAATTTTAATATTCACGTCCACAACAAGTACCGCTTTGTTGATCAGGTGAGTGTTTTTAATCTTCAGCCCCTTTGTGTTTTGGTGTAATTTCAATATTATGGCTGTTTGACGGGTGATTAAGTAGTATGAATGTGTTGGTGGTAATAGGGAAGTAACCTAAGAGGTAAGGACTTCAACTTGACATTGCACTGGCATGTGATGCCGAAGGTTGGAAAGATGTTCGCTGACAAAATCGTGATGCCTGGGTATCGGCTGCCAGAGGCTTACAGATGATAAGATGAGTTTCCGGCTTTGATTCTGAATAGGAACTTTTAGATCTCACTTATCAAAGCTGTAGAAGGATAGGTGAAAGAAATTACGGTATGAGAATAGGAAACAGGGATCAGAAGGAGAACAGCTACAGTGTGTATTTAAAGTGATTTCAAACTCATGGGATGGAACTTCAGAGAATGTTGTTGTCTACATTGTGCTTTCTTTCACCCCCTTTTTTCTTTTTCTTTTTTGTTTGGGGGTGTTGAGGAGAAGATGGTTATTGTTTCTAGTTTAACAGGGAGAACAAAGGGTTGGATGGGAATGATTTGGTGGGGAAATGAATTTGTCAAATGGCTACCCGCTACCGCAGATGTTGTAAATTTACACTAGATGGTACCCGCACGATGTGCGGGATAGATAAATTATGTATAAAATCAAACATAATAAAAATTAAAGAAATATTTTATATTTTAGTAAATTGATATATAATATAAAAACACTAAGATAAATAATGTTACATTAGAAGTAATTTTTATGCGCTAATTATTTACAGAAGAAAATAAATAGATCCATATATTGATCTACGTGTTAAATATATTTCATTTTCGTGAATCATCAACATATATTAAGATAAATAATGTTACATTAGAAGTAATTTTTATGCGCTAATTATTTACAGAAGAAAATAAATAGATCCATATATTGATCTACGTGTTAAATATATTTCATTTTCGTGAATCATCAACATATATTTCGCCATGTTATCCCTAAGAAAACATCAAATATTGAAATCATTAATTGAGATTGGCAAAGAAACTCACCGTGATGTGCATTCGAAAATCCTTGCTACAGAAAATATTTGTCCATAATTTCTAAAAGTTAGAAGCGAAAAACTTTTGACACAAAAAAATAATGATTATTAAAAAAAACATAAATCCTAAAAAAAAAGAGAGAAGAAAAAGAAGAAAAGATTTCGATATAAACTGGGTTTGTAACCTAGTTGAGTTTTATAAGCACACTTTATATATACATAATAATTTTATTCACATGATTAATGCGATTGGAGTGATTATAGACATTTGTTTATATTTGATTTTTTTAAAATAAATTAAATAGATATTCGTGTATGCAATTATGACAGATGATATATCTCTAAAAAATATTATTTACAATTTTTTTAATTATTTCAAATTTTAAAATAATATTAATATTGTTTAATGATCAAACCAATATGTAATGGTATTATTCAATCCAGTCGGAAAATACTTTCAAATCAATCAGTTTTAATGTTGAATTAAAGAATCATTGATGATTTTGTATTTATTATTTTCGAATTTTAAAAAAACATTAATACTGTTTAATGATCAAACCAATATTAATGGCATTTTCAAGACAATCAGAAAATTTTTTCAAATCAATTAGCTTTAATGTTGAATTAAAGAATCATTGATGATTTTGTATTTATTATTTTTGAATTTTAAATAATCATTAATATTGTTTAATGATTAAATCAAGACGTAATATTATTATTCAAGCCAATCGGGTAATCTTTTTCAAATCAATCTTATTTAATGTTGAGATTTTAAAAATTTTCCTTTTTTTTCATTTTAGGGAATGTAAAATAGAAAGTTTACACACAATTAATTGACATACTTTAATTAAGAATTGATAAAAATTTATTAACTGGAAATTTAAAGGACTGTTAGTATAATTATTGTAAATATTTTTTGTAACAACCTATAAGGAAATGACACATAGGATTTTGTCCTATGTGTCAACGGGGGGAGAAGTTTGATTTTCTCTCTCTGGTTTCTCTCGTAATATAATACTATAAATTTGAATTACAGTTTAATATCTGTTGAAGACCGCTCGAATCGTAACAGTTTTTATGGCATAGAAATGGAAAGGACTGTTCTTTTATATACCCTAAAATGGATGTCTATTTAAGTTTTTACTTTTAGTACAAATGAAAATTTAAAGTTCCATTTTAGTATAATTTATACTTGAAATAACAATTCAATGTGCAGTTACAGAAAAGGACACAAAACATATTCAGAGATAAACCACTCTAGACAAGTCCATGATGACAAGTTCAAATGCAACATTGGGAGTTCAAATATGAGTTTACTATAACAAGTCTATTAGAGGTGCTATAGATAAAATAACAATCATCCTTTACTGTCATTGGAATGAAAAATTGAACCGGGGACCTTTTCTTGAGAACAAGATTAATTTTACCCATAAGGCCTCCTTGATGGATACCCACATTGCATTCCAAAACGTTGATGGTTTATATTCTTTTGGGGGGATTAATTGGCTAAATTCTATCAAAACCTTGGGGACAAACTCGACTAAACTAATACTTTAAGTTGAAATCATTCAAAATAATTTCAAGAACTTTTCTACTATATTAATAAAAATAGTGCCAAACTAAAAATATATACATTTACAAATCATGGTTAACAAAATAAACAGTTTCATATCTGAATAAGTCTGACTATCAAGTGGACATGAACTCGAAGCGCGAAACACTAAACACGAGCCAAATCAAATATTACCATTCTTCAATAAAGTTCAACAGTAAAAATTATTAATTCCAACTGAAGACTAAATTAAAAAAAAAAGATACTTTGAAATAATATTTATAACTAGTGGTGTCATAAAGAATTTAAAATACAGTGTCACCGAAGATGAAAATCGTGTCGCAAGTTTCCGTCAACTGAAGGAAAAAGGGAACTTCAGGGATGTTGTTGACCTTTTGAAATCTTTTGGGGTTAAATTGGCCAGATAATTAAATTTATGGAATGAAAATTCTATTTAGTTACTCGAGGGATTTTACTTGCAATTAACTCAAAAATCAACAGGCTCACAACGACACCGTATGTGGGTAGAAGGATTAAAAAATTAGTGACGCGGCCGTCGTCTCCGGCGATTTTCATCCTGGTGGTACTGCTGCTTCCCTCCAGTGCACTGAGAGTTTTGCTTATTTTTATTCCTTTGCCAGTCATTTGTAATTTTACAGCAAACAGATCCTAAAATTTACTAAGCTATTTCCTTTACTCCCAACCATTTTTAATTGGAGGAAAGATGAACAACATTCCAATGTTAAGGATTTGCTGGATCATCTTCGTATTATTCACGATCACCAGCAGATTGTCTGCTTCCAATCCCAATCCCGTCCTCCTTGGTGTTTCCCCGCAAGGTCAGTTCGTTATCCTCAGCCCTCCTCCTAGGTTTTTTATTTTTTTATTTATTTTAATCCGATGTAAGCTTCTTATTCATTTGTTTGGTTTGTTTTACTCCGTTTCCCACAGATGAGAGTTACTACAAGGGAATTTTGTCATCTTCGGCCACCTTCGTTAAATGTAAAGATGGATCCAAAAAATTCTCAAAGTCTCAGCTCAATGACGATTTCTGCGACTGTGTTGATGCCTCCGATGAGCCCGGTACTTGCCTCCCTTCATTCTTTCAACTTCAATTCAATTTTTTTTTTCTCTATTATCAATATTTTTTTTTAATACTAATACTTATTTAGTGACAAAATTATAGTTTAGTAATTTGGACTTGTGTGGTTCCTTCTCATTTTCTTGTTGATGTGTGATGATAATCAATGTGTAAACAAATCATTTGTGAATGAGAACTAACTAACAGAAGACCTTTTCTCTGTGTAATTATTTCATATCTTTCATGTGTTAGATATAAAGTTTTGTCTCAATCCATATACATCGATCGCTACTCACTTCTCCTAATTGGTGGCGAAATCGGATTGTTACATTTCTTTAAAATTAAGCCTCAATTAGTCTGAAGCTTATTATTGTCTCTATTATTTCCCTCATCAATTCAATTAATGCAGGGTTATTTATGTACATTCTGGAATTATGCAGGGACTTCAGCTTGCCCCAATGGGAAATTCTATTGCAGGAATCCTGGACATATACCTGTCTACCTGCATTCTTCAAGGGTTAACGATGGTATCTGCGGTGAGTTATTCAATTCTGTTGCCTCCATCATGTAATGTGAAGGCTGTTTCATCTTTATTTCTATTGCAGTAGATCCATGCATGGTTCTTGATTATTACCTGTCCTGGTCTGGGGATTTCCTCATTTTATCAGTCACATTAATTTATTGTCTATAATGCAGATTGCTGCGATGGGAGTGATGAGTATGATGGTAAAGTCAACTGTACAAACACTTGTTGGGAGGCTGGCCAAGTGGCTAGAGATAAGTTGAAGAAAAAAATCGCCACCTATAAGGAAGGTGTCACCATACGCAAACGAGAAGTTGAACAAGCAAAAGTTGCCATAGCTAAAGATGAGGCTGAATTGTCGAAGTTGAAGAATGAAGAAAAGATTCTTAAGGGACTAGTCGAACGGCTTCAGGGTATGTTGCTTTTGTTCACTTTAGAGAAATTTTGTCATCTAGGGATATTAAATATCTTCTTCATTGCACTGCTGTATGATATTTACAGATTTAATTTACTTTTAAAGGATGAAGATTTTCTTTAGATCACTTGAATTTTTTTTGGTTATACTACTGAAGAGCATAAAGAACAAATCGAAAAGGCAGAAGAAAAGGAAAGATTGCAAAAAGAGAAAGAAGAAAAGGCTAAAAAAGAAGCTGAAGAAGCCGCAACTGTGAAGGAAAAACAAACAGGTGAAGAAGAAGCTAAAAGTTCCGAGGAAGAGACTGTTGAGGTTGATACAGAGGACAAAGTTGGCTTATTGGAAGACTCTACTTCATCACAGGTGACTTGACCCTTTTGTTTTTACTGTAATTTTTTGTATCATTCATCCGTTGCAAATGGAGCTGGAAGAGTCATCATTGACAATTCCTTAGCTTTGTGGTAATGATGGAGTAGGTCAAAATGGTTCAATTAAATTCCGGTGATTCTTAATACTGGAAATCAATATCAAATGCAGTTCATTATCTTGAGTCATACGGAAACGGTTTAAACTACAGGGATAAACCTGCATACATCTTGGACAATCGCGCGCCCCGGTCATGGAGTATGTTATTGTTATTGTATTTTCTTGTATCACTGACTTTCACACTTGCAATAGGATGTAGTGGGAGGCCATGACAATCCCAAGAGTGAACTTTTTGGTGGAGATCACACTGTGGAGGAAGAATTACCAAATGCTAATATAGAACCTGTGGAAAAGGAATATTTCCAGGTACAGTTAATACAGTATGTGATGATTTCTATTTTTCTAGTGGAGATAATTGCCTTCGCATTATTCTTGATCTCTTTACCAACATTACTTATGGCAGGCAGCCGAGGGAGATGATGAGTTTTCAGTTGAAGAGAAACCAAATGTTGATGTTGGAGATGATGTAAGCAAGCTTGACTGTTAGTGTTTGTTATTTGACTTTCAGTTTCAGTATTAGCAGGAATTGCTATTGCAGATGAACAGCAGATGGATTGCTAGAACACTCATCTTTCAGAAAATTAAGAATATCCTTTCAGGAACTTGACCGTTTGATTCTACAAATATTTTTTGCAGTGCTGTTTTTGTGGTTGCCATATTCCACTTTTTTCCTGACTTATGCATGCAGTCAGAATATTTTGAACTTCTTATTTTCTTTTCAGCTGGAAAAGAAAACTGCGGATATGAAATCATTATCCAAGGAGGAATTAGGTCGTCTTGTTGCCTCTCGTTGGACTGGGGAAAAGACTGAGCAGGATAAAAATGAAGAGGTCGTTCATAATTCCCTGGGTGACAATCATGAAACACAGGAAGAGAATAGCTATGTAGAGGACAACACATATGATTCCGAGGAGGATGAGCACAGGTATGATCATGATGATGATGATAATGAAGAACCAATGGATGATTTGGGCGACATGGATCATGATGATGGTTCGAGCTCTTCTGATAAATTTGAGTCAGATGATGATTTTGACCTATCAGGTCAGTTTCTTCTCAGTCTTACTGGAGACGGTGATTTGTATTGTTTACTTTGTATGGGTCAAACTCAACTATGGTTATAGTTGCCACTAAAGGTTAAATTTCATCAGATGTGGGCAGTACGACTAAATCATCTTGGTTGGAGAAGATTCAAAAGACTGTAAGACAAGTTCTTCGGGCTGTAAACCTATTCCAAACTCCAATTGATAAATCTGGTATGTTTATCTATTTTTACCCAGTGTATTTGCTTTATCTTATGTTATGAAAGAAGCCTATGCGGATTCCACTATTCTCTTCTTTGAAACAACAGAAGCTGCACGTGTTCGCAAAGAATATGATGAGTCTAGTGCAAAGCTGTCTAAATTACAGTCCAAGATATCAAGTTTGTCGCAAAAGCTAAAACAGGACTTTGGTAGGTTTTACTGCTTAAAGGTTGCGTGACGATATCTTTCTTTTTCGTCTTTTTTTCTTTTTTCTTTCTAATGAACACACAAAAGTATAAATATTTTTTAAACTGCATATGTACATATTATTGATCTAATTTTATTGTTACTCTTTTTTTTAACAGGACCAGAGAAAGAGTTTTATTCATTCTATGGTCAATGTTTCGAGACCCAGCAAAACAAGTTTGTCTTCTAATTCTTGTTAATCATGAGTCATTTTACTTTGTTGTGCTTAATATTCTTACTGTTGCTTTTTGATGTGCATTGTACCTGGCTCAGGTACACTTACAAACTGTGCCCATATAAACAAGCATCTCAGGTGGAAGGTCACAGCACAACTCGTTTAGGGTAATGTTTTTCCTCTTTAGTGGAGATGGATGTTAGTCTCCAGTATGTTTTCCCTTTTTATCTAGTAGGTAGTACCTAATAGAGAAAACATTATCATCATTTACTAGAGAAAAGGTGGAAAATCTGAAGTTACACCATCAATGTGGAAATTTTGACTTGTAAATGAGTCCTCGGCTTGTGGCCTTCTAAAATTACTTGGCTCAAGTATTTTTGGGATAGGAAGGTTGAAAACCCAAAAAGTTAAATGGGCCAGCCAACAGGTCTAAGGTGTTACATTATGCAACTGTATATTGATCTTTGCGACTTCTCCTGTAGGACCTGGGAAAAATTTGAGGATTCATTTAGATTCATGCTTTTTACGAACGGTGACAAATGTTGGAATGGGCCAGATAGAAGTTTGAAGGTAATTGACAAGTGCTACATGAATGATCAGTTTCCTTGTTGCCCAGTAGGCTGTTCCTTTCATCATATATCTTGCATTTCCTTGGTGAATTAGTGTCGGTATGGTCTTCTTATTTCCTTTTGTGTTGTCATCTCTATTATACAGGTGAAGTTAAGATGTGGTTTGAAAAATGAGATCACTGATGTTGATGAACCAAGCCGATGCGAGTAAGGAATGTTTCCCTAATTAGTTTCTCCTTGCATTGATTTGTCTTTTATTTTCGATGTCTGGTTCTTTAGAACTTGAAATTCTTTCTGATCGGAAGTCTGGAAACACAGGTACTTGGCGTTGTTGTCTACTCCAGCTCTTTGCCAAGAGGAAAAGCTCAAGGTATCTACTTAATATTCGTTTTTGGTACTGCGTCACTCTATTCAGCCCTAGTCCGTTTCAGAAGAGTGAAAGTTTTTGTTTTCTTGCTTGATGAACTTTTACAGGAGCTAGAAGATAAACTAGATATGATGAACAAGGAACAGCCTACTGGCCAACACGATGAACTTTGAAATAAAATCTGAATGTTTTTCTTTTCCTGATATCTGAGATTTTGCCTGAGGATGCTGCCTATCCCTTTCCTTATTTGGTCGGAGATGCATGAAGCAGGCAGCCTACTTCGTTTGTCTAGAAAATTAGTAGACCCTTAGGGCGGGCTTCGCTCAGAATATTTATTGCAGTTCAGACCGAAAGGAATGCCTTTAGTTAAAGAGGAAAAGAAAAATTTTGTACTAGCAGTTTAAACGTCTTCTTCAAAATTTAGAGAACTACAGCAAAAAGGATGCTAATTATAAAATACCAAAAATTTCTGTTTGTCTTTTCAATTTTTTTTTGCCCGAACAAAAGTCTTTTTGATTGTCTTTCATTTGTTTTTGATTGTTTTGAGTATTGATGGATCCCACCCTCTACATGTCAACTATATTAGGTGACTTTTTTTTTATTTAATGTTATAACGTAACCTCTGAACTATCTAATGTGGCAGATTTTTCTTTTGTTTAATGTTATATGTAACCTCAGCTGCAAAGTCTGTCCGACAAATTTATTTAGGTGTTTGTCATTGCTAAATAAAACATAATTAACCCAAAATTAATCAATTAGATGAGACTTTTATTCGAGTCAGTCAAGTCAGCCACAACCATTACATAAAAGACCAACAAAATGTGATGCAAAACCATCAGAATAAAATATGATCAATAAAAAAAAAGGCAATACCATTAAAATTACAGAAAATAGTAAAATATGGTAATGAATGATGTGACATTTATGAAAATATATAATTGTCCTTGATTAGGTTGGTAGTTATTAAGGCAGTGGTGTGGTGTATTTATCTTTTCACGAGTTACTATTTTATTTCATTATATATCGTCACTATCTCTATCATTATTCTAAATTTATACCATGAGACCATTAAAAAATATAAAAAAATAACTGTAAGTAAAAAAAATAAGTAGTACAAATTCAGTAAATAAGTAAATAAGTAGGACCAAAACGATGGATAATATTAATTCATTCAACGTTTATTTTTCTTATATTAATATATAATACAAAAACAATTGATAATTATACTAGTGCAAAAATGATGGATAAACACCACAAAAATGACAGATATGAAAGACAAAAATGATTGATATACAATAGAAAAATAATAGATAACCAGTGAAAAAATTATATTACTTTTTTGGATGGATTCCTGTTTAAAATAAATGGATATGGTGTTAATTTCATATGGATATGCGGCATTAAAACGATGAATATTTTGTTGTCATGGATTTTGTGTTAATTATAAATAAAGTTGTAATCGTGGAAAAAATAATGCATATATAACGCAAAGGCGATCAATAGACAACACAAATGTGATTGATAAATAGTACTAAAATGATGGATAATAATGTAAATCGAAATTTAATTAATGCTAATAATTTAATTTTTATTTTTAGATGAAACTTTATTTTAAAATGATGCATAACTAATTTGTTCGGGTAGATTCTTCATTTTTATGTTACAACTTCATCAAAACTCAATACATATTCATCTTTTTTTAAACTGTATATCTACCAAACAAATATACAATTTCATCATTCTGTCTATTGGTGGGTTGTCGAGACCCCCAAAAGAATTAGTAATATTAACTTAAAACTAGTAGATAGTAATAAGTTGAGTCAATCTCCACGGAGGACAGTGACTGTTTTTGGACCGTCTGAATCACAAAAACCCAACCAAAATGAAACAGGGAAGGGAAGTTGATTTGGCCATTCATGAGAGTGTTAGCACTAACGTGAGAGTGAATAATATGCAAGGAAGTAATTCGAGCATACATAGTATCAAAGGTAGCACGTTAGGAAGGAATGCCATGTAATAAATAGAGTAAGGAAGTTTAGGGATCGTTCTCTCTTCCTATGTTACTTTTACAGTATTATGCATCTATGTGATATGAAGTGTGTTCGATCAGACGCTAATATACCCTTAGGTCTCTATTGATGTTCTTAAGGGAGTTACTCTAGTGACTAACAAGCTTCCTTCCGAGTAAAGTGTTCAAGTCCTATCAGGCTATTAAAAACTAGAGTTTTATCGATAGTCTCGTACCAACTAGGTATCTTCCGATTCTAGTTGCAACCTTAGATTGTTACCTCAAAAGTGTTGACCAATTTTAGTCGTTCTAAACTGAATTTAGCCTTTTGGGATTTCTCAGTATGGATGCACAAGTGCCTAGTTGATCATGTTACATGCAAATTAATTTAAACACTAAAACTGAAACATGTAAATTTAAAGTATTTTCACATAAAAAGAGGGATTGAACACTAACGAAAGACTTAACTACTCATAATTATCATTTTAAATACAAAATCCAAGAAGAACTGAGTATAAAACATGACTACAATAAAGGAAATAAACAGAGAATGAAAGATGTATGTTTTGAATGAAAAACAGATCAATGCCACTTACTTGAGCATCTGTCTCTGCTAAAACTGCCTAAAAGACTCTGTTGCAGAGCTCTTGCCTAACTCTCTACTCAGCTAAACCCTAAACTTTCTACACTAAACTACACATTCTGCTCATGTCTTTTTCCAGATGGCCATCGGTTCTCCTTTTATAGGCAGCAACAACTCATGATTACCGTTGAAATTCAGCCACGTATGTCAGCTATCTGGAGGATCCCGAATGTCATTTTTCTGTTTGGCTCTTCAGGTGTGATTTCAGCTGCTGAAACTTGTCACTTTGCTACTTTTCAGGACCACGGCAGCCACCTAGGATGACTTTTCCTTGCTCACTACGGTTCTGCTCCAAAGGGACAAGAACTGAGCCAATGAAATGATCATGAAATTGCCTCTTTGCCTCAGCTTTCCTCTGAAGTGTCCTGCAAAATGTTTTCCAAAATTGTGCTTTCAGTCCAATCACTTAAGTTCTGTCTTTTTTTATAATTTTTATCTGTAATTTTGATTATTTTAAAATTTAATCTATGATCAAATGAAAGTACAAAAATCATTTATAATTATACAATTCTTATATGATTTCTACAATATAACAATGGAAAACACCCTAAAAGTAATGCTCATAATCATGCAAGTTTGACATTGTGAAATTTTAATAACTTTTAAGTTCAGAAAACATATTAAGTCGAATCTTGTCTGATAAATCTCGTCGATTAGTATAAATTCATATATAACACGTTTTTTTAATTATTCATGAATTAAAAGATATTTGTATATTCAATATTTAAAAATTGTAGAAAAACCTCCCGATTTTAACAAAAAAAAAAACTGCAAAAAAAAAGTGATTTGAAGGGTAGAGAAAAAAATTTGATAAGAACTATCAGTGCAAACAATATGAAGGGATTTACATTAGATCCGGTTCCACCTAAGAATTTATCATCTGAAAAATATGCCAATGATAAATCTCATCAAATATTTCTTGCAGAATACCAAAAAATGTATGTATAGTGCATCTGTTAGTTACTTATGGATTATTTAACAGAATTGTTACTTTTTAAAAATGTGAATATTTATAGATTTAATTTGTTGGAAATTGCAACGAAACCTCTAATAAAGTACTTCCTCCGTCCAGAAATTATTGTCCAGTTTGAGTTTTTATTTCTAATACGAATTATATTAAAAGTGAAATCCAAACTGGACAATAATTTTGGGACAGGGGGAGTGCAAAACCACTAGGAAATCCATTTACTCGTTCGCTCAAATCTAAAGATCTGTTTATTTGTTCAGTGTGTATTATATTTTAAAATGTTTAGGGAATATTAATATAAAGAAATTTACTTTTGAAATTTGTATTAGTTTCAGTACAATTTTTAAATTCGATCTAGAATATTTGTTTAAGACTGGGTGAGTTTGTGAATATATTCTTTTTGAAATAAATTAATAAACAGCCAGGAATAAATTCTATTTTGATAAAAAACTGAAAAGAAAAAGGTTAAAACAGAAAAGCCTACCTTGAGTCCCTAATGTTGTAGTTACTAGTTAGTAATTCCTCTGTCCCAAAATTATTGTCCAGTTCGAGATTTTACTTTTAGTACGATTTTTACTATAAATGAAAACTCAAACTGAACAATAATCATGGAACAATAATTATGAGACGGAGGGGTAGTAAACTTTTTAACTTGAAGTAACATTTTTCCAATAAAATATACTCCCTCCGTTCCACAAAAATAGTCCAGTTTGATAAAAAAATTCTGTCAAAAAAAAAATCCAGTTTTAAACAAGTCAAAATTGAAACAAATAAAATGACTTAACTGTCTTTTTTATCAATAGAAGATTCATTCCATACCCAATTTTCAATAACGGACGATCAACGAGGCTCCGGCGGTGAAATGGTTTGATACAGCAAAAATAATCGAACCAATTCGAAACCTTATAGCTAAGAAAAGAAGTGAGTAGGAATTTCGGAGGATAAAATCAAAAGGATAATCACTTGATGCCAATAATTCCGGCGAGGAGGACATCTCATCCAATTCCGTCGTCGTTAGTCTCTTTAGGGCAGAAGAATTTGTAAAATTTTGACGTAGTTTTAGGTAACCATTACGAGCTCCAGATCTGGCGACGCAGGGATCCGGCGGAATATCGAACCTTTAAAGGAATCAAAGAAGTAAAGCATGATCAAAGATTAACAAGATCAGAAAGGAAGAGAAAATGCTATTGATATGATGAACTCAAAAACAAAAGAGAGAGAGAGAGAGAGAGAAACTCGTCAATTTGACGGTTATTCATTTTTCTGGAAACTAACTTGTGTCAAAAAGTATTTACAAGTACCTTATATATTGCACTAACCGACTAACTCTCTAATATTTACAACAAGATGCCTAAACTCCCTAATAGTTACAGTTAAGTACAATTATGAAAACTTCCAGTCAAGTCAAGTCACCCCTGGATCAAATCCATTGTGTGTAATCGCTATATATGTAGACTCCTTCACTTGATCGCTCTTTACCCCCTCCTCAAGATGAGCATTCCATAAGCTCATCTTGGGCAGAAGGAAGGCAAAAACAGAAATTGAAAGTGCTTTGGTAAAGAAATCAGCAAGGCAAAGAGAAGTAGGAACATGGAGAGGAAGCAACATACCAGCTTTATACTGATCACGAACAACGTGGCAATCGATTTCGATGTGCTTTGTTCGTTCGTAGAAAACAGGGTTGGCAGTAAACTTGAGGGCTTCTTTACTGTCACAATACAGAGGAACCGGCAAAGAAGGTTGAACACAAAAATCTTTCAAAATATATAAAATCCACTGAAGCTCCCTGGTGGCAACAGCCATAGCTCGGTACTCGGCTTCAGCGGAAGAGCACGAAATTGTTCCTTGCTTTTTGGTTTTCCAACTGATTAAACTACTGCCTAAGAAGACACAATACCCTGTTAATTAATGGTTACTAGAGCGGTAAGCCCCCCAATCAGAATCACAGTATACTTGTAAGGTAAGAGCAGCAGAAAAAGAATAATAAAGGCCACGATGAATACAACCCGAAAGATAACGTAAAACATGGAAAGCAGCTGTCCAGTGAGAGGAATGAGGCTTCTAAATGTGCTGACTCAACTATTGGACGACATAAGTGATGTCAGGCCGAGTATAATTCAAATACAAAAGACGACCAACTAACCTTTGAAACTGAGCAGGATCAAGATGAAGAGGAGTTTGGTCTCGGTCTTCGGAGACAAACTGTAAACCTCGGGAAAGAGGTGCATTTACTGCCTTACAGTCCAACATGCCAACAGAAGCGAGGAGATCAGTAATATATTTGCCCTGACTGATAAGAATACCAGAAGCAAAACGTGCTACTTCCATGCCAAGAAAGTACTTAGCATGACCTAAGTCCTTGATGGTAAACAGATCGTGTAGGTATGTTTTAACACGAGCTATCTCAGAGTTAATAGTCCCAGTGACTATCACATCGTCAACATAAACTAAAAGAAAAATCTGATACTGATGAGTAATACAAAAGAACAAGCAAGGATCATGATACGATTGCTGAAAACCAAAATATGTTAACCTGGTAGAGAACTCCAAGTTTCACTAACGAGAAGCTTCCTTTAACCCGTACAGAGATTTCTTCAATCTGCAAACCTGGCCAGGCTGGGCTTTAGTGTAACCTAGGGGGTTTAGCATGTACACTTCCTCCTCTAAGGAACTGTGAAGAAACGCGTTGTTGATATCAAGCTGGTGGACCGGCCATTTCTTACAAGAAGCAATGGCAAACATCATATGAACTGTTACAACTTTAGCCACAGGGGAAAATACTTCACAAAAATCCTCCCCTTCGATTTGAGTATAACCCTTAACGACAAGTTGTGCCTTGTACCTTTCCACAGTTCCATCAGCATTACGTTTAATCTTGTAGACCCACTTAGATCCAACAGCTTTCTTACCAACAGGCAGTTGAGTTAATTCCCAAGTATCATTGATCTCTAAAGCCTCAAGTTCTTTACTCATGGCCTCTATCCATTTAAGGTTAGTTCTGGCCTGATTAAAACTACTAGGTTCAGAAGTATCAGACACATTAGCAACAAAATTCTTATATGCACTAGAAGGAATAAAAGAGAAATCAGAAGAAGGTGTTAAACAGATAAGGTGGTTTCATAATCTTGCATCCAGGCAGGACGCTTCCTGTCATGAGTACTAACCCTAAGAGGCAGTGGATTATGGGTAGATGAAACAAGAGTAGTTGGTGAAGGAGACACAGAATGTGAGTGAGAGGATGATGGCTCATAAAAGTGGTCAGAAGATAAGTGACTTAGTGGTGAAGCATCAAGGATGTCAGAGAGGTGAGAAGGTGAAGTAGAAGTAGAATTAATAGGATCAGATGGAATATTATAAGATGGTTGAATAATAGAAGAATCATCAACAGGGACAGAAGGAAACACATGTTCATGAAAAACAACATCTCGTGAAACCAAAATTTGATGTAATGAAGGGACATATATCTTGTAGCCTTTTTGGGCATGTGGATACCCTACAAAAATACCCGCAAAAGACCTTGGATCAAATTTATCACGACAAGGACCTTTATTAAAAGAAAAAACTCTACAACCAAAGGTTCTTAGACCCGTTAAATCAGGAGGATGTTGATAAAGAATTTCGAAAGGTGACTTCCATTGAAGAAGGAAAGATGAAAGACGATTGATGAGAAAGGTAACTTCGACTGCAAGAGTAAAGATCTTACAACCTACAAAAGATGGCGATGTTTGTGCTCCACAACACCATTTTGTTGCGAATTATAAACACAAGACCTCCGATGAATTATTCCATGATCATTAAACAACTGAGAACAAAAATGATTGAGGAATTCTGTTCCGTTGTCTAACCATATGATCTTAACATGTTTATTAAACTGAATAAAATCCGATTCTTCTCATGCTCATAAATCTCATTCAGCACCATTAAAAACTCCATGGTCTTATCTTCTAGTTCTCTGACTGACAGTAACTCCCCAATTTCCCCTGTAATTACTGGAGTAGGTCTCAACTTTTCATACTGATCCCATAACTGTTTTATCTTCCCATAATATTTTGACATAGTCATAGTTTCCTGCTTAACCAGTGCTAACACTCGTTTAAGTTCAAACAATTGAGGTGCAGTTGTAGTGCCATATCTCTGCTCTAATTCTTTCCATAAAGTTCTAGCATCGTGCACAAACGTAAACATAGTTGCAATTTTTGGTATAATCGAGCTCTTAATCCAAGAACACACCATGCTATTTGCTTGATTCCACTTAATACATTTCAGAGTGCCTTCTAGAGGCTTAGGAAAAGTACCGTCTATAAATCCTAGTTTCAATTTTACTTCTAAAGCATGAATCATAACATTTTTCCACACTAAGTAATTCTTCTCATTTAACAGACTCGTAACCAAAGGAGTACCTAGATTTTCTGATCCATGAACATACTGCTGCTCCTCAATTAGCTCATCTATTTCTCTGTGTGTTGCCTCATCCATCACCGGTCTTCGAAGTATTGCTTCGTTCATGTTGAAATCTACGAAAAAATTACTGTTACTTGCTTCGCGAAAGAAAATCCCAAAATTTCTCAAACCTTAGATTTGAAGACCTAATCAATCAATTTGATTTTATATTGACAGCGGAATGCAGAGCAGGCCTAAACCTGCTATGATATTATAAAGGAATCAAAGAAGTAAAGCATGATCAAAGATTAACAAGATCAGAAAGGAAGAGAAGATGCTATTGATATGATGAACTCAAAAACAACAGAGGGAGAGAATCTCGTTAATTTGACGGTTATTCATTTTTCTGAAAACTAACTTGTGTCAAAAAGTATTTACAAGTGCCTTATATATTGCACTAACCGACTAACTCTCTAATATTTACAACCATATGCCTAAACTCCCTAATAGTTACAATTAATACAATTATGAAAACTTCCAGTCAAGTCAAGTCACCCCTGGATCAAATCCCTTGTGCGTAATCACCATATATGTAGACTCCTTCATTTGATCACTCTTTAACCTTCATTGTTGTCTCCGGTTGAAAAAATGGAGAATTAATTTTGGAATCAATACTTCGGTGAAACCGTGAAAGAAAGGAGTATTAATTTCTTGCTTCTGATTTGGGAACGAGAAGCAGAGCTCTCACGATTTCTTCGCGGGAATGAAGAGGTTTTCTGCATATTTGGGCATGATTTTTTTTGAGAAAGAGAAAGAGGAAGTAACCGGATTTGGGCATGAATTTTTTATCAGGGTGAAATTGGAAGTGAAATTGGACTATTTTTTTTTTGGAAGGAGGGAGTAGTATTATTAAAGTACAAGAGAAAGAAAGAGACGTGTAGTAGTAAATTTGGCCAATCAAATCCTTGTTGTCCAACTGGCCTCTCTTCTCATTCTCAACTTCACGCACACACACACAGGCACGCTTCTAAATTTCCTTCCAAGTTCCATCCATCCATCCATTAAATCGAAACGATCCAGAATCGTCATCATCAAATCATCACAGACCGCAGGAGAGAATTTGAGAGTATGGAGGATATCAACAACAACCACCACGAGGGCGGCGCCGTCCAGCAGCGGAGGCCCAAGACCAAGATCGTCTGCACGCTAGGTCCCGCATCCCGCTCAGTTCCGATGCTAGAGAAGCTGCTTAGGGCTGGGATGAACGTCGCGAGATTCAATTTCAGCCATGGATCCCACGAATACCATCAAGAGACGCTCGATAATCTCCGCTCCGCCATGGATAACACCGGTATCCTCTGCGCCGTCATGCTCGATACCAAGGTCTTCTACCTTCCGATCTATTTTTAATTTTTTTCTTTTTTCGAGCTATTATTTTTGCCTGTTTATATCAGTTCCGACTTGATTTTTCTGTTGATTTCACTTCTTTTGTCCGAGAGAGATGAGATTGTGTTATAAATTATACTTAGAGCATGTTCATCTTCTATTTGCCGGTATCTTATTACATAAAGAATCCAACGCCGCCGACTTCTCCATTTTCCGATCGCTCTCTATATCTTTCTCGGTACATGATTTCTATCATTAGCTACTAGGTCACCTGAGTAGAAAATCTAACTTTAGATTTTCGGTAGTGAATTTAGGGTATATATGTGGATTTGTGACCCAATCTGTATCTGGATTGGATTGTTCAACAAACTCAATAAGTTGGTAATTTATTCACATAGTTACCTAAAAAGACCTATCACAGCAGGCAGGAAAATAAAAAGATAAAAGAGGCTGTATGAGGTCTGGGGAAGGATCAGAATATCATGGTCTGATCATGTTATATCCAAAACCATGATCTGGTGACCTCAGCTCCCTGTTGAGAAAGATGGTTCTGATACTAAACAAATATTTTGATTTCTTTGCATCGCATCCCTTTCAATTTTACCATTCAACTATCATTGACTCTTTAATCATGAGTATTGTCAACGCCTGTTTTTTAATTTTATTTTATTTTCTCTCCTAAAGTAACCTAGAAGTTAATGAAATCTTGATTTGGGACTAATCATGGCAATACGAATGTCGAATTGCATGAGCTGCTCTTTTTAAACTGGGTCTTACACCTTCCTGATCTTTCACTGAGGGTATCATGTGTGTGTTGTTTCCCAGGGTCCAGAGATTCGGACTGGGTTTTTAAAAGACCAGAAGCCGATCCAACTGAAACAGGGTCAGGAGATCACCATCTCCACTGATTATACCATTAAAGGTGATGAGAATATGATCTGCATGAGCTACAAGAAGTTGGCTGAGGACGTAAAGCCAGGAATGGTAATACTATGTGCAGACGGCACCATTTCATTCACTGTTCTGTCTTGTGACAAAGAACAGGGAATTGTTCGATGCCGCTGTGAAAACACTGCAGTTCTTGGTGAGAGGAAGAATGTCAATCTACCTGGAGTCATTGTGGACTTGCCAACTTTGACAGAGAAGGACAAGGAAGATATCATGAAGTGGGGAGTTCCCAATAAAATTGACATGATTGCTCTATCTTTCGTGCGCAAAGGTTCAGATCTGATTGAGGTTAGGAAGCTGCTCGGGGAACATGCAAAAAATATCCTTCTTATGTCTAAGGTACACTAACATTCAGTCCTTCGACGGAAAATTATCTTTAATTATACCACTTGGCTTTAAACTACAAAAATAACTTTCCATTTTAAATGTGCGGTCGTCCACCTTGTAGGTGGAGAATCAAGAAGGAGTTGCTAATTTTGATGAGATTTTGGCTAACACTGATGCGTTTATGGTCGCTAGAGGTGATTTGGGAATGGAAATTCCGATTGAAAAGATATTCTTGGCTCAAAAGGTTATGATTTACAAGTGCAACATCCAAGGGAAGCCTGTTGTAACAGCTACACAAATGTTGGAGTCAATGATCAAATCTCCTAGGCCGACTAGAGCAGAAGCTACTGATGTTGCCAATGCTGTTCTGGATGGGACTGACTGTGTAATGCTTAGTGGTGAAACAGCTGCTGGAGCTTATCCAGATCTTGCAGTAAGGACCATGGCCAAAATCTGCATTGAAGCAGAAAGTACAATCGATTATGCAGATGTGTTTAAGCGGATAATGGTGAATGCGCCTGTTCCCATGAGCCCGTTGGAGAGTCTTGCATCTTCAGCTGTTCGAACGGCCAACTCGGCTAAAGCAGCTCTTATTTTAGTCTTAACCCGAGGAGGAAGTACAGCAAAGCTGGTTGCAAAATACAGGCCTGGGATGCCTATTTTGTCGGTGGTTGTCCCGGAGATTAAGACAGACTCCTTTGATTGGTCTTGCAGCGATGAATCTCCGGCCAGGCATAGTTTGATCTTCCGGGGGTTGATTCCCGTGCTTTGTGCAGGTTCAGCCAGGGCTTCTCACGAGGAATCCACTGAAGAGGCACTGGATTTTGCACTTCAGCATGCTAAAGTAAAAGGGCTGTGCAAACAAGGAGATGCGATCGTGGCCTTGCACCGCGTCGGAACTGCTTCTGTCATCAAGATTGTGACAGTGAAGTGAATCTGATATGATTTCTGACTCAAAAGCTTAGGGGTGGTTGTGGTAAACTGAAAAAATAACGCACTTCAAACTTTTCTTTGTTTATTTTTTTTTCCTTGTAAAATCAAGGCAGGTGCCTAGACTACACGTGATTATTCGGACTTTTCATTCAGACCTTTATTTAGTATTTGTCCAGCAGAAATTTTCCAACCCGTTGAGCTGGAACTGGCTGGCCTATTTTGGCTTTTTGGTTTGTGGTTGATGCTGCAGAATGATCGAAGTTTTTGGTCATCAAGAGAAATATGTTAAATGCAGGTATAAATCTTTGGAGTACTCTCATATAGCTTCTCGTGTACTCTTGTAGGCTTTGTAGTATGTAGATGTGGCTGAAATGGGTAATTACAGCTTGGGAGGTGGTTTTCCTTCTTGGAAAGCACCCCCATTTTGGAAGAGCAGACAACGGGTGAAATGGTTTTCAATTTCTCTGTCGGCTATTTCTCACTATCTAGTATCCATCAATCATACATCATGCTCTCCTTTCTAACACCATGACCAGTGATACAAATGTTCCACTTGATGCATATCCGGGCTCAACACCCAGCAACAAACATGAGGTTTGATGAATATACATGAGACATGAATTACGGAAACATGATATTTACCAAATCTAATCAGAGTAGATGAACAGAAAGACAGTATGTATGTATTGTATATATACAAACATTATTCCACAGGGCAAAATAAAAAGGCATAGTCCAATCCAAAGCACAGATCTAAGTATGAAGAATGTAAGTAGTACCCTCCTAAGGTGTAGGTGCAGCGCTATTGGGAAGATGGCTCCTGCTGCGAAGAAGATGAATTACCATCGCCAGATTGGGAAGTATTGTTGTCATTATGATTAAAAAAGTGACTCACTGGCCATGGAATGGGTAATGAAAACCTCCCACCAAGTTCTCTCCTTCCACTTTCATTTCTCCTTGTACCAGCAGCAGCAGCAGCAGCATTGTCACCAATGAAAGGAGGTTGGAGTTTTGAATCATCCTCAGAAGGCAGCTGATAACGACAAACAGGGCAAGAACTGTGAAGTTGCAACCAAGGGATAATACATCCGGAATGGAAACAATGGTGACAAGGCATTTGCTTAGCCTCTGAACCAATCTCGAAATCTTCCAGGCAAACCGAACACTGTAGAGGAGATGATGATGAGTCTTGTTGTTGGTGTTGGATGTTGACAGTAGGCAGGGCTTCCACGGCGTCTTTCTGTGCGGGCGGAGTGCCGTATCTGTTGATATGGTTGTCAGCTAAGTGCTGGAGCAACATATCCAAACCCGCACCCAAAAAATAATCCCCCAACGAAGAAGAAAACGGATTAATATGGTTTGATTCAACATCATCGGAAGAACCAGCTTGAAGGTCCAGGATTGTTTGACTCAAGGGATTTATCAGGATCACCCCCTCTCCGTCATCGTCATCATCTTCTTCGGACCGCATCCCGGCTCGAATGCCCTGCATAAGCCGGAGGAAAGGGGCTGAGCCTGAGTTTCTCCTCCGAAGAGGAATTATGGATCCAAATCCAGGCGGCAGCTGATCAAGTTCGGAGTTGTCTTCCTCACGGCCGGCCCTCTCCACCTCCTGGCCTTGCGGACGGCTGGGATAATGAGATTGAGGGGTGGTGTTGATGATGCCGAGCAAGATAGGAGCCCAAAGGGAGAGAGCCCGGTGATGTGAATAGTAATCATCATCATCCTCATTTGCATTCCCACCAGGAGGAGGAGGAAGAGGAGACATTTGCTCTAGGAAGCCGCCTTGGCAGTTGGGGCATTTCACGGTCTCAATCTCTATGATTGGGCCCACCATCCGAGAGCAAGCGTGGCACCAATATTGCGATATGTTTGCTTTCTCCATTGGCAGCGGCGGTGGCGGACGCGGTGGTTTTCTCCCTCCTGTCTTTTGTAATCCGTGTCACCACCAGAAACCAAAGACCAATCAATGCGCTTAATTCGATTTCCAAATTAAGAAGGGGGAACATGAAGAGTTAATGAAGCACGTCGTCTAGATTACCAGGAGGAAATCAAAAGCCAGATATCTTTTTTAATTTGGAGGCTGAAAATGATTGATTGATGACGATCAAATCTTACATCTATATATATCAGAGGATCGTGTAGGCCGAAAAACAGAAGCATCTGGAATCCTCTCAATTCATTATACACTTGTTTAATGAGTGAGAAAAAATCTTTTTTTTACCCGGAAAAAGAAAAGATTGAAACGTAAAATGATGGATGGCTAGCTGGGTTAATAATGATACTAAATTAATAATCGAACTGATAACGCGGGATGATTTTTGTTCTTTGAACGAACTACATTTTGCCTCTAAATTTTGACCCAATCTATTATAAACCTCCCGAATTTTTATTTTTATTTTATAATACTACCACATATTTGCTTGACTCACACTTAACCTATCAACTAGGCTTGTCTGTGTCGCGCGTTGTGCGACCAGTTTGTATTATATAATTATTATACTGTGTTTGTAACCAAAAAATAGTATTACAGAGAAAGTATAAAAATAGTTTGTTTTATTGAATTCTATGTTAATAATTTGAACTACAATTACTTAATCTTTTTATTATGAAATGTAGCTTGTTTTTTATCTTTGACTTTACTTTGTATTCTATTCGTTTCTTTAGTCGATAAGACTATTTGTATTCACCAAATCGGGAAGAAGTAAAAGGTAGTACTCGATCTTTATGAATTTCTGTATTAGGAGCTCATAAATTATGATCGATTGCTACAAAAGAATCAAAGTAGTAGCCTTAGGAGGCGAAGAAGCCTTGTTTTCTCGGGTAAAATGAGCTTGGAATGAACCACTTTCCCATTGTTTTAGGCTTGTCTTGACAGCAATGGTGGCGTTACTTTAAATGCAGCAGTGCAAAGAATAACAATAATAGAACTATTTGTATAAAGGCTAGATTTTAAGCCCGCACAGGATTATCAAAGAATCACTTGTCAACACTACCATCAGACCAGGTTTGTGGGAAAAGGTTTGACATATGGAAACATTGGTGCAAAAAATAGAAATGGAGACCAGAAACTAATGTCTCATTAGCAGTAAAAATAAAAGTATAGGGATGTACGCCAAAAAAATTCCAAACGTATTAGTTGATCATGACTTTACTGAGCAAGAGTCAAGTAGTTGCATAAGATCAAACTCAATGAAATTATTTTTTGCTATACTATTTGTTGAGCAAATCTTAAGAATCAACTAAGTGCGTGTGAAGCATAGTTCATACTTGTTTGGCGAGCAGCTGAAGAATATGCACCAATGAAAGTTGTTCCAGATAGATGAAGAAATTATGTAGTAAATGATAAAAAGAAAATTAAGGATAAACAATAGAAACGTTTATGCACAAAGTTATAGAAGAGTGTTTCCTTCTCTGAAAGGTCTTCTAGAATAACATAATAGATTCCTGTTTTTGACAATTATTGGGTAAAGAAGCTCAAAATACTTATCTTTTTTCTCACTATTGACAACCAAATGACTGTTGGCATAGATTGCAAGAAGCATAGTAAGACAGAGAAGCAAAAGCCACCAAAAGTCTTACGAAACAAAGTTTTTTTTAAATGGTACAGAGACAGTGATTATCTTTTCCTAATGTACCTACCCCTTTCAATTGTAAATTCTTCGCTAGTTTTATCTGTATCTGGTACAATCAGTGAAGTTCCTGAACCTGAAGAACAACAAAAAGGCAATGAGCTTTACATATGAAGTAATGCAGTATGCTCTATGCTTAGTCAATCCAAAGCAGAAACGTGAGCTTCTCCCCAAAGCATTCCCAATCATCAGGTACTAATATTAAGACGAGTAGCCAAGTGTCCAGCATTTTATTTGCCTGGTAAAGCAAAATTTACCACAAATAAAGTATCATAATTAGAACATCAAGTTAGTGGGTCATTAATGCATGTAGCAAATCCGTATGCTATTATTTTTTTCCCTTACACCAAGAGACTTATCATGCTACTAAAGTAGCTCATCATTATATTCTAAATTTTCAAATAATCCAGCATACATATCAAAGAGAACCTAGGCGTATTAGTTAGAGAAAAATATTCAAATCTAGACATGGAGGTAATTTTTCAAGGCTAATCAACTTTTTTGAACCATAGACATATAAAGAGATGGTATTTTAGTTCTTTATTATAAGACAGTCAAATATTAGAAACATAAAGTCAGAAAAAAAGTACATTACAATATCACAAGTATATAAAGTCAGTAAAAGAAGTACAAATTTTGGTGCAGATATCTAGTGGAGTGAGGATTTATGACAAATTTTGGTCCCAATTTGATGTAATGTTGTTGCGATCGTATACTAAACTACATTTGATTAGTCTTCCACGTGATTCACTTTGTTGACAGTAAAGGAACCTCTGTAACCCAATTAATTTTAAAGTGATTGATAATGTATTCTCATATAGATCACACTTAGGGAACAACAACAAACAATGTCTACCAGTTCAATAAACTAAAATTTTATGTGTTCAAACCTTAGGCATAAAAAGGCCTCCCTTCCACTTCAATTTTCACTTTGCAATTAAATAGGTTCAAAATAAACCAGGTTTGGTGGAGACAGTATACAACACACCAATGCAAACATGATCATATCCCAAAAAATAGTAAGTCATGAGAACTTTTACCAGGGTTGAAAGGTCTGCACCTTTGTCCAACTAACATAAGATAAATTGACATGAAACCAATTGATCAGCAAATATTCCATATTCCATGTACATTCGGCCAATTCAATAGCATTCAAAAAAAGAAATTTTAAAAAAGAACTATCTTGCGAAGGTCCTTATAACATGGCTCAGGTTCCACAATTCTGCTATTTCTGCTGACAATATCTCTCTATTTCTCAGTCTCCTTGTAATTCTTCATATTTTGAAAGAGTTCAATTCGATGACTAACCGACAACAACCTAAAACAAACACAATTATATGAAATTCTGCTATATTAAATAGAATTCAGCAACTCAAACGTTCTCGTAAAATCCTACTTTTCCATACAAAATCATAACCATATGTGAATATTGAGATCAAAACTTCAAATTCGTTTTAATACAAAAGATATGAAAGAGAAAAATAAAATCAGTATTACTTATGGTAGGAGAGAGATCTTCGAAGGTATCTGGAGTAAAGCTGAGCGAAGGACTATCTTTTTCTACTCCAGAATCCCCAATCAACAATAACTTAAACAAATAATTAAATTCTTACGAGGAGGACGACGAAGACGATACCATCTCCACGAAGTTTAATTGGAACATCCATGAAAAAAAAAAACAGATTAGGCAACCTGAAAAATAAGAAAAGATTAGGACCAAGTGAAATTCAGTGAGCATAAACAAGATTAGATATCATTCAAGATTTCATGATGCAGTAACTATTTCCCTATTGAATGGCAAAAGCAGAATCAAAATAAATCATAATAAAAATAGAACTACACCAAAACAAACCTTTTGGAGAATAAAAAAATTCAGGAACTGCGGAGAGCCTCAGCAAAAAAGTCCTTCTGATTGTCCTTGGCATTTGATGTGGTTTGGTATGCTCTTTTTGCGCAGAGAGCTCTCAACAGAAACAAATAGTGGAAATTATGCAATTCTGGTTTCTACCCTATTAGAAAGTTCTGCAATGTATACACCAACAAAAATCAACAAAAAAAAGAAGAAGAAAAGATTCGGAGTAGACTCTAAGGAAAAAGAAGCAGCAGCAATAGTACAGGAAGACCGAATTTTATTTTATTTTTGCCGGTGAGTGAGTTGGTGGCACAATCCACGGTAGTGGGGAGAGAAGAGGAAAAAACCCTCTGGAAAATCTGATGAGCGACTCTTCGCAGCAATAGAATTAGAGCCCAAATAGAAAGAAAAAGAAAAAGTAGAAAAAGTAGTGTATATAGAACAATGTTCAAATCTTGTCTGGCACCACGATCTATGATCGATCAAGATTAGAGCCCCTTCCTCTTCTCGTTACTGCTCTTTATCTTCGTCCCCAATAATCTCACCGGTGAAGGTTGCAAAATCGAATCTATGGACTCAATCGACAAACGTTCCGACGATAGACTTCAACAACTCTGCACGGAGGTTATGGTGATTAGCGCGGCAATTCAATTTTGAAGGTGGTCTTTAGCGGCAGTTTGATTTTTAGCGCAGCTATAGTTTTAGTCGCGGCGGAGGAACTACAGTTCCAAGTCGTGTCTGTAACAATTTTTTATATATAATCCTTCGGTCCCAAAAAATGGTAGGGGTATTAGCGTAAATAGAGGTCTTAAAAAAGAGGGAGGAGGCTAAAAAACAAGAAGGAAAAAAGAAAAGATGAAGCGCAAGTATAATCTGTGGTTATTTTGTTTCGGGGATTCAACAAAATTTCTTTTTAAAAAGAAAACATTGATACAAAAACGTCGTCGTTTTCACTGCTAGGAATAAAATGAGGGTATAAAACGACGTTGTTTTGATATCTGGGGATTTTTTTTTACCAAAAATTCAGATTTTTTCTCATTCATTAATTTGAAATTGAATTTATGCATTCTCTTTTTTGCCCCCAATAAGTCGCTGACGTCATATCAAGGTCATCCGACGTACGAGATCAATTTAAAGGTGGCCCTAAATATTTTTTGGGCATTTAATTTCTTGCCTACTGTGCCTTTATATTAAGTATAAGGACAAATGTTTCATTACCATGACATAACACCATCGTCAATTTTGGATAAACGGTCAAAAATACCTTTCAATCTATATTTTTTAAATCGTACACTTAAATATTTTTAAAATATATCATAAATTAAAATTAAAAAAATTATCCATTAATTGTTTTTTTTTATGAATGGCTTGAACAATAAATTTTTGAAATTAACTAGATCATTTATTTTGAAGTAGAATTATCTTCGTAATTAACTTATATTTTTCCTTGAAGCATAATAGACTTATGTTATTAATCATTAATTAATTTTCATTCATTAACTTGTGTTATAATTAAACATGATAATGACAAATTAAGTATTTTTTTTTAATTTCTAATGGTCAAGAAACGAAGAAATATAAACCGGAAAAAAAAATAAAATAAAATGAAGTGCATGTAAATCATGATTAATTTTGTTCTTTCAATGTTTATCTCTGCTCAGGGAATATATAATAACATTACCAAATTTAGAGAAATTTATGGTAGATCGAGGAAAACTACATGGTTCAAATGTAGTTCGCCCTTTTTCACTCTCATTCATTATTAAAATTCGGAGACACTTACTTTCTAACTCGTACTTAAATATATTCCTCCTATATATTAACTTCACTTCGGTGCTTTTGTATCACTTTTTACATTTCTCTATTTCTATATTACTTTCTTTTTTTTTAATAATTTTATTAATACCATAACTCACCCTTAAATGAACCCGTTACGATTATGTATCAAACAATAAATGAATGATATAAGAAGTGATATAAATTTATAGTCTAAGAGATCGATTGTTTCTCTTTCCGGGATCTAATAGTAGCCCAAATATGATACAAATTTATATTCCCCAATCCCCATCATGTCATAATTTAGATTTTACGGTTTTAACGTATCTTATTTTCTCCAAAAATAATAATTATATATATTTTTTAAAAAGGAAAAAACGCATTTTGGGTCCTTAAATTTTGGGAAATCACAATTTCGAGTCACCATTAATTTTTTAATGATAATATTAGTCACCATATTTTCGTTTATTCATCAATTTAGACAATTTAATAGAAGTTATGGTCAACTAATGGTCAAGTCTTTTCTCCGTTAGGTATTTTAACTTTTTATTAACTTTTTTACTGAATTAGGACCCGCAATATGTTTTCAAACAACAAGATCAGTCTCCTATTATCTTTTTTTTTTCAACCATTTTAGTCACTTTAACATAATTTTCAAAAACTTAATGGCCCAATACATTTTTTCGTTAAATTTTTATTTTTTAATTAATTTCTTAATGGATTGTGGGTTCCACAGGCTTTTGATCAGAATTTTTTTTAAAAAAAATAAAAAATTAAAGGAATAATGAAACTATGTCCAGCTAACTTCCTAAACCCTAATATTATGTTCCCCACCGGTCAAGTGGCTCAGAAAAATAGCCTTATTATTGATCCTTTTCGTTGTTGGATTCTTTTTTTTTTTGGGATTTATTTCTCTGGTAATCCAATTAAATTATCAGTCCTCTTTTTTTGAGTCACCCCTTTCATTGTCTCTATCTTTTTCTGGGCTACTTTGCCGGGAGAGAGGTGATGGTGAGACGTTGGGGAGCAGAATACATGGGGTTTAGGAAGTTGGCCGAAAATATTTTTATTATTCTTTTAAATTGTTTTTTTTTTTTAAAAAAAAAAGGCTTGTGAGACTAACAATCGATTAAGTAATCAATAAAAAATAAAGATTTAAAGAAAAAATAAAATTGGCCATTAATTTTTTTAAAAATTCTGTTAAAGTGATTAAAATTGTTGAAAAAAAAAGGTAATAAGGGACTGATTTTGCTGTTTGAAGATATATTGCGAGTTCCAGTTCAGTAAAAATTACTAAAATATTTAAAAACTTAATGGAGAAAAGAGTTAACCGTTAATTGACCAAAAATTCCCATTAAATAGACTAAAATTGTTGAATAAACGAAAAGACGGTAATCAATTTCGTCAATAAAAAATTAATGGTGACTCAAAATTATGATTCTTAATAGTTTAAGGACCAAAAGTGCATTTTTTTTAAAAAAAAAAAAAAAAACTTACACGTCAAAACTGCGTTTTCCAGCTGCCTCTCGCTCTTCTATGACTCAAGAGTTTGCTATTATCGAACACGAGAAGGCATTATAATAATATTGGCACTCTTCTTTCTTTTTCTTTTTTTTTTTTAACTTTTTTAATCCAATCTGTATTTCACTTGATCCAACATGATCCCGATACATGATGTAGGCCTGTACCCAAGACATATGCGGGCCAACAGATGGATGTAAAGCAAATGCAAGAATTTTTCTTTTAAAAAATAATGAAATAAAATGTAAACGTGCGAGTGCGAACCTAACAAAAAATTCTGCAAATCCAAAAAAAAAAAAAAGACGTTTGTGTATATTGATTTTTTGACATTTCCCCACGGTACATAACGCACGGTGCCTACTATTTTCACCCAAACTCAAAACTCCACATTGCATACTATACTACTTTTCACCCTGCATAACTCTCAAAACTTTTCAAACCCATCAAACAAACATATTCTTAGAAATGATATCTTTTACCCTGTTCGCACCAAAGAGCTTTCTCCATCTTATAGCATGGAATAAAGAATAATACCATTATAGAGTTGTTTAACCACATAGCTGTACAAAATTTGTTAATGTCAGGATACAAAATTTTTTTAAAAAAAAACCTATCAGCATATTCCCGTGATTATGTAACACCCTCCGAGTCTGCAAATCCCAAAAGAAAAGAAGAAAAAAAAAAAAAGAAGAAGAAGAAGACCTTTGGGCACCATATGTCACCTAGCCCTTGTCCTCCCCATCTTCAGATGCTCTGCAGCTTTCTCCTGCAATTCTCCTCCTGCAAGTTTAACACATTCAGCCCCGTTTGCTTTTCTGATCATTGGTTTCATGTGCAGGATGTCAGATTCTCACAACAGATGCATTCATGCTTCCATTACTAAGTCAAATCAAGTGAGACCTTCACTTGTAGCTACTGGCGCAAGTTAACAACTCAAACTTCATGCTCTATAGTAAAAGACCAATAAACTAAATGCACACATGAAACTCTCAAAGAATTTCAACTCCTGAGACAAAGTTATAATTCATACTCAGCCTTTCCCCTGTATGAACACAAGAGCTAGAAGTTATGGTCCATACTCCTGACCCCTTTTCCTAACTTTTTTTTTTTGGGGAGGGAAATTTCTTGTAATAGACTAAAGCATATTTTTACACCAAACTAAGGGCTTGTCGGAATTTCCATTCTATGTTGAATAAACAAAAACCTCAAATTCTTTCCTTAAAAAAATGAAAAAGAAACCCCAGCAAAACTCTGTTATTGTAATGAACTCATTTCAGCCAAAAAGCCTCATCAAGGACGACTACATTATGATGCAGAACTGCAGATAATCACAAGAAAAGATTATGTGTAGTCTACTTGTTTTTATTCTATGTGCATTTCAGCTTACCATCATACAAAAGTCAAGAACACTTCAGACCAAAACAACATAAACAATCATATGAACATCGACAGCCACTAATGATCCTTAATTGTCCCATAAGCAATCTCTCTATGTTTCGACATCTATTGTCCTCATGACTTTCACACGGACGCTTGTATCACGTCTTCAACACTTTGATTTTATGACTATTTTTGGACATGAGGTTAATGGACACTGTATAGCCTATATCATTCTGAGGTTGCCACCTATAACCACTTCCAAACATTCCATCCGAAGAAATTGGTCCATATGTTCCATATTACACTTCCATATTTTTTTGTTCAAATATCTATATACTGCAGCCCAGTTTTCAATTTTTTCCTGGATTAAGAACACTAGTGATCTCATTTAGATAGATCCATCGCAGTCCTATTTCTGATGTGGAAGGTCCTGAGACTAATGCAATAAACCCTATGTTACTGGTGCAGTAGATAATAGTATTCCACCACAGAAAACTACAACAAACTTGCTAAAACAAGCATCCACGATCTCGTATAAAGATATCATTTACAGCTTACATCTTTTCTGAGAAGACTTCTGCTCAAAAACAGTTTCTCTTCAGAAGCTTCAGCAGTAGCAGTTGGCTCAATGACAATATCATGGTTTTGACCAACCTACAAACAGAAGCGTGGAAGCACGATTAAAAAACATTGCATACACTGGATGACATTGTAAGGTGTTATTTACCTGCCTTCCTGGTACCTCTCACGAACATATTTAAGTTTTATATTAGCTAAACCTCTTTTGTTCTATATACAACAAACAGAACTTGCCAACTTGGTGATCTCAAGAATCCAAATGAAATTGCAGAAACGAAGAAGCTAACTCACCATGTACAAGGAAGCATCATCTTTCCCCTCTTCAAATAAAGAAGAGTAATATGCAGGATCGTAAATAGAACCTCCTAAGACATCATTAGAAACAGAAGGTTGCCTGACAATGGAAGAAGGTGTTGCTGGATTGAGGAAACTGCTTCTCAAATCGACAACAGCGTCTGCTTCATGAGGAACGGAAACTGAAGTTTCCAAATAGGAAACTCCAAGTCTATACATTTGGATCCATAACAATGAAGAAAACAACCTTACAGAAAACCCAACAATCTGCATGCACAGAGTAAGTTTCACCGAGAAAACAACAAATGTCCCGTATGTATCCTGTGAAATGGTCCTGCAAAAAAGCAGCAACAGCAGTCTGGCTATAATATACATTCATTTGCTTGATCTAAATAACAAACGAGGAAACAAGTGTTTTTCTTTTACATAATGAAAACCTTCAGCATGATTTAAGTAATAAATGAGGAACATAAATCCTACATAGACAGAATCCCATTTAGCTCCTATTATGCTCCCAAGAACGGAAAACACCTTTTACAAAAGAATACTGTACACATCCACGGCAAAAATTGCATCCATTTTTTTCATGCAGCAATTCTATCAAAATAAGGATAAGTTCCGACACCACTTTGTGAGTGCTCTTGCAAAATAATCACAACTTTATACCTAGAATAACTTCTCATCTAACCCCCTCCCAAAAATAAAAAAATAAAAATCCCTATCTGTTACAGCTGCTGGAAGTAATCATTTTGCAGCAGTGAATCTTCGACTATCAACACATATGCTTACCTATAAATATAATACTCCTTCCAATCCATTATAAGAGCCTTTCCAACATATATATTAAGTGGCTTATTATAACCACACCTAAGAATGGACATAAGAGTCTTGTTTTGGGACAAAAACAGAGTTCGAAACTCAAACACATGGGAATGGCAGAAAATATGTTTTACATTTTAATGTAACTTCATTTTCTTTCAAACTTCAAAGACAAAATTGAAACGAAATAAAGTGGGGAGGCAAACCAGATGTCGTGGGCGAAGAGAATGAACCAACAAATGTCGAGCAAAATGGAGCAGAAGAGAAGAACAGCGTAAGTTCTTCCAAGGCTCTGGCTGCTACTCTCAATGGCCACCAAAGCAAACAACCCAATCGCCAAATCTATGAGCAACACTCCGCTATACAGTGCCCCCAGTGATCCTATGAGCGCGCAACCGATCTGAAATCAAACAAACAGTCATGCCCATATCACAATCCAATTATAAAATCTAAACAAACAGAGGAATAATAGTAATTGTAATTATGACCAAAAAAATCAGAGGGAAATGTACTTGGATATAGATGAGAACAACAGCGGATGACTGAATCCTGTCATAATCACGAAGCCATGTCTCTATCTGGGTTCTCAAATTTGAACATGAACAACAGCAACTAAGCATCCCACCAACCTAAGGTCCCTAACCTAACTAAATCTAATAGCTTTTTCGGTTTTATTTTCCCCCGCGGCTAACCCAGAAACAAGTTGTATAGAATTCCTCCGGAGCTCAGAGGAGAAGGAAAACAAGTGTTTTTGAAGGGGGGGAATTCTCTGATATTTCTCCTACATTGAACACCAAAAATCAATCCCGCTTTGTGTTTTTCCCGCCAGCGATTCGGTACTGACAGTTTTTCAGGTAAAGATGGGGGGATTCGGGATCATAATCTGAAACGTCTTCTCTCTTAATTTTTTTTTTTTCTTTTTCTTTTGGATTCTGATCGCATAAGAGGAAATTTGAATGCAAAAAGAATTGGATTGAAGAAGAACGAAAGGGGGATTTTAAGGAGCGTTGTTGATTCTATTCGCAACCTCCTGATTCCCTCTTCTATGCGAAATCGTGAATCATAAAAAGTTTTATTTACATTAAAACGCTCCCTTTTCACTTTTTTTCCACTTTTGATTTGCAAATTGCTGTCTGCTTATTTATCATTCCCCGACGATTAATTTCAAGTCAGCCCTCCGATGTATTATGTTTTGCCGTGTCCCCCTTCATTTTTCGTACCTATACACATTTATACTTGCTTTTCGAATATTAGATCTCCTATTTGTAGTTTACAATAAAAACTTAAAATTTAAATATTACTAATTTATTAAAACTCTTAATCTATTAAGTTATCATTAAAAAATAGATTGTGAAGGATAAGAAAAGGTTAAATGAAATTAACACATGTGCAAAGGATGAGTGAGGTGGAAGAATAATGTATGTATTGAACTTGATCACATTTACATTTTTTTCTTCATAATTATTTACTTTCATGTTTATGTTTTTTAATTTTCATATTATTAATTAACATTATTGTTATTCTGTAAATAAAATAACTATTAAATTATTTTTTATTATTCAACATATTAGTTTTTGTTTCAAAATTTGTAATACAAATAATGTCAACGAGAAATAATAATCATATATAAATTCGACATATAAAATTAATGAGAAATAATTCTTACATGTAAATTAATAAAATAAAATTTTTTATTATTCAATATATCTAAAGCATTTTTACCATGTAAATTTGGCAAATTATTAATTGTATATAATAATTACATTAATATATAAATTCATAATAATATTATTATCTTTATTATGATGATTTTGTACATACACTTATTTTTTGTTGATGAAATGATGAATCGAGACCCTCTTGCTTGACTTCACACTTCAGTATTCATACATCAAACTTTTGACATTTTTTTTTTCAAATTTTAGATTTTCATTTTATCAAATCAGATAACTTAATCAGTTTAGTGTTTATAATTCTAATTTCACACCTCTAAAGTACATTTTATCAAACATAACAAAATCTTTCACAAATTCATAAACAAATGGGTTAATCCAAACAAACCCACGTGTGGTATTCAAAAACAACATGAAAACCCTCTTACTGTAAACAAATATATTTAGGTGACCCCTTTGTACTTTTCTGAAATTGGTAAAATGGAATAAAAGTGTTAACTTTTACAATAATTTTGAATCACGTATTGTATGACAGGGTTAAGTGAAATACACTTTTACTAAACTATTTTTTTTTCCAAACTATACCATTCAATCTATTTTTTCTTTTCTTGATTTCGTTAAGTTGGCTATTAAATATTGTTCTCCTAGCCCTATATTCTAGGTATTGCACCCTTTGAATCGTTTTGCCATTCTCATAATTTCAAAGACAAAATTTACCTTTGGTCCCCAAAGTTTGGGGGCTAGTGAGACCCGGTCATAAAAAGTTTTCCCTTAACAAAATTAGTCTCATAAAATATTTTTTCACCAATTTTAGTCAACTTAATGTAATTTTTGATCAACTAATAGTCAACTCTTTTTTTTCTGTCAAATCTTTAATTTTTTAATAATTTTTACTGGATTGGAGCCCACTTGTTTGACCCAGGAAAAAAATTCTTTTTATTTTTCATTTATTTTTATTAAAATTTACTTTTTATTACTATAATAAAGAAAATTTTGACCGTGGGACCCACAAACATTTGACCCAACAATTTTTATTCTTTTTTTTTCTTTTAGTTTTAGTCATTTTTTTTTTGTTTTTTAAAGAAAAAAATTTGTTTTATTCCCAGATAAACGGGATTGTGTTTGGTTACTTTGCTCTAATTTAAATTCTCAAAATTTTATTTTTTCAACAAAAAGAAAGAGTTATAAATCACTGACATCATCTTCTTCATCATCCAAGTTAATCAACACTTTCCCCAGTAGCGACTAGCTACTCGCTCCAATTCCGGCATTCAAAGGAGAAACAAAAAATAATAAAAAATAAAAAATTATTTATTTTTTCATTTTTAAATAATAATAATAATAATAATAATAATAATAATAATAATAATAAATAAAACAAACAAAAAAGAAAAAAGAAACTTTTTCTGCTGGGTCAAACAAAGTGGGTCCCACTTCAATAGAAAATTAATAAAAAATTAAAGACTTAAGAAGGAAAATGGTTAACCGTTAGTTAACCAAAAATTGCATTTTAAATTGACTAAAATTGTGAAAAAATATTTTAGGGGAGTAATTTTGTTGAGTAAAAATTATTAGTGACCGGTCTCGCTGCTCCCTAACTTTGGGGACCAAAAGTTAGTTTTGTACTTTTGATAGTATTAACCCAGAAAGAATTTTTTTTTTTTTCCTGAATAATTAAAAAACTTTATAGGCCAATTAAAAAGAAAGGTACTCCGTTGAGTCATTTAGTAACACGACGGTGGTAAATCAACGAAAAATGAAAGTTTAAGGGGACAGCAAAGTTGCAAAACAAATGCCTACTTTGAAGTGGAGAAACTGGTGATTTGGAAATACTGAAATTTGCAAAGGATTAGAGGTTTGAACGGATTAGGGACGAATATCACAAGACGAATTTGATTTGGGATTTAGGGGTTTGAACGGACAAGGGACGACCATGGGTGAAGTACCGGAGACATTGACAGCACCGCCGCCGCCGCCGGCGGAGGGGGAAAAAGGATCATGGCACTCTTACATCTCGACCGATCTCCCTCGCACGGTTCAGCAGTCTACTGAGTCCGCTATCCGCTCCGCCCGTTCCTTCCAGCATTCCTCTTCTACTCAACTCCGTGCTTTTCAGGTTCGTTTATTTTTATACTTTTTTTTTTTTTGTTTCTGTTTTCCCCTTCGCCAATATTATCTGATTTGTGTCCCCGCACATAGGTTCCATATCTTTGTCCGTTCAGCGTGTTATTACGATTCATGTAACGTCAACCGGAATTTGTTTTAAGCAATATTAACTACTGACAGTTCACGAAGGGAGGAGTTTGATTAGAGACATAGCACATATACTATTTGCCAGTGTATTTCCCAGTGTTATATTGGATCAATTCACCTAGTTCTTGAGAAATTATTCACGGCAAGGCCAACTAAATTTTAGATGAAAAAAAACCCACATTTTTCTTCTCCTCAAAAGTTAGCATCTACCCCTTCTTCCCAATATGTGTGTCTAGCTGCACCATCCAACATTGCAGTTGCATTGGATGTCCCGGGTAATTTCTCCTAAGTTCCAGGACCTGAACGGGCTGCTATTTTGCCTTTAGTATTCAATTTTGATTGTAATAGGAATGTAAAGGTTATGTTGTGATTATTAGATGGTGAGTTGAAGAGGTGAAAGAAGTTTTTGTTATTTTCTTGAATATGTACTTGTGTCTTGTATGCAAACATAGGGAATGAGATGCTGACCATCCAGGGATATGATGTTTTTAAGTTACAGGTCTTGGGTTCAAGCCTTTCCACTTACCAAAACAAAAATAAAAATGAACAAATAAAATTGTTACCACTAGGTCTCCTTAATTTTAGATGCGAGCATTCCCAAATGATATAAGGGATTTGGTTCAATGATCTTACGATTAGACATGTCACAGCTTATACGTTCACTAGAATAAGGACTATAACTAGATTTACTACTTTGTTTATGAATTTCTAGAGCTCTAACCTTGCTTTCTAGTCCATGTAGTTGATGTTAACGAAAGGGCAAAAGAAAAAAGAAAGCATTTTGGAGTCCACAAAATATGAAATCATATTCATTTATTGGCAACTGACAAATAATCCATCTTTTGGGATCTGTAAACAATTTCTGTTGATTTACTAGTTCTCCTTTTTCAAACTTGTTATAGAAGATTGTTCTTATTCTGTTTATGCTCCAACTCGTAAATGTGCTTGTTGCACATGCTAATATGTAGTCTCATTTCGGATACCATGTGGAGACTTGGGTTAGTTGTCATGGTCATTGAACATTTACATTCAACTACCTTTGTTACTTGCAGGATTTCATGCCAGAATTGAGGAACCAGTACAGAACATACGAGGATGCATTCTTCCTGAAAGTTAAAGGTGTGAGTCATCATGTTAATACATCTATGACTATCATAGTGAAATTTGGGAATTGTTTCCAGAAAATGTATTTCCCACGCACTGTTGTCCCACTTTACCTTATTACCAGCTTACTTCTGTGTTTGGAACATTCTTTTAGTGCGTGTCTTTCTGTTGGGGATAAAAAGGTGTATTGTGAATGTACTAAAGTATCTTGGGATGAAGAATATATATTTATTAGAAATTCTGAAAAACTTGAAAAAAACTTAATAGAAAGTGTAACCAAATGAAGTGGTGTCATTGTCTTTACCTATTTTTACACATGCATGTTTTGCCGTGCAAATGTTTCAGAGTTTATCATTTTATCCATGCTCGTACTTTACATAATATTTTTATGCAGCTTGCTACTTGGTAATGATTCTTTATGGATTTTGGTATCCTTGTCAAGGCCCATTAATCCCTCAATTGAGCTCAATGACCTCTCAGCGCATTTTAGAATTCTAATCCTTATTCTCCTTCTAATGACTCTGTTTTCCTTAAACTGATCTCTCCTGTTCTTTATATGGTAGATGAGCTGAAAATTGCAAAGAAACATCCTGCTCTAGTCGGTGGAACCGCTGCTGTAGTTGGCCTACTGCTACTCAGAGGTAAAAGAAATGGATATTCATGTCTTCCAACACTGCTTTGTATGGATGCTTGCTTTAAATTTGTCTTGCATCCTGTCTGCCTAATGTTTGTGACTCTTTGGTTTTGCAATGCAAACATTCTGGAGGAAGAAAGCGATAGGTGCCTTTCCTGTTCAGCCAGTTCTCACCCATTTATAGGTTTTCTATTTTTCTTGTCTGTTGGTCAGCTTTCAGGATAAAGCTTTGTGCCCTTGCAGTCAAGGGATGGGATGACATATAGAAGTGATTCGGACTCTGATTGTGCTCCTGCTGAAGGGCATTTTGGTCTAGTTGGGCTGTAGTACCCTCAGGTGTTGGGAGGAGAAAATGTTTCTTTTTATATGGAAACACTTGTGAGGAACTGATAAATACCTGTCCTTAGAGATAGAATGCTTCAGAATAGGGAATCTATCTGCAATTCTACCAGAAGGTCTCTGAGCAGTGCAAAACATATAAGGAACTGCTTATCCTATATTTTTAATGGTTGAATGGGGACCATGGTGATGATGTTATTTGGTTTTGTTTTCTAAAACTTGTTGATATTGAGGTTCCTATCTCCTGGTTTCTGCAGGACCAAGGAGGTTTTTGTTGCGCAATACTCTGGGCAGATTTCAATCTGAGGAGGTAATTTTCTGTACCAAACGAGTATAGATTTCTTCATTATTCCCTTTGGATTCATTCTTTCATGCACCATGGGAATAATTACTTCCTGCAACCATAGTATTCTATTCAATTTTTGACAATAATGTGATGAGTGGGTTGATGGTATTTGGCAGGCACGATTTCAAAGAGCTGAGGAGAGTGTAAACGAGATAAGGCTTTCTGTTGACTTGATGAAGAAGGAGAGTATGAAGCTGATTGAAAGGGCAGGTCTAGCTCAAAGTGAAATGAAAAAGGGCCAAAATGAGCTCAAGTAAAAGATTTAATATTTTTCTTTGTAAAGTACCTTTATTTCTGTTGGTTTCCTGCTTTCATGATCGTTGTTATTGTAGGAATGCTGGTGGTCAGATTCATAATCTTGCTAAATCTGTTCGCAAGGCAGAAACTGAAGCTGGTGGTATGTGCAACGGACTACTTTTCTTTGTTTTCCATAGCCAGTTGTTGAATTCTTTTCTCATACTTCCATTATTTTTATTTTTGGGATTCTCTTTGTACACAGTTTCATTTATTTCTGATGAAAATGCAACGAACATTGATGTCTAATAATCAACTATCTGAACACTTGTCTTTTTTTGCTTATGCAATTATAGATTTGATGGACATGCTGCGAGAAATTCCTGGAAGGGAAGCTCTGTCACTTCGTGCAGAAGTAAGTTATGCTGCATCCTTTGTTTTGGGTTCTCGACATTTATCTGCAATATGGTGATCTTGACCCATGAGTTATTACTGGAGATAAAGTGCTAATTGAATCTGTATTCTTCATCAGGTTGCTTCAGTGGCATCACATCTACAAGAGCGGAGGGTTTTAATGGACAAGAAGATTACAAAGATTTCTGAATTAGGTGTGTCTGTTTGAATATTGTGCCATCCTCCTCACCAAAACCCTCCAAATACTGATTCACCACCGGTAATGATTGGTGGAAAATTTTCCTCAGATTTGCAATGCTTTAGATGATCTGCAATTGGTTTTTTAAATTAAAGAAAGATAAACCAGCAGCTATTCTGCTTGAGAATGAGATCATGCTCAGCCCTTTTGCTAGTTTTGGGTGAGACATGAGAAGTTTGTTCGTTAGATGAAATTGCAATGTGTAGCTTCTGATTGAATTTGCAGTGTATGATGTGCAAAGCTATCGAATTTTAATGTTACTACGTAAAAATGTCTTGTGCCCCCGAAAGTATTATTTTATAATGTGCTCTGAAATCCTGAGAAGCTGGGAGAGTCTGGGAGTGAGGGAAGAAATGAAGGATTAGTTTTTGATTCAGGACCTAAGGTTCAGAAATTGTAATTAGGTGTAACTAGTATTATGCCCGCAGAGTCATTATTCTTAAAAAAAAATTCTTCAAAATAACTTGACAATATGATAAATAAATCACAAGATTATTTTGGCAGAACCAATTTTAGATAAATTTAAGAGTATAGATATAAGTTATTATAAGATGTGGATATGTGCTTTGAAAATTCAGTCAAAAGTCACATTTGAAACGATTTTTAAAGGATAAAATTATATTCCCAACATGTTGAAATTGGTCACGCGGTAGAAGCAACAGTTTTGTCTTCCTGCTAATAATAAAAAAAGAGAGCATACGGGTAAGAAAATTGAGAGAATTACGGTATACAAATGAAACAGATGAAAATTATTTGCGATTATTAAATTATCGTTAAAACAACAAAATTGTTAATCGGACTATATGCAAATACCTTATCATCCATTAGTAGCATCTCGCGCTGTCCGACCATCTCCTGATTGTAAAAATCCGGCCTATCCCATGCACGACACAATTTGACGTTGATCATCCAACCACATCCAGATTTGCCATTCAATTGGTTAACTGAGTTGAGCCTTCTGGACAGTTGCGTTTAGGATCGAATATATGATTATATGGGTGGCTACGGGACGATAAGTTTACAGTTTGGTTGCAAGTGTAAGATGGACGTAGATAATGAGTTTACATGCAGGCGACCAATGTATGATGGTGAAAAAGGAAAATATGGAAGCTCACTTTCTGTCCATCGATTCTAGTTAGTGACACGATAGGAGCGTGACATTCTTTAATACTAATAATGCAAAATATTTATCTAGTTTAGATTTTTATTTTCAGTACAATTCATAATTTTAAAAAAATTCTAAACTGACTAATGAACATTAACTTTAGAATGAAGGGATTATTACATAACTCATCGAAATGGCAGAAAAAACAAAATGAATTTTCAAAACTTCCTTTCCTTTCCAACAATGGTTACGTGGTAATTCAATTACACACTTATAAAATGTATTTCAAAAAAATGAGAGAGAGAGAGAGAGAGAGAGAGTACATTTTTTAAAATAAAGAAGGTGTTTCAAATGTTCAAGTTTATTTGTGGTTGTTTGTGTTTGTAGAGCAAGAGGTTGGTACATTAGGTGCTTGATTAATGTTAACTAATTATTAAAGAAGTTTAATTAAAACAAAGAAGAAAAACATTGTACAGATGAAAGAATAAAAGAGAGAAGGATAGAGATGATGAGGCAAATACAAAAAAGAAATAAAAAGTAAAAAAAATTTATTTGAGGCCAGTGTTGATACATGGACTTTATTTGCCAAGCTCTTCTGTTCCATCCCCTCAACTAAATAATGTTTTTACTCCCGGTATTGTATGTCTTCTTGACACTATCTCTGTTTTTCCGTGCGTGAAATTGTTAAATTGGGAATGGATGGACGGGACGGGGTTGTGTTAATTTAATTAGCAATGTAAGGAGGAGGCAAAGGCAACTTCTCGACAAGGCCACCGCACAATGGGTGGTTGTCAGGAAGATTGTACTCATCTCTCAAGGATCGTTCAGGGGATAGAACGCTGAAGTAGAGCTGTTGTCCTAGGTAGGCTCTCTCCCTCATTTCTGATCTCAAGTTCCACATCCCGGCGTTGTCAAGTGTTGTCATCACAGCTGCCCATGACCCAGGGTAGACGTGGATATTGTGCCTGCTCACCGCGTCCAGCAGGTTGTAGTTCTTCCTCTTCTCCGGGCTCCACCTCCCTGGTTCAATGGCCACTGCAAAGAAGGAGTACCCATCTAGATTCCATGTCTGAATGGTCTTCTCCCGGTTCTCGAAGATGATCTCCACGAAGTTGCGGAAGGTTGCATTCACTACGCTTGGGGCCACGGTGACTGCTGCGGATGCGGGCGCCTCGTCCTTCACCAGGTTGTACTGGAATACCTTTTCGGATACACCAAAGTACTCTGCAAGCTTCAATGGGGTTTCCTTGTCTTCGTGGGAGATCCCGTTGATTGCGTACCGCAGCTTTCCCCCGACCTGGCCCGCGGAGTTGACAATCTTGATGGTCCTGGTGATGTTGATCTGGCCATAGTGGTAAGACCCTTGAGGGTTGGGGCGAGCTGCGCTGGCTGTCAGGTTCCATCTGAATGACCTGAATTGGTTCATGGACCAGGCAATTCCCTGAGAGTTCTCCGGTGGTGGTGGTGGTATCGCGGGAGATGCTGAACCTGCCTTCCCGTTGCTGTATCTGATGATTGCCACCGAGGAGAGCACCTTCTTGGTGAACCTGCTGGATACCACTAGGTAGTAATCCTTTGGCTCTTGGTCAGCTGTCACCAACACCGACAGGCATTGTCCGACGTGCAGATCAAGTGAGTCGTAGGTATTTTGGACGGTGTGTGAGCCTTCCAGCTCCACCAGCTTCATGATGTGTCCCTGTACCCTGAAGTTGACTGAGGTCTTCATCCCCGCGTTACACACCCTGTATCTGTAGGTCTTTCCAGTCTCCATGGTGACAAGGGGCTCCACTTTGTCACCCACCTTGGCAGATTTTCCATTGATCTGGATGCCATCAGGCCTTCCGATGGTCCTACCCGAATCCAACAACCTCTTCAACGACTTGTGCCCCTTGTTGTACCAATCACCCAGCACCACGTTGAACTCATCTGCGGGCCTGTCGAATGGCACAGGGATGAGATCACGGCTGTGGACGTTGAGTGTACCGATCCCACCAGCTGCCTTGTGCAACCCTGTGGTTGGGAAGTAGAGATAGGTACCAATCTGGTCCTTGACCTGGAAATGGTAGGTGAAGTTCTTTCCAGGCTGAATGGGGCACATGGTTCCTAAAGTACCATCCTGCCATGAGTTCTTCCTCTGTTGAACACCAGCCCAGGTCAAGAGGAATGGCTCGTCTAGTTGGTTGAAGACATTGACCACAATGTTGTTGTTGGAAGTGCAATTAATCCTAGGCCCTGGGAATTGACCATTGATGAGGATCCCCTGTTGAGGAACACCCAATGGAGCAACGGTGCCATAGGTGACTTTCCATTCAAAGAAAAGGTAAGGATCTTCAGCCTGCACCAGCAGTGCCCCAGCTGTCAGGCAGAGCAACAAAGCCACCAAGGTAACCCTTCCCATGGCCTCTGCACCTCCTTTTTTTTTATATTATAAATATACTCTATAGAGGATCTATTTTTTTTGGTTTTTTTTTTTTTTTTGGTTGTATTTTTAGGAAGAAGAAGAAGAAGAAGGGGGATGTTTCTTCTTCCAGCAAAGAGCTTGGACTGTTTTTCCTCCAATCCCATAACCAATGCCTTTTATAGGAAGAGTTAACCAAGTGCTAAAACAAATCCGTTCCAAAATCTCTTGGTTGAAAGTTCACAATATCCCCCACATTCTCGCCTTTCCATTGCACTTGTTCAACACTTAATTCCTTTATCCTAAAATAACTCACTGCCTCTCTATCTGAATAGAATAGGTCCTTCACGTTCCGTTAACTTTGGCTGCTTCTTTTTCTTTTCTTGTAAAACAAAGAGTATTTTTTACGCCTTCAATATTACTGAATGGAATAGGCCCTTCACTCTCACGAAAATAGAGTTATTATTTGTTTCAATTCATCTAGGAGACTTTTCTTGTGTTGAATTTGATCATTCTTTCTATCACATATGTTTGAGAACGTTGACATTAGAGTAAAATGTCCAAATAGTTCCTTACATATGCACTTACTTAAATTTACGTCCCTAACATTACATTTCAATATCGTAGTCCCTAACATTATGTTTTCACATTTTTTTAATTTGCCGGAATCAGGGGTATTTTTATTTTTTCACTTAATTTGAATTTGTATTAAAATTTAAATCATTAAAAATATTATAAGATTCAAATTTCATTATTTAATTATTAAAATATTTTTTTATTAATTTTTTTGTTACAAAAATATTTTATCAATTTAAAATATTATTACAAAATAATAAAATTTTTACATTATTTTTAAAATTACTTTTTTTATTTACCATTTACCTTGAGTACAAAGTAAATAGTAATTTGTAAGACATAAATTCTTCTCCTTTTTCGCCGGAGAAAGCCGCCGCTCAATTCAACCGGCCGAAATTCCATAAACAATCACTGTACCTACCGTCTACTCCTAGATCAGTGCGTTTCCTACCTGGCATCTTCTCTCATTGACTAATCAGTCATGAAAAACCTTTAACTTTCTAACAAAAAATCAGACTAAAAATGACGGTAGTATATAACAGCCGTCCATCCACAAATAAGAGAAACGTTTAAGCCAAAAAAGAAAAAGATAAAAAAAAAACGATTTGAGATCAGAGCGATGGACATTAAAGTAGAGCAAATCCGAATCCAAATCCTCACCACCGGATAAACAAAACTACTGGAGCAAATCCAAATCCAATGGAAATAAGCTACTTGAGCTTTATGTTGTTGATCTTGCAAAAGATTGATGAAACAACGGAGGAGAGGAACCGATCGGCAATTGCGATTTGGTGATTTATCTCCGGGGAGGAGAATTGGAGGAGTCAGAGTCACCGATGCAGGCGGCCGTATTTGATAGGAAACTGGTCAATCTAGTGTAGGTAGGTTTTACGGGTACTTCAGTCATTTCAATTAAATTGAATTTTGACTTTATGAAATTAGACTATTTTTTGGGACAAGATTTTTTATAAAACTGTATTATTTTTGTAAAACGGAAGGAATAATATTTTTGTAACAAAAAAATTAATAAATAATATTTTAATAATTAAATAATAAAATTTGAATTTTATAATATTTTTAATGATTTAATTTTAATAGAAATTCAAATTAAATGAAAAGACGAAAAGATCCCTGATTCCGGCAAGTCAATAACAGGTCAACATTGAGCTTGACGGAAAAGTGGTCGAAACAGTAAAATGAGACAAAAAAAGTGCGAAAACATAATGTTTAAGACTACGGTATTGAAATGTTAATGTTGGGGACGTAAATTCAAGCCCAAATATAAAGGATCATTTGGACATTTTACTCACATTATTATTACTTCCTCTAATTCAAAATACTAAATACTCCTCCCATTCCAAAATAAGTGTCGTTTTAGCAAAATAGAAAAATTTCAAAATAAATATCGTTCTCACATTTCAATGCACTTTTTGTCAAAAGTTTTCAAAATTACCCTCAAAAGAGTTAATGCTATTGGTGGACAATTTCATAATGGGATTGGTTGAGGATATTCAAGTAATTTTATTACCCTATCTAAGAGTTTTTTAAATTATGTGCAAAGTGTAAAACGACACTTATTTTGAAATGGAGAGAGTATGTCTTTCTAACTATTTCATCGGCATTATAAAACATAAATAATGTGTTTATAACATACGAAATACTCTTATTTATTATTATTCATAGAGTTTATTATTATTCTTCCCTTATGCAATGAAAAACGAGTGATCATGCACTTTGATCCATAATTTTCTTCCTTTTCTTTTATTTATTTATTTATTTTTCCTTTGGACAGACGGTTAACCTGATCGATTGATGACTTTAGATATGAATTGAATAACTTTTAATGTGCATGAGCATCAAAAACATTACCCTAGGACCATCATCAGACAAGGCCCTTGCGGATGTTTCTCTTCTTATCCAAGGCAAAACAGACCCCGCCACATAGGCCAACGCACTTCTTTACATTTCTTTTATTTTTTTAGCGTGTGTTTTGATGTGTTTTTTGTATTGAAAATATAAAAAAATGTATTGAAAATATTAAAAAAAAAATATTCAGATGGGACAATTATTATTATTTAATTCTGAAAAAACCAACTAAAAAAGAAAATAATCCACATTCACGCATTCAGACAGTTTTTCAAGTAGCTCATCACGCATTTATACCACATAGTTGTTTTTCTTATGCAGTCCAATTCCGTAGTGTCAACAAGAACCTAGAAGTTTAAAATCTGAGAAGAAAATAATCCAGCATCTGGATGACTCCAACCCCATATTTAACGTTGCTTCTGCATTGAGGACCATAGACACCAATGCCCGTACATTTTAGCTGCAATTTGATGTTTTGAACAGTTCATTTTCCTTACCTAGTCCAAGGTTCAGAATAGCACATGTTCCCACACCAACACAGAAGCCAAAAAGCCCTCACTAGGATAACTGAGTTACATTTATAAAACAAAAAATAACAATTTTCAGTTTCTTGCATTCTTATTCACCATACAAAATCAAACTTAGTACTATCAGACTGAGATCAGTATGCAAAACAGATACTTGAATTATTTAGAATAAATTGACATAAAACAAATATTAAAGAGCAACAGATGGAGATTGGAACATCTAGCTTATCAAAACACAACTTGTCACACAGAATCCCTCTTAAGTTATTGGGATTCGCACACCGGCTTCATTATCGCACTTATCTTTGAGGAGGGTCTACTATCCGTACATTTGCCCCTGTCATGCCTTCAATCCGATCCTTTGTAATTTCCACGAAATGACCAATCATTTCGTGAAATTGTTTCAAGCCTGACAATGGCAGAATGATTGAGGATCGATCAGAACCTGCCACCTGCAATCAAAAGGCTAATTATTAGCAATCAATAAATGACACCCTTATCATATCAGGGGTCACCAAAGGAAATTTTAGAAACAAAAACCTCGGATATTCTTAAGAAATGGCCCCTGTTGTTGTTGCCAAGATCAAAAAAGAATCTCTTTTGATCAACCCTTATAACTTTTGATACGCCTAAATTGCTAATCTCATCCGATGGCGGCAAATCTAAAGCCCGGTCGGCATTCAAATCAGACGTTGTAGCAGGTTGAGAACTGTGGCCAGATATAAAGCCAGCTCCGACATCATCTGAAAGCCCAACCAGATGTTCTGAGGCTTCGCTGTTCTGCTAGTGAAACGTGTGCAAAATAAGTTTCCGAGTTGCTTCTAATGTACAAACAGCCAATGAAAGATAAATATAATGCATCAAGCAACCTGATTAGGCAGAATGAAGAGCCTTGATGCTTCATTGATCTCGGCTAAAATGTTCCTAAAAGCTGCCCAGCCTTCATCTCTCACACTTCCTGCAGGAACAATTATAGTGCTGCGGTTTCGGCTAACAGAGGCTTCAGAAACCTGCAGATAAATGCCCATTAAGGCAATAAAGTCGGTGCTATCTAGAAATATCAATTTAAGGAGTTAAAATTTGTTTGCACCAAGGGAAACTAGTCCTCATATAGGATTCACGGCACTAAATTTTTATACGACTTTAAACAACAAATTTCAAATGGAATAGAAATCACTGAAGTTAAAGATCACATTAAATAGAACAAAAAACGAGCAAAAACACAAATCAACCATCCATGACCTTTGGTACAACAAGACATAGCTCAATAACAGCATCTGGGAGATACAATAACCTTTTATATGGCTTCCTTTCACAATTTTGGTTTGCCGGAGACCTGAGTGTATCAGGTCTTTTGAAGATATGACAGAGAAGTCATAAACTTGGGAACCTACCTTTGTTACATTATCAATTTTCACTGTGGATGAACATGAATCGGCCTTCTGTATACAAGTTTAAACTGCCTATGCAACCGATTAGAAACTATCACTCAAACACTAAGGTCCCCACGAAGTTCCATTAGGAACCACATTTTTTACACCTTTTTGGGTAGTTGTTTTGTTCTGTTACATCTTTTTGCATTTCTAATTCATTTCTATACATTCCCAATATAACTCTTTAAATTTCGAATGCAAGTTAAAACAAAAAGAAAAAAAAGACAGTTCATATAGAACCTAAAATGCGCTGGATATGAATAATCGATAAAAATTCAGCTCAAGTTCTAACAACATGAAAATTCAACTAGGCAGTTGAGACTTGAGAGAGTTCATAAGTCGATAAGAAACTAGTGAAGGGTGATTGCAAAGTTATCGTGTTCCGCGTTAGTTTAAGGTCAATTTTAAGGCAGCTTTTTTTTACATCTTTAGAGCATTACCAAAATAGAGAACATAAAACCAGAGTACAGTCCATAAAGATAGATTCTAACCTGCAATTTCAGATGTAGATGACAAATGAAGCAAAATAAAGAATGGCTGAGAAACCATAGGGGGAAAACATCTCAGAGCTAAGAGCATGGGATCACGTGTTATGGCGCAATACAATACATAATGTGTATAGTCTCTCAAACAGCAAAATGCGGGGAAAAAGAAAATGATTTGTGATTGGGCTTAACAATACTATCCAAGGGAGAAACACTTATGTTTAATAGGAAAATAAAAAACTTGCGCTTATTACTAGCCAACAGAAAAGGTACAGTAATGTACCCTATAAGGTCAACTCCCCAAGTATCACATACAGAGAGAAAGAGAGAGATGAAAGTCGCATACAGGGAGAAAGGGGTAAGAAAGTAACCTTGAGAAAGCGTCCCCGCCTGTTTTCGCCTATGTCAAAGTAGAACACCTAACAGATATTAACATCACCCAGGGTCAATCAATCATTCAATCAGATATTTTGAAGAAATAATTGAAGGGATTTGTAGTAGTATCGATTAGAAGGAAGGACCTTGGAGTCGAGCTGGAGCTCTTTGCTAAAGACTTCCTGCTTATCTGAATTGACGTAGTAATTAAAGAGATCGAGGAACCAGGAGATGCCGTCGAAGGGTACAATGATGGTGGACCTGGTTGCTGACGTCTTCTCCGATATCTTCAGGTACCTTCCCCTAGGATTCTCCTTCAGATCAAAGTAGAACAGCTTGTGTTCCACTTGTAAAGTCTTGCATAGTAGCTCTACGTCGTTACCGCCGCCGCCGCCGCTGCTTCCTCCACCTCCTCCACCCCCAGAATTACCCTCCATCAACCCAAAACCGCCTTCCCTCCCAACCCGCTCTATACACTCCAAGGGTTTATCTCAATTATGATGATATATGCTTCTCTCTCAGTACATACACAATATCTATTTTCTTTCTTTCCAACAGTCAAAAGCCCCTATGGATTTATCCTTATTTTTTTCCTGTATTATTCTAATAAAAGAGCGAGTTCTAATTACATTCCTAATGATAAATTAATATTTTGATTAATTGGTTGAGAAACTTTCGTTGACATCAGCGATTTTAATGAAGGTTACAAGCGTCATTATTTAAATATATTAATTTATAACATTTTTTCTCCGAAAAAATACAAAAACCGCCAAATCAAATTAAAAACTTGAAAATCAAAACGACGTATTTTGAACTTTAAAACGACGTCCTTTTGATGCCATTACATTCCTATTCTAGTTAAGAAAAGGGGAAGACCGGAAACGCCAATTTAGCCGCCCCTCCACCCACCGCCTTCTGTTCCCCACCCTTTCGTCTCCAGACCCAAATTTTCCCCTCTTCGAAAAATTCCCGATTTAGGGTTCTATGGGCTATGTTTTCGAGTGTTTTCCCCTTCTGCCGAAGTTTACGGTTGGTTGTATCTATTCCTTTCTCCCAAACCGATCCCTTTCCTCAAATCGATTACAAAACCGGTTACGGTTGGTTGTACAGTTGATATGTATTTACATATCAACGAATCATGTTTGATATGGTCTGTTTTGTCCGTGTATCCGTTTGTTTTCATTAATTAAATTGAAATTTCCAAAAAAAAAAAAATCGAGATTTCCCAATTGCCTATATATATGAATCGTATCTCCCAAACCTTCAAGGTGTCAAATTGTAGATTTTTCAAGGTGTTGGTTAGACCGAAGTTTTCCTTGCCCGTCGATTTCTTCAAGGTGTGGTACCTGCTTCTCCGCGATATGCAGGTAACAATTTCATATCGTTCTTTTTGGTCCTCTTATTCAAGTGGTTGCTGGTTTTTTTCCCCTTAAAAAATTCCATGTCGAATTGAGTTGTTTTTGAATTTTCCAATACTATGAATGGTTGTTGGTTAGTGGTTGCTGGTTTTCTGAGATCCCGTGGAATTTTTGTTTGTTTGTTTGTTGTTGTTGTTGGCTTAGCATCGGTTGATATCATATTGAGTTAGGGAAGTCGTACAACTTTTGTTTTAACATTCATTGTACCTAGCTCGTGTGTTTACTTATTGATCCATAACCTTAACCATCAACCCTGCAGTTGATTGCTTAATTATCCCGAATAAAGAGTTGCATATAGAATACCATAGTGAGCTCATTATATGGTTTGTGTACTAATGCCGGTCGACACCTGAATTGTTTTTCCAGTTGACAATTTTTCCGGTGGTGGTGCGAAGGAATTGTCTGTGCATAAAGGGGAGGCAGCAGCGGATAAGGAGGACGAAGAGGAAGAGGAGGAGCTTCTGGATTCGTGGGCTCTTGGTACACTGATCCTAGCTGTTACTCTCTTGAACTGGAACGAGTCTTCTACAGAGGATTGCAGGCGGTTGGTAAGTACTCAATTGCAAACCTAACATCTATTCGGTTTTAGTGAAAAAAAATTAGAAGATATGGCTGCTTGATTTTTAGGAAGTCTCTAACATTTTTTTGTAGCTGTTCTGGTTGTTTACATAAATTTGCCATATATTTGCAGGATACATAGAACAAATCAAACAACCCCATCAATATTTTACTGGAAGATAATACTTGTGTTAGCTCCTTGATGACACTATCTTTATGCCCTCTTTCTGGAAAAGCTTGAAAAGGAAAGATAGATTTATATAATTTCTTATCAAAAAGATTGAACATGTTTTCTTTAAGGCCGCAGTTATGATTGTTGTTGGCAGGTTAGGAAATATTGAATATGAGGTCTGCCGGGATGATAGTGGGAACATACATGCATTTCATAATGTTTGTCACCATCACGCTTATCTGCTGCTTCTGGGAATGGGGAAAAATCTTATTTAGCTTGCCGCTATCATTTGAGTACTCAGATTCAGGATCATAAACTTTTCAGTTGAAATTAGTGAAGGATATCCAAGTTGAAAAGCGAGTCACTTGCATTGCTTTCCATCATGTTACATGAGCATTTTACTGATTTCAAACAAAGCCAACTTGGATAAATATATTCCTGAAGATTCAAAAATAGTCGCAATGCTATAGAACTTTCTGTGTGTTGTTTGTAGAAATTATACTGTCGATGTCTGAATCTTGTCAAACTTCTTGCATATGTTTATCTCCTGTGGCTTAAATCTCAAATATAAGATTGGCATTTTTTCAGGAAAAGTTTTAAAAAGATTAACAGATACGTTGCACCATATTGGACCTTTTTTTTTTTTTCAAGTGGATTAATAGTGGTTCTGACGTAGGACAAAACGTGGTGGTTAAGAAAATCAAAACTTAGGCTGATTAAAGAGTATTATGCAACGGAAAACTAAAAGAATCTGTAGGAAACAAGGGTAGAAATCGCAGGAACACAGAGATAAGCTGTAGGAAAAGAGAAGAAAACCTAAGAATCACTCTTAGGGTCCTTTGGTGTCACACCGCAGGAATCCTAGGCATCACACGAAGGGCTTAGTTGAGTCACACAACTGATGCTGAAAGCAAAAGTTCGCAGGAAGTTTTATTAATCTGATAACTGTCCAAAACCCTCAAACGAGGTACATATATATAGGCCTAAAATTTTAACCTAAATCAAAGACAACTAGGAATCTCACCTAATTTCCTTTTTATTCCAAGAAAATCCTGCAGCATAACTAATGTACTAAAATACCCTTTCCTAAATATTAATACTGAGATAAACTAATTAAATTACTGCTTAATAAAGGATTAACTGAACCAAAATCCTAACACTTTGGCTCCTTCCTTGGATCATGATAATCCTGGGCATAAATATGGAAGAACCCACTGATAGGGTTCTTCTACCATTCCTTGTCCCCATCATTCTCCCCTGGTTCGAAAAAACTCGTCCTCGAGTTCTAAAATGTCTGAGAATGAAGAACCTGACAATCTGAAACATAAGCCATTGCACTGCAGCATATTGAGCATGAGAAAACTTTCTTCGCCCAAATGTAGGTATAAGAGTAGACATTTGGAATGTACTTGCTGGCTTGTGGTCATAAACCTCTCCAAAAATGAAATCAACTTTCGGAATTCCAGGATCATAAATTTTTGAATGGCATGTCTTTAAAACTTGATTCAACTTCACAAAATTTTCATTCGGATTTGTAGCAAGGTTTCCATGAATCAATTCAGTTGACTTCTCACATGTACCAGAACCTCCCTCCAGTTTAGGATGCAAAATATTTGTCACTAGGGCTCCTCCTTAAGCTACTTCCTCTTGAATCTCACCAAGATTGCAAAGTTGTACTTCTTTTGGCTTATTACCAAACGTATTAAGTTGATAAATCCCAGGCTTATCAGCGCTCTCAGTAAGCTTACTTTGCTGAACTTCTTGAACTATTTCTTTCACCAATACATTCGTGGCTTCTCCTTTATGATCCTCTTTAAAATCGTGAACAGCCGTAGATTTATTTTTAGTCTCCTTAATAAACTCCTGAACCACATAGATTATAGGATTGTTGTCTTGTTGAACCACATGATCAGTAAGTTCATTATCGGACTTTTCTAAAGATGCCTCGGCAAAATTCTGAACCTCTAAATCTTCCATTGTAGTCTCCTGAGCCGCAAGGACCAGCGAGCTACTGTCTTGAACTAATTGAACAATAGGTTCATCCTTGAACGTTTCTGCAGACTCAACCAAATTTTAATTCTGAACAGCCTCTCTGCACACATCCTCAGCAATGATAATGAAATTATGTGTGAGTCCTAAAAAATCAGGTGGTTTTAGAGGTTTTTGTCTGAAAATCAATAACATTAAGACCAGGTTTTCCATCTTCAGTAGGGTAACTAAGAATTTTCTTATCTTGTTCTACTTGATTCTGGACAAACTCAATTGTAGCTTCGGTAGAATTCTGACCTGAAACCTCAGGAATCACTTGATCACTTTTTTGCTTATGTAGGTAATGCTTCATCATATATTTATCAGTTTGGGGCTTCAAAACAACTTTTAAGTCGTTGAAGTTAAAGGAGTAGGTGTTGGCTCTACCATCAGGCTCTACTTCCCGATCATATAACCAAGGTCTTCCTAAGATTATATGTGAAGCATTCATGGAAATAACATCACACCATATAGAATCAACATACCTACCTCTTTTGATGTCTACCAAGCAATACTTTGTCACAGGAATAGTTGTGCCATTAATCCAACCAACCTTATGTGGGTATGGATGTGGCTCTTTTTTTAAATTCAGCCTTTCAACAGTGGATTAGAAACCAAATTCGCAGTACTACCTCCATCTATAATCACTTTCTTGACAGCTTTCCCACAATAAACAAATGTCTGAAAGATTCCTGTCCTTCTCCAATCTTCTTCTCCTATTTTTGGTGCTCTAGAAATTCGCCAAATTAGTGAAAGATAGGACATATCAACATCATCTCCTACCTCCTCCAAACCTTCAGTATCTACCATGCTCATCTCCTCTTCATCATCATTGTACTCCTGCTCATCTTCCTTAACGATTTCTGAACTACAAGGCAAATTAGGATAACCTATGCTATGGGGATTCATAGCTATTGATCTCTAACCCTTTTGAAAACAGAATTCATCAGGAAAATCAATTCCAATCTGATCAAAAAAGTATTAAAAACCCTAGGAAATTCGGCTCTGATACCAAATTGACGCAGGACAAAACGTGAACTTAGGCTGATTAAAGAGTATTATGCAATGGAAAACTAAAAGAATCTATAGGAAACAAGGGTAGAAATCGCAGGAACACAGACATAAGCTGTAGGAAAAGAGAAGAAAACCTAAGAATCACTCTAAGGGTCCTTTGGCGTCACACCGCAGGAATCCTAGGCATCACATCAAGGGCTTAGTTGAGTCACACAACTGATGCTGAAAGCAAAAGCTCGCAGGAATTTTTATTAATCTGATAACTGTCCAAAACCCTCAAACGAGGTACATATATATAGGCCTAAAATTTAACCTAAACCAAAGACAACTAGGAATCTCACCTAATTTCCTTTTTATTCCAAGAAAATCCTGCAACATAACTAATGTACTAAAATACCCTTTCCTAAATATTAATACTGAAATAAACTAATTAAATTACTGCTTAATAAAGGATTAACTGAACCAAAATCCTAACACTTTGGCTCCTTCCTTGGATCATGATAATCCTGGGCATCAATATGGAAGAACCTACTGATAGGGTTCTTCTACCATTCCTTGTCCCCATCAGGTTCCCCACTTACCCCCGGCGTGACTCGAACCCGTGACCTATTGGTCAAAGGTGAGGCGTCTTACCACTAGACCGCATCCCGTTGTCGCACCATATTGGACCTTTTGTGATTTGTTCTCTTTTAAAAAAATTAAAAGTTTCTATGTTCACATGTACTATCAGTACTAAGCTAAGTGACTGAGTCAGCTTCTCCGAGGTACCAGTTTCCTTTTCTTGTTAGTTTCCCCTTCCTGCAATATTTTTTTTTTTTTCCTTGAAAAAAAGATAATATGCTATCATTGCAACTCAATCTGGATTGAAACTTCAACTGCTGTTATACTTTTCAAATTATATCTATCAAAGTAGTTCATTAGAAGTTTCTTGCCAGATAGTCATCAAATTTCTCATATCTAGATAGTGGACATCTACCAGGTCATTAGATGTTGTTTGTCTTCTCTTGATGTTGTTGTTTGTCATTAGATTTCTTGGGTGTTTTTCTCTTGGATATCAATGTTTTGTGATCTATGACATTCTCGAATGTATTTAAATTGCTCAAAATGCACAAGCGCAAAAATATATCATTTTTTTTAAATGTCAGTTCCCTGTAATGGAGCATCCACCGAAGTTGAACTAATTATATGGGCTTCATTACGAACCGAATTCTATTCTCACTTCATTTTGCACATCTTGTGCGATTAATGAGTATAGTCCGCAGGGGTTTGGGTACATTTTTATGGTTTTTGGATGATTAGATCTGCAGGGGTTCTTAGTGTAATTCTTCTGCAAGTGAAGTGCTTCATATATAAGTTACATTTAACAAAGTAAGGGTTTTCAGGTGCAATCTGCTATTGATTGAGTATTTGTTGCATTCCTGTAGCAATGGATCTTCCCAAGGTAGGAATTGTCTGGCTGAATTATTATTCACCTCTCTTTATTTTGTGATTTATATGCAGAATTTGGAGTAGGCTATTGGGTCTGAGAATGTGATTGGAGTTGGTGACTGAATGATCTGATTTGGGATTTAAGGGCCAGAGTGCATTTGTGGAAAAACGCGATGAGGCTCGGCACTTTAATTTCCAGAATTAACTATGAGCTCGGATATATATACCTCTTGACTTTGCATTATTCCAGCTGTTGACAAACCTCTCCAGGTGAGATGTGTCTGATGAGACTATTTATTGGAGTGGCATTGAAAAATTCCGGCTTCTGTAACTAATACTATTGAGTTTCCATTTGGCAGATGTGAATTGGTCGTTTCCAGTGGCCGAAACACTGAGAAACTGGAATCTGGATTGGCAAAGCCATTTGCTACACATATAACGGTTATAGAGGAGCAGGTTAGAGCAGGTTGAATGGCGAAATGATTCTGAGACGTGGTTTCCTAAGGGAACACTTGAGAGGTGCTGGTATCATGCTTGATGAAAACTATAAGAATGCATAGCTCTGAAATTTCGCAGAGAACACACACTTGCAGAGGTAATTTTCTGCTTGAATACAAGAACACATCTGCATTCTCTTTGCTGATATTTATAATACATAAGATGGCCTACTACACACGGTTTGGTCAATGCCTAAACAGTGAAAACATCTTCCACAAAACAAGCTTCAGCACACACTACAACTTGCATACTTCCTGCAAGTTAATATACTGAAACAGGCAAAGTTCATATCAAACACAACAAAACAAGCAATGATTAAAACTTGAAAATTCTCAAATTCTAACACTCCTCCTTGAGAATTTTCTTTGATACTCCAAGCTTTGATGTTAATACTTTAAATCTGCATTTAGCAAGTGCCTTTGTTAGAATATCAGCAATCTGATTTTCTGAGTAGCAATGCATCAGATTGATTTCACCATTATCCACTGCTTCTCTAATGGCATGAAACCTCACATTGATGTGTTTGGTTCTTCCATGTTGTACTAGATTTTTTGCAATATCAATGGCTGATTTATTGTCCACCCAATTCACAGTAGGATCATCTTGATTATGCCCCAAATCTGAAAGTAATTTTCTCAACCAAATGGCTTGGTTGGCTGCTGTTGCAGAAACGTACTAAGCTTCAGCTGAGGATTGAGCTACAACATCTTGCTTCTTCGAATTCCATGAAAAAACTCCACTTCCAAGTGAGAATAC